TTACGTTGTTTATTGGTTGCTGACCTCTTTTTATGTTTAAATTCGTTTTTTGCTAGCTCCAGGTCAAGTTACTTTTTGCTATATTTTTTGTTTGTATATATTCCGTATTCCATATTTTTATATTTTTGATAACTAATTTAGCTAGATTAGTATTAGTGTCACTATTTATATATGTAAATCTAATTTGGCATAATCAACAATGCAAACATCTTGATATTGATAAGTAAAAAGTTATAAAAAAAAAGTTATGCTGCGTTCCTTGCTCTACACTTGCAATAAAGCTATAATTTATTTAACAGCTCATTGCAGTTATTGGGATATTCGTACATGTTCGGATATTCATACACTGAGATCTGTCAGGTCTATTGTGCCCTGGCTGCAGGACATTTGCACATTTTTCTCAACTTCAATTCGCTTTGAAATTTAAAGATTTAGATTTTTAGATTCTTTCCCAATATTTACACATTTTTTTAACTTCTATTTATTATAATTCGCTTTAGAATTTAAGGGGGTTTTCTTGCCAACTGTTAGCATATTTTTCTCAACGTTTACGCCAGCTTCCGTTGAACTTACAGCAAATGTGACACCCTTGTGTCGACAAGGTGGCGTGACAACATCACCTCCCGCGCTTACACAACCCGATCCAACCAATTATATTTATATACCCATATATATATATATGTTTATTTTACACTTTTGAAATGGCCGTCAAGTTGTGGGCGCAGATGTTACGAAACAAATCGCCATATTTGTGACACGCATCATCTTTCTAGCTGGGCTGGTGGAGCAACCGAACCAAACCAATTTATTATTGGTAGTAGCACAATTTATTTGGACTACTCTTGAAATGTTTTTGTGTGAAATACAAAAATAATAAAAATAAAAAAATAGATTCTGGCGTCATGTCGCAGTTGCTATTCTGAACGGTTTGTTTAGCTACAATATTTGTTTTTATTATTATTTGTTTTATTTTTTATTTATTTCCATTTTGGTGCAATGAGCTCAGCTTTATGTATTTTTTTGTTGTATCTCTATTTGTTCTAGAAAACTGCGCATCCGCGTAGGTTGGCGTATGAGTAATTTGTGCTAATGTTGCGCATACGCACCGTTAGCCAGCCTGCATTTGCTGCATTTAGCTGCATGCCATAAATTACGTTTTAATTGCCATTATGGCAATCAATGTTTTTTTTTTATTTTTAATTGCACTTCACACGCCTCAAATTTACCTCTTTTTGTCTTTTCCGGCGGCGCCTTTTACTTTTTTTTCGTTTTGATTTTTTGTTTGTTGTAATTCAATTACTGTTTTGCTTTTGGTAGCATTTACGTGTTGCCGCATTTGGTTAATTAATTTTTATGGCCGTCCATGTTTGGGTTGCCTGTGATTTTTTTTATTTTGCATAAGTTACGTTTGAGCATTTTCAGTGTTGTCATAGCTTTTACCCAAAAAAAGAAAAAAATGAAATATCATTTAATATATATATATAAAAATATTATTTTTGTTGTTTTGTTTTGCGCTTCGCTGCTTTCTTTGCATTGGCCAAAAATTTAGTTCTAAGCCGCTTCTTGCCGGCTTCCATTTGGACGTAAACAAACCCATTATTGCCTTCTATTTTTGTTGTTTGCTGATTCGACAAAAAAAACAAACGTAGCTTGTCTGTCCGACTGTACTAATGAATGCGCTTGTGTGTAATATATAAAACATATGAGGGCCTAATGGCTGAGTTCATTATATGCTTCCTTCGACAACCCGACCAGCGAACTATAATCGACTTCTATCTAGCACAGAGGCGACTTTATTACTCTAAATTATACCTATATGGCACAGCCATGCTGAGTTTTGCCCTTAAACATATGTACTTATTTCACGCTCCGGCTGCGCCTCAAGCTTAAAAGACTTTCAGCGGCTTACACTGTAGAAAATAATCGGAATAAAATTTAGAAACTCGACATCATTGTCTCACTTTATAAATCAGCAAATATATTTTTAAAAAGTCGAAGTGAAAGAATAAAAGCCGATACAGTAAATGTCATTACTTATTTTGGAATGGCTTGTTTAATTATTAGTAAAATATTTCTAAATAATCGAATAAAATGTTAAAAATAGTATTTCTACACTCGAAACTTTTTATTATATATTTAATTGTAGATAGATATTTGTTCTAAGTGTAAGTGTACGTAATGTCAAGAGTATCTGCGCTAAACAATTAAGCAGCAATTTTAATCACATTCAAATGGAATTTTTGTTTTATTTTTGCTTTTTTCATTTGTTTGTATTGTTGTTTGTGCGCACACTCGAGTGCTTTTAATTATTTTCGAATGCGATATTGTTCTAAGCCAAAGGCAAATAAATTAACATGTCACACAAAACTGCCAGTCTCAACAATTATCAAACGTGGCACTTCAAAGTTCCATTTAGTTGCTAAGGTGCCAAGTTTTAACTACCAAGGCAGCTGACTCCTCAGCATTACATTTGTTTATGCTAGCCAAATAGTCTTTACAGAATGTTGACAAAACATGTATAAAGCATTATTTATTGTAGTTGTTGTGATATTTAGATTTATTTTGGATGGTTTAATTACGGTGAATTGTGGCGGAGATGCATGGGTTCCGGGTAAGAATAAACGAGGAACACTTATAGACTAGATCTATAGATTTTGTGACAATGAGTAGCCAATTTAGTAAGTCGTAAATACATTTACAATACATTTTGTGACTCGATTTGTATTTTGGCTTGTAACTGAGTAATCTTAAAGTAGTAATCTAATATTTCCGATTCATCAGAGCTATATTAAAAGCTCGGATGTTTCACCAACTCTCAGCCGTTTATTAAATGTGTAATATAATCACAATATATCTGACAGTTGACGGTGCATGAAGCCGATCGATAACCAGTTCCAACATGTGCATAATCGATCAGTCAATCAAAGATACTTAAACCGTATCTTAAAGATACTCGAAACCCAGTCGAGACACGCGCAGCAGATTAAAACAATGATCCATCAAAGTGGAGAACCTTTCGCCCAAAAAATAAAAATAAAAACACGTTTCGCATAACGAGACTAGTCACAGTTTTAATGACCTATTAAACTGACGTCAATGTTTTTACGCAAATCAGCAAAATACACAAGCATTTCAGACATTTTGCCGGCATTATCGCAAAATTCTGAGCCGGGTGTATTTTTAAACGAGAAATGCTGGCAAATGTTTTGCAAATTGTAGAGGCACACAAAATATATTCAAATATACCCAGGAATTGTAGTATTAAAGCGGGTATAACAATTAGTAGCAGTACAAATTCTACTTTCTATTTACTGGGTATCTCATAGTCAATCTCATCTCTCTCTTTTTAATTTGTTTGCTGAATAATTAACAACAAAATGCGGCACGACAAATTTCGCAAAAGTAAACAAAGCGAGAATAAAATTGTTTTTTCTTTGTTGATTTTGGTGATTTTGTTAACTGCTTAACTGATCGAACATTAATAATATGCTCGATTGTACAACTCAATAGAGTCAATAGGCAAACAAAAAACAACAACTTAATTACGCATTCTGCTTAATGCCAAACTTCGAAAAGTGCCTTCAAGTTTTTGGCCATAAACAATTAAGCGCTGAAGTAATTTGCTTCTTTTGGGGCCAGTAGCCATAAATAATACCAAAATATATTATTATTGTTTATCATTATTATTTTTTCTTTTCAAATTTGCTACAAATTGTGCAACCCACACGCAATTGAAACTCGCTTTCTGGGCTGGGCTGGGCATTCAATCAAATTGAATGGAGGCGTTCAGGCATTTTTATTATTAACTGTTATTGGAGTAGCTCTGACCACAATTTAGAGTAGCATAAGCTACAATTACCGTGCACTGCCAACTGTCACATCTTTTATGATTATATTATCTATTCAATCGCCGACTGAAAGATGGTGAAATACTTTAGCGTTTAATCGAGCTGTGTTGAGTCGGAAATGTCTACAGGTATTCCCTAGTTCGGGTCCTTTACTACAAGATTATTCGGTTACAAACTAAAAACTAGTAGAAGCTAGTAAAAAAGTAAGCATCGAGTGCCAAGATTGCTTGCATTGTGGCAAAATCAACAGAGTTTGCTACTGATTATGCCTTGTTTAGTTGTGTGACTTCTTAGTCTATAAGTAGTCTGAGTCTATTCTTCCCCATTTCTCCTACTTGCCTAAGTCGTCTTTGATTTTAGCCACTTAGAAGACAATTGGCTTATCTTAGAATTGGTATGTTGCCTCAGCCCAGCTTAATTGTCGCCTATATATATTTTCGGTGATCAGTTATTGTTATATTAGGACCACTCTGCTCCCTTTTAGGTCCCTCTCTGCCCCTGTTTTAGGTGCCTCTCTCTGCTCCCCCATTATCGACTGTCTGAAAATAGCTGTAAGATATTTAAATATTTGGCTGACAATCGCTTTTGCATATAGTATTTAGCGTTACATTCACCTGCCTCTGTCTGTGGTTATCTCAGCGACTGCCTTGTTGTTTATATAACTCTCGTTTAACTGTGCAATTTGTTAACTGCGCTTGTTCCCAGCCCACACACATACACAATACACACTCTGCACACACTCACAAACACACGGATATTTATTTTGAGTTTGTATCGAAAACTTTACCAGCTACTAATTGGTATTTGCACATTGTGCTTTTTGTTGCCCGTTTGGTTGCCGCCGTTTGCTTTCTTGGCCAATTAGCTTTTGGCCCCGTTGCTTTTGGCCTGAATCGCTTGAGAGACAGCCTCTGTTTATAACTTGAGTTGCTTTCAAGTTGCCTTTGTCTGACTGCCTTTTATTGTGATCGAATAAGTAGCTTTAATTTTAATTTAATTTAGCTTTTATTATTCTTATGCTCAGCATGTGCTCTTCATACGATTTTTATTATTTTTATTGTTATTTGTGATTTTGCTTGGTTTTTTTTGTTGTTATTTATATTTTCTTTCTTTTCTCTGCTTTCGTTTTATGTTATGCGATTTTATTTTTAGATACAAACAGCATGAGTCGTGAAAGCGATGACAATCTGAGTTCGATCAATTCGGCTTATACAGGTAAATATATATATTTTTAATTACACCATTATTTTTTGCATTTTATATTTTACACTTGGCTTGCAACGTGCGTTTCATGAAAATATTAATATCATGTCACATCGATTAATGATTTATTTACTGCTGATGATGGGTTAATTAACACCGCTCCACAAACTGGATAGTATCGTTAATTAAACATTAATTATTTGATTATTTGATTTGAATTGCTTTAATCTTAAGTTCGCTTCGGCAATGATGTTGACTATTTATTAAACTATTGTTAATTTATAGTTCAGATTGTACTAAAAACATATTAAGAGGATATGAGATCTTACTTAAAATTCAGCTCCCCATTCCTTCATTTATTAAATGTGGTTATTTGAATTATAGCTCAGATTATACTAATGTAATGAGGAGCATATAAGATCTTGCTCAAAACTATCTTAACTATTTTCATCAAGCCATATATGATCTTGTTTAAAATGGATTTCCCATTCATTAATTTATTAAATTTATAATTTACTAAACATATTAAAAGCAGATAAAATAAGATCTTACACAAAATTATGTTCAACAAATTGTGGAAGGTTTTGTTCTTTTTTTTCTCTCAACATTTCTCGACTTTTCAACTTGACCTCAATAAGTTTAATGATCTATCAACCCAACGCAGTTCCATAATTGAGTCCACAGTAGAAACCGTCAAAACTATTTTTACGACATGAACCCATCAATTGAATTATCTATAACAACAGCTATAAATTTAATCGATGCAGTACAACAACCCAAAAACGATTTTCATTAAGGAAATGAAATATATATATAGAGATATATACAAGTTGGGATTTTTCGAGTGCCCTTCTCAGCTGAGGTCTTTCAGTATTTGAAATGCTAAACACGTTCTAAGCAAATGCGTATAAAATTATACAATTTAAATTGTAATGTTAAATACGCGACAGGCAGACAAAGTCGAAGGGTGGGGGAGGGGGAGGGGGGATTCTAGAGGGGGTTATTATTATTACCGGTATTTCTGAAAAAGATACAAAAAATGTGGCTACAGCAGCTGTGTCCACAAATTTTCGGGCTTTTATTGCCTTGTAGCTGTCAAACAAACAATACACATATATTTATAAGTTATATATATTCATATATATTTCTGAGGTTGCTTGGGCGCTTGTGAAAACCTGAAAGCCTGAAAAATATTAACTACGCAGCACCCGCGTCACGTAAGCATTTAAATACCAAACCAAAAATATAAAAAACCGCCATTAAACCAGTTTTTCATTTGGTGAAATTCTCAACACTTTGCCTTTTTAGCTTTTGCTCTGGGCGTTAATTCTAAAACCCAACAAAAGCAGCTATTGAAACTATCAAAGAATATTATCATAGAAAATTAAATGCAATTATTGTTGTGCTCAATGCACAATGCAAAATTCACAGCAATTCAATTAATTGCGATTAAAATATGCCATTCCACATTAGCACAGTGCATATTAACTAAGTGGGATTACTGGAAATTTACTTATTTATTTGTTTGATGAGTAGAAAAATGTGAAGAGATTAGCATTTTAGAAACCCACAAAAACACAATTCGATAATCAATTGTTAAACGTTAGTAACTTGGTAATGAGAAAAGTAAAAAACCTTTACAAAAAGAGAGAAAGAGATGTAAAGCGCAAGATATGAAATAAAAAAATAAGCGAATCTCTGAATCTGTGGCGTAAGATAAGATAAGATAAGAGAAACAGAGTTCCATCGAGAATACTTGAAAAAAAAAAACACTGGGAAGTGTTCTACGGTTCATAAGAAGAAGCGTGCTAAAGTACGATTTCAAACGAAGGTTGGGATACCAGCGAAAGCAAAGCTAGATAAAGAGAAAAATGTGAAGAGATTTAGTAGATATGTTTTACATTTGCATTAGATAAATGTGAAGAGACTTAGAGATTTTTATCGAAGTCAGCCTGTAGTTGTTGCTGAGTGTGTGGAATGTTTTTTTAATAGCTGCAATAGCAAAAGCAGAAAAACAGTTGTCGGCATTTGCCACAGAAGCGATTTGCATGTAATACCTGACGCAAAGTCATGTAAGTTGTAACTAACTCACGACCAGTGTGACCAGACTGGCCAATGTGGGACGCAATCGCGATCGTTCAACGACCCACTTGAGTATTAGTATCTGTATCTGGGAGCTATCTGCAACCTACACGCAGTTTAGTTTAATTAAATGTTGTTTAATCAATTGTAAATAGATAATGGGCCCATGTCAATGGCGCTGTGATTTATCGGGCCACGATTCAAGACTCGATTCAAAACCATTTCGATTCGAAACCGTTTCGTTTCGAACCGATTCGATTCGATTGCAATGCGTTCCAAATTTGGCCAGCGTCGTCATGCACAAAGTGGGTCGGCTTTGGGTGCATTTTTGGCCAAAACCACATTAGGCAGCACTACGACGTCGACCTGGCCATAGACTTGGGGCGCCACACTCACTCACTCACTGTTGCACTCAGCGGTCGCCTTTGATGATTCATTCATTGTATCTGTATCTGTATCTGTATCTGTCAGCGACATGAGTTCATTAGACACTCTGTGAATGTCAACTGCAAGGAAATTGTCAACAAACAATGTGTATTTTTAGCAATTTCACAAGACTCGCTGTAAAAATTAACAATTCTGATTTAGCAGCGAGCGTGAAGTGAAGGGTAAACTATAAAAACTTTATAATTACTGAAGGCTTTAGCGGTTGTTTTATTGGCACTAAACGTCACTCTGACATTGAATCGATTTCATTAGTTATGTCGAGCCAAAGAGTCACCCTACACTCAGCAAATATAAATCGCTCTACATTTTAGAAAAATGCACCCGGAAATTAAGAGAAGAAAAACACTGGTTTAAAGAAAATTGATTTTTGATTAACTACGCTAACTATGCTTGGCGCCAAAAGTAAGGCGAATTTCTAAAACTCAGATCAATTTTTTTCGAAGTGTATTTGCTTGTATTGAGCTCTACGAAAATTGAATGAGAGCCAATCGAAAAACTGGCGGTCTTGAAAAGTTTCGCCTGCTTAGGCACAGTGAAAGTTTTTTGTTTTTGACTCAAAAAAGAAAAATTGAAGGGAGCTGTACAGCGTTATAGATACAGATACATATACCGATACAGATACAGATACAGATATAGGGGCTTGTTGAGATAATTAAAAAATTGCTAGCGTCACGATATCTAACAGCAAATAATAACAAATTGTCTTGACTGCCCAGCAGTAAACGCAAACACACAATTAAATAGTTGGACTGGGGAACGGCTGCCTGTCTTTCAATATGTGTGTTTTTCTTTTGAGCAACAATTGAACCTTGAAGTTGTTGTCTGTCTTCAGTCTGCCGTTGTGCGTTTTTTGGCCATGTCATGCTTGGGCTACCGTTTCGGCCAGTTTGATTAGCTGTTGCTGCTGCTGCTGCTGCTGCATAGGCATTTTTGCGCATCTTCAAGATACATTTTTATTGCAGACATGATTGCAAACAAAACAGCAACGAAAAGCCAATTGAAGCTGACAAAATACAAAAAAAAACACAATTAACTACACGGCGTATACATCATCGTCGTCATGCCGTAAATTAAGCGGAAACCACAAAATCGTGCAATTGCAAAAATGTTTATATTTTGCTTGCGGTGTCTGCATCTCTTTTTGGCTCTCGACTATTGACTGACTGACTTGCAGTCAGTTAACACCAAACTCTGTCGACAATTTAATTGATTTATGTTTTGATTTCATCTTGACTCTTCGAAATTTACGACAATTGATTTCGAAAGTCGCATCGCAGAGTAGCAAATTGGGAACGCCAATCACATAACGGGAGTTCACTCTATGATTAGCCATAAAATTCGTTTAATTAGCTACTGTTCCACATCCACTCTTAATTAGAAACACGTATCTAGTTTTTGTGCGCAGAATTTGGTTTTTAATCTGCCTTTTTCAGTTTATTAATACTATTAATACTCTTTATGAGTTTTTATATATCTAGTGTTTTTCTAAAGATACACAAATAGCTGTTTAGTCTTACTTGTTTTAATACTTTCTACACATTTGAGTATTTTTTGAAGGCTCAGCATTAGGTTCTCAATCTTTCTCTTTAATTTATTATTACTTTATAGGTTTTTACATTTTTAGTATTTTTTCAAGATTCATAATTAGAATTTCAATCTTACTCTTTCAGTAATTAAAAGTTTTTGTAAGCTATTAAACTTGTACTATTTTTCTGAGACATAGAAATCGATTTCCAATCTAACTTAAATTTAAATTTATGAATAGTTTTCTGAATTGTTAAGTTTTTTATTATATTACCAGACACAGACACATTTTCCAATACTTTTAATGAGGTTTTATATTCTGAGTATTTTTCCAAGATAGATAATTCGATCTTATTTTATTAATATCTGTTGTAAGCTTTTAAATGTGTAGTATTTTTCCCAGGCACTGAACTCGATATTGACCAGCTCTTTTATCTAGACGTTCATATTCATATACTTGTTTGTCTTCAAAAACAATAATCTTGAATGATGCACCTTTCTAAATCAATGTTGCCTCTCCCTTTGAACAGGTTTTCTAGTTCAGTTAGAATCTTTGTCTTAGTCTTTTGTCGGCAACTGAGACTCGCACTTGAGAGCTCTTTCAGTTAACTGATTTACCACATTGCTTGCGGCTAATAACTGATTTAACAACAGCAACAACTACAACCACAACAAAGCAACTTTCACATAATAATAATTTACAATACCCAAAGGCCCAGACATGGGTCCGTTGTATGTGATTAACACAAATTCGCTAATTATTAACTAATGTAAACACAGGCAACAAAAATGAACTCGGCTTCGGGCTCCACCCAAAACAAAAATACAAAAAAATTAAAAAAAATACAAAAAACTAAAAACACTTAAAGTCAATAACCAGAAACAAGCTGTAAAAATAAAAATCGCTTTGGCGAATTTTTAACATTTAACATTTATGTTAATCGTATGCAGCAGCAGCAGCAGCAAATACTAAAGGTGGCTGAACATATATCTATATATATTTATATGCATATGTAAATGTATGTATAATCTTAGATCTCTATCAAGAGACTGTCAAGCGCTTTACGCGCTCCTCTCTGTCACCCACCTCGGATTGGGAACGCTTCTCGTCCGGCCGCGGATCGCTTAAATCTCGAACGCCCACGCTGTCCGACAATGGACGTCGCACATCTTGTAAGTCTGTTCAACTTGCCACACCCCCTTCCTGCCCCATGCACCGCATGCAATGTATCTGTAACTGTGTTTTGTTTACGTTCTCGCTTTTGTTGCTGTTTCTGGCTTAGATGATTATTATCTTGAGGCCACAGGTCGGCGTCGTAGCTCAGGTAAGCAAAAAGATCAGCATCGAAGCGCATACACACCGGGACATTCAAATAGGTCTGAACACAATAACTTGTGAATTAAAAAAATAAATAAATAAAAATGTAACTACTACTAATATTTTGACCGCAACTGTTATAACAATTACAATTAAAGCTTAAATATTAAATGTGCCAAGTTTATCACTACTTGGCTAAGGATAGAATATAGAGCTTAGGCTCTAAGATCAAGGATCTAACAAATGTTAGGTAAAAACAGTGATTCAAGAAAAGTTTATCAGCAACCGATAATCATATGATGTTATTGGCTAGGAATTGGAAATGAGTTAGTTAAATCTTCAGTAAAGTTCCTTTGGTTAAAACGGCAAATTTAAAGAGGGGGAAAAACTCACACCTATTTTACTGTCCAGTTGTGTGTATCTCTATCTATCTCTCTATATCTTTTAATCATTTGGAATGTGTGTTCGTGTGCCAAAAAATGTATTTATATATAACATGCTTGATATTTGCGCAGGTGGTTCATCGGAAACTATGCCAGTTGCTCGCACCTTAAATGGTGGCACGATTTATGATTGCCCCGCGTTTGTTGCAACTTGTTGTTCTTATGTAGATTTGCTCTCACTTCAAAACAAACAGTGCCTAATATTGTCAAATTAACATAGCCTAATGAGCTGTTAAGTCAGCGCTATGTCAACCATTAGTGGGTGTTTACTGTACCAACAAGCCAGCTAATCTGCTGCTGCTGTTTCTCAGCTCATGAATATGTGTAAAACTTAATACAAGTCGGCAGCTGACGACCTTCAAGGTATTACATGCTAAACAAAAAGTGTATATGGCAAATTTGCCAGCATTATGCTTTAAAGCTATTCCAGCTGAAGTCGAGAAAAATGTTAGCTCTACTTCGTGTTAGCTGCGTCATCTAAAATAAGCTATATACATGACTCACCAGTTGTCTCGCTATGTACTTATCGAAGCGTAAAGTTTAAGTTCAGCGTAGTTATTTTATTTTATATATTGTATTTGTTCAATAACGTCAGAGTTTGTCTGCAGCTTTTCATTTGTAGTATTGTTTTAAAACTTTATTTTAAGACACAAAATTCTCTCTTACAATCTTATATTTCAATTTATTAATAGTTCTAAGCTGTCAATACTTCTAAACTATCATACATATTCATAATATTTCTCCAAGTTACTGAATTATTTTTCTTATTTATTTATTAATAAGCCTTAAGAGCTTTTACATTAAAATTTTTGTTTTTCAAGACATAATGCGATTTTTAATCTTTCTTTTACGTTTTTTAATGAATTGTCTTTTTTGAAATCCTTGTGCTACTTATGTGCTCAAATATCAAAGATGCAACTTTCTAAATCGAATCCGGCACTCCCCTTAAATAGGTTTGACTCACTGAAAGTCTGTAAATTAATTATAGTATATATCATATTTCTTGAATTATGTCAGAGTATCTAAAGTACGCTTATGGCTATAAAAGTAGCTAATGCATATGCATGAGTATTTTTATAATATAATTTATTTTGCTTAGCTGTTTTTCAACACAAACTTGACACCTTTATGCAGGCAGGCAGCCAAAAGGCACATCTTGCGTAGCACAGCGGCAACAATTTGAAAACCTAATGATACAAAATTCACCAAATTATCATACAACAATGTGTGGGTGAACTTGGCTGACGATGTTGCAGCGCAAAAATAAATGAATACAGCGGCGAAATAGACAATAAGTTATGAAATAGCCTGCATGCAACTATGTTTTTTTTGTTTTTTTGATTTTACGCTTAATGGATTTTCAAATTTGAAAGCCATTAATCAAACATCAACAAGTAATTTGTTAAATAAAAGCCGCATTTTGAAGGCGTTGTCTTTTGAATGGGAACTACACTTGAACAGATCTGACAAGTGCATATGCATATATATATATACATATATATATATATATATATATATATATATATATATATATCAAAATCATCATGTAATAGCCAATATCCGTTTGTGCGGGGGATCGTGTAGTTTTTTCTATTTTTATGACAGCTACAAATGATTTTCATTGACTGCAAGCAACGACATATGCAAATGAAAATAGAACGATTTGCATATGACATCATATTCCATACTTATATAGATAAACCACTTGTATAGCGATATATTTTTATTTTTTATGGTGTTTGTTGTGTCGAGTTCAGAACTGCACAATAATCTATTGTTATTGGGAACATTACGAAACGCAGCCAAAAACATTGAAAGTTCATTGCCGATTGTTGACGTTGATAATATACGTGAACAGTTGCGAACAAAATTATAGCATCAGCTTTAAATGTTTTTTGATATACATTGTGCAGTATTTTCCCTATCACTTAAAGTTAGTACTGTTCCTGGAAATCTTTTCAGTATATATATTTAATGCGAAAAGTAGCGAAAAAATAACAGCACAACTCACGTAGTACTTTAATAAATCGTTTATTTATTTAGAATTTTCATAATTATGAATCCTCATTTGAAAAATGTTGATATTATTTTTTCGTTCATTTTCTTGCTTTTTCATAAAATTCTTTATATAAATGAGTTGATTACGGCGAATAAAACTGTGCTTGTTTTCTTTCTCACTTTTTTTTTAAGTACTCTTCCACTTCTAAAAAGTATTCACAAATTCAGTACACTTTTGAAGACATTTCTTGTGAGAGGGTTGCTATAATTTTCATCGCAACTGTACAAATATTAGATGTATATAAATAAAATATATTATAGACTTGAATACTCATCCAACTACATATTATTTATTCATTGCACAGATCACAACAGCACGGTGCTGACAGCCAACACAGAGCAGTTCATAATTGGCCAACGTGTGTGGGTGGGCGGATTGCGATCGGGCCAAATAGCCTACATAGGCGAAACACATTTTGCCCCGGGCGATTGGGCGGGCATTGTGCTTGATGAGCCAAATGGTGAGCGACAGCTTGGACAGCATTTGCAATAACCATCGATAATTATCGATTAACCTTCAAATGCAATTTTACACAGGCAAAAACGATGGCTGCGTCTCGGGCAAACGTTACTTCCAATGCGAACCCAAACGTGGCATTTTCTCGCGCCTCACCCGGCTCACCACATATCCGTTGTCGGGCGCCATGACGCCCACTTCGCCGCTGGCCAAGAATTCGCCGGAACGCTCACGTACTGGTTCACCCACGGCCAGTGTGCGCAGCTCCATGCTACGCAGTCCAGGCACGGGCAGTAAGTGCAGTACCCAAAACTCCTAAGGGTATCTTTCTAATCGCCTTTACTTTCAGAGAATGGCCTGACGGTTGGCGATCGTGTGATTGTCTCATCCGGTTTTGGCAGTCGTCCGGGCATCTTGCGCTATCTGGGCGAGACACAGTTTGCTCCTGGCAACTGGTGTGGCGTCGAGCTGGACGAGGGCAGTGGCAAAAATGATGGTGCTGTCGATGGCATCAGGTGGGTGTCAGCTAATACACTCGGCAAGAAAATCGAAATTTAGAAAATCAAATAATTTAATTTGAAAAAAAAAAACGGCTTATTAGGCAGACGATAAAAGCCTTTCTAATTTTTAGAGATTTGATTTCTTATAGTTAGAAGTTATTGGCAAAAACAAGAAAAACTTTCTAGTTTTCAGGACAATTTTCTAAAATTCAGTGAGATTTTTGTAGCTTGAGTGTAATCTTCATGTGATTACAGATTTGATAAACCTTTTTTTTGTGTGTTCCACAGATATTTTGAGTGCAAGCCCAGGTTTGGTGTATTTGTGCCGATAGCGAAGGTGTCGCTGTCGCCGTCCACAAAGAAGACGCGTCTGTCGCGAACCGGTTCGCGGGAATCTCTCACATCGATTGGCACCATGAACAGCATAGCCACAACAAACACATCGCGTATACGCATGAATGCACAGGTATAAGACCGACAGACAGGCCAGCAAACCAACTTGCAACATGCCACATGCAAATGCAACACATTTGACACTTAGTTAGCCGTTGCCAGTTTATCAGTTTAATTAATACTGTTTATTGTTAAACGTTAAACGTTAATTGTTAACTGTTAACTGTTAGCTGTGCTCCCGTTTTTATATATATACTAACGCGTCTTCTTCTAATTCTAATTCTACTTCTAATTCTAATCCTCAACCTCCCCCCTACAACCCCCCAACCACCTACCCCCTGCAGCGCAAATCTAGCACGCCACTTCGGTCAATTGTCGCGACGCCAAAAAGTCAATTTTCCATGCAGGTATGCAAAATCCCAAAAAAAATAAAGTCGCTTCAGCGTGTACTGTGTCTCTCTTAATTAGCTAATCTAGTATATAAGTGTGTGCCACTAATGCAACTAACATATGCCACATGCAACATGCAACATGCAACACATTGCCACAAATGAACCTAACTAATATTACAAACCTTAACCGATGTACAAAAATATTTATATAAAAATATATATTCAACTATAATGCACCCTTTTATTTTGGCTTATCTTATTATGTGTATATTTTATGTATATATATATATATATATATGTTATGCAATGTTGTCCTTTTTTCCTTAATTTCTTTGTGTCTTGGAATATATATATATACTTACTCTCGTACAACCCTCCCTACCTGCATAATAAAATTATATTCGTGCACGCTTTTGTGTTTCTATATATTTTCTGTTTTGTTGCCCATTTTGTTTTCGTTTTAAATATTACGCATGCGCACCGTAATCCGTCTCTCGTTTATAATTTATCTGATTGTTGGGTTTGTCAACGGTTTGTGGCCCCAACCCATTAAAGCTACAAAACTATTGTTAGTAAGTGTGCTATTTATATTAACGATGGTTGAGTCTGTCAACTTTCTCTTAAGCTAACATTTTAAGTTATATATATATGGTGAAAAAAATATTCGAATTTTATTCTTACTCTTCCACTTATTAATACTTTTTATGAGCTTTTAAATTTTTAGTATTTTTTTCAAAATACATATATATATATATATTTAATAATTTGTTATAAATATAAATATATAATATAAGCTATATATCAATAGTTTTGTAGCTTTACTCTGCAACCTGTACATACACAAAATACACATACACACACATATGTACACTCAGAAAAAATAATTGCTGATTGTACACACAGAAAACATACACACACATATATATAAATTTAAATGTATATATATATCTATTATATATACACATCTACACACGCTCGTTGCTATTTTGTGTAACTCTTATATATTTTTTGGGCCATTCAATTGTAACTCATGCGCTTCTTGTGCAACACACACATCTACACCAACTCTCTCTCTCTCTCTCTCTTCCCCCACTCTCTCCCCATCTCTTTCTCTCTCTATCGCAGGATTTGCTGCGCGAGAAGCAACAGCATGTGGAGCAACTGATGGTGGAACGTGAACTGGATCGCGAGGATTCGCAGAATCAGGCGTTGCAGCTGCAGAAGAACATCAATGAGGTAATTATCTTCACCGATACAATGTATGTGCCACAACCGTATGCGGATCGCAGGCGACCCTTTCGATTGCTGCCCACGTGCCACAGCAGCAGCCGCACAACAATAACCAACAGTCCAACAACAGCAGCAACTGCAACAACAACAACGAAACCAACAACAATTTTAGCAAGACAACAACAACCACAACGCGAACAACGATCGCAGCCAAAAAAAGTTTGGTTTTGCGATAAAAAGAAATTGTTTCCAGTCTAAAAAAAACAGAGAGAGACAAATTGGATGTGTTTATTCTCAGTTCAGCTGTGTTTTTGGGTCTTGTGTTTTCTAAAACTTGCTGCAATTGCAATAAGAAAACACCCATACACACACAACACACACACACGCAGTCACCCACCCACACACACACACCTGCTCTCAAGTTTTGTGTTGTTCTTCACCTGGTTGATTTTTCGTTGCCTCTTTTTGTGTTAACATTTTTCTATAATTTATTTTTTTGTTGTTCTCTTTCACTGTTTTTTGTCTCTCATTTTTTTTCTTTCTTGTTGTTTGTCAATTTTACACACACTTAATTTGCGCACGTTTATTTATTTTACTTTTTTGGGCTTCTTAAAATTGTCAGTTGTCAATTGTCATGATTCACACGAATTGCGCTAATTGGCAAAAAAAAAGAACACAACAAATTCCGTGCTAACTGGATAAAGTACAAACAAAAAAATAAGCTTAACTAGTCGTAGGTGAATTTTTCAAGCTTCTTTCTTACTCGGCCAAGGTTCATTTCGCGGTTCGTTTATTTATCATCTTAACCAGTCGCTAACGAGCCCAACAATTTTCAGCAAAAAAGAGAAAAAGAAATGTAATTCTTTTGTTCAAAAATCATATTAACTTTTAGGCATGGTGTTAACAAACTTTGTCAAGCATTTTGTATGTTTTGGAAGCTATTTCTAGAAGTCGTATACAAAATATTGATCTAGAAATTCAGAAAGTTTAACTAATGCATTAAGTTTTAAGGATCGATAAGAAAAATTGTATTCATCTAAACAGTATTTCAAACAGCTTTTCATATAACACAAAATACAACAATAATTTATTGTATAACAATAAGAATAAGTATTATAATCCAGAATAACAGTTTTGGTAGTAGCTCATCCAAAAATAATCTTGGGGGTGTCAGTATAACAGTTTAAGAAGTAGCTCATCCAAAAAAGCACTTGCCAGTGCTTGTATACCAGTTTCAGCAGAAGCTCAGTTAAGATCTACTTAGTATTGCTAGTATAACTGCTTCAGCAGTACCACATTCGAAAAACACTTGGTGTTAGTGTAACACTTTCAGCAGCATACAATATTTACAATATCATCAACTTCTACATTCAAGTTAGAGCATTCCAACTTTTCGCTATACAATTTCACACTTTTTCCCAAAAAAAAAAAAATATTTACAATATTTGTTTGCTGTTAATTTTTAGCACAAATGCACGCAAGCAATAAACAATATTTTTACCCATTTTTGAGGTGCTGACTGTATTCGAAATGAGTCAGTTTTATTTGTATTTGCTTTATTCTTGTGTTTAGTTTTGATTTTGTTTTTTTTTCGCTGTTGATTTTTGGTTTTAATTGAATAAATTGGAGTTAATTGTTTATAAGCGTGCGCTACTTTATTTCACTATCCTCTATTTATACATACATAAATGTCGTGCGCACATTGAGCTGTGTTTTTCTTTTAATTGGCAATATTTGACAAACCACCCAGAAACCACTCTCAGAAAAAAAAAATCGACCTACATTTTAGTAAATCGCCCTAAAAGGAAAATAGCCTTAAAACTAGACAGTTTTTCTGGTATATAGAAATAATTTCTATATATAAGGATAAATCATTTTTCTAATATTTATTTTATTAAAAAAAATGCATTTTTAAAAAGTAGAAATTTAAACCCTCCGTTTTCAGAAAATCCTGAATTTATAAACTATCTAAAATATTTGGTGGTGAAATCTTAAAGAAATAATATAAGTAGCAAGAAAGGTGGAATTAAATTCACACTGAAAACAACGCATTGGAAATTATGCATAATTTTTCGAGATTTTATAAAAATCCAACCTAAAATGTAGAAATGCAAACCATAATTTTTAGAAACCCAAAACGATCTAAATTTACTTCCTCAATAATATGGCGTTTTATTAAAATTGAGAACGATTTATTTTTTATATGAGTGCACCAACCAACCACTGTTCTAATACCCTGCTGAACTTTTTAACGCAAAACCAAAACCAAATTGATATTCGCAAAAATTTGTTAAGCTGAAACGAACGACTTTATCCGCACCACTGTATGTCATGTCCTGTTCATTCATTTTATAGCAACTGCTGATCGAGGCGGATCGCTGGAGGCGTCTGATAGCCCGCCATAGCATTCCGATACCGGTGGCCTATTTGCGACGCGAATTCCGTGGCTGGTCGGGCAAACACGAGAGGCACTGTATACTGCACAGTGTCCTGACACCGTTGCGCATCAAGTAGTGGACGTGCTCAAAAAAAAAGAAGCAAAATAAGAAGCCTTTGATGAATGATTTTTCAAGAAAGAAAAAAACTGAAATTGAAGTTGATGATGAAATCGCAGATGTCTGCACAGCGTTTTATGCTGAGAAACCAAAAAATATATAGACGATATATCTTCATATCACAACAACAAAAACATGAGCCACAAAGCCCACAATTGAATTTCATATTTGTATGGTTTATGGAGCAATGACGAATATGCATATATACCACACATATATATACTATATATATACTACTTGGAAATTGGAAAACCTGTATAAAATTGATTTTATGAAAGCGAATTTTCTTGCTGTTGGTCTAGTTGTACGATCTACGATAAAAACATAATTATTTACGATATATAAAAAATAAACATAACATTAACGATATCAAATATACGTTATACAAATATTATTGCAAATTTTGTTTTATTTCTAAATGACTTGGAATTTTGTTTTGCTAATTCTTGGCTTTTTCCCCCCAAAAAATAGCTAAAAACTCGCATTGTGCAGTTGGAGTCGCAATTGGGCGATGAGCGTAAAAAATCGGAGGAATTGCAATTCACAATTGATGAGGCACAATTCTGTGGCGATGAAATGAATGTAAGAGACAGTAACTCAAAAGAGTTGTGCATTGACTAGGGAGACTCCTGTAGATTGTAGCGATGTAAATGGAAATTAAAAATGTCAAGAATGGGACTTATAGGGTTAAGCCAGCGCTATCAAGCAGACAACCAGAAGAGGAATAGGGAACAGTTCTAAGAATAGCTTTAAAAGAATATTTATAAATAATTTTCTTTCTAATAAAACTAGCTTTATTTGAGTTAAGCAAATATGACTCATCAAATAATAATGCTTTTAATAACAAATACATAGCTAAGAGAAAAATATTATTTTAAAAAACTAAATAATTTTCCCTACAATGCAAAATAATTTTAGTTAAGATTAGCTAACAATATGCTAAAAATATGATTCATCACTAGCGGATGGCCTAAGCTAGATTGTTCAGTTTTTAGCTTGAATTTTGCTGTATTTATTCATCAAACAAAATAATTAAGAATATGCATTCCATATAAATATCATAGACTGTTCTACAGTTACAGAAAATTGTCAATAATAACTCAATGGCATAAATGGAATTGGGGCAATTAGACTCGCTCAACTGATAATAATCTAAATAATGCACACGTTTCGTAAGAAAAAATGTACAGAATTGTTGGAATAAATGGCCTTTGAGTCGATAGGAATAGATTATATTATTTTAATTTGAAAAGGTCGTTCTTAAAGGTCTTTCAATAAATGGTTGATGTAATTCCCAAATGGATTTACGGCACGGTGCTATTGCTTTGTTCAGTAAACTGGAAATTTAGCTATAAAAGATTCTACTCGAATCTACAAAGAGGATGAATATATAAATATATATATATATATATATATATATATATATATATATATATATATATATATATATATAGAATGGAATATGGCATATGTATATATGAAGTTTTGCTCAAGATAATTAAAAAAAATAGTCAATTATTATTCTCAACGATTTTAATCAATACTAAAAGTTTTTAAGTATATTCAAAATGATAGGATTGAAACTACCACAGAAATTATGAACTTATAGAAAAATCAAGATTCAATCGATGTAATTAACAATAGAGTTGAAGTTAAAATCCTGTAGGATTTAAATCTATTACTCAAAATAATCAACGAATTGAGAAAGACATTGAAAGATCAAGATTCATTAGAGATAACTAAAAATAAAGTTGAAGTCTATTCTCTAGGTTCTACATCTATGCTGATAATTTGTAGGTATATTAAAAAAGATAAGGAAGATAGTAAAAAAATCAAAGCTAATTAGAAATACAGTATAAGTCTATTAAGAAGTCTATTATTGAGCATGATCTAGAAAATTGAATTTGAATACAACAAGGTTCTGTTCATTATAGATTGAACAGCTTTCTTTATTTTACCCTATAGCTAAGTTCAGCTGTACTAGACTAAGCTCAGAGCTCTCTCAAGTCAATGCATATTCTCTAATATAATTACTTAAACCAAGAGAGCCAAAGCTCAATAATTCAACTGTACTTTATATACTCCCCTCGCAGGCCCAATCTCAGGTGTACAAGGAAAAAATTCACGATCTGGAAAAGAAGATAACGAAACTTGTCTCAGGTAAACAAGTTTTTCGGAAATTTAATTAGTTTCTGACTAAAACAAACTAACTTTAACAACAGCCACGCCCAGTTTACAAAGCCTGCCACCTGTGGAGGATAATCAGGCCTTGGCCAATGCTCAGGCCCAGATCGCAGAGCTGCAGGAGAAGCTGAGCGCGCAGGAGAAACAGAGTGAGGCACGTCTGGCCGAATCCCTGGAGGAGGAGCAAAGATTACGCGAGAATATCGACTACCTGAAGAGCGAAAGTGATACGCTGAAGACAGAACTTCTTGGCAAGGATGAGAGCCTTGAGAAATTCTCGTTGTCACAGTGCGGCATTGAGAATCTGCGCCACGAGCTGGCCCTACTCAAGGAGGAGAACGAGAAGCAGTCGCAGCAAATCCAGGCTAAATTTGAGCAGCAGCTGGCAGAGAAGGAGCAACAGTTGGCAGAGAAGGAGAAGCAGCTGACCACCAATCAGGAACAACTACAGCAAGTCAGCAATGAACTCTCCAAGCTGAAAAGCAAATCGGATACGCTCGAAAACGAACGCGAGAATGTGACGGATGAGTGTGAAATACTCCACACAGAGATTCGCATGCGAGACGAACAAATCCGAGAACTAAACCAGCAGCTGGATGAGCTGACAACTCAGCTAAATGTGCAGAAAGCGGACAGCTCAGCGCTCGACGAGATGCTCAATGCGCAGCAGTCCCAAAATGTAGACAGCAAAACACAACTGGAACAGTTCCAAGTGGAGCTGCAGCAGCTAAAGACAGCCAATGAAACTGTGCTAAAAGAGAAGGCTGCAATGGAGCAGCAAATGGAGCAAGAGCTGGGCAAGCTCAGGCAGCAGACGCAGGAGCTGCTGCTGGCCAGCGGCGATAGCAAGTCGCAGAACTTGCAGCTAAGCGAGGCAAAGGTAGCGCTGGAGAAACAATTGGAGGCACTGCAGCAATCAGGCGAGGCACAGCTGCAAGCCAGTCAAGCGGAGATAGTCAACAAAGAGCAGCAGCTGCGGGAGCTGGAGAAATCCAAGGAACAACTGCAGCAGCAACTGGAGCAGCAAACTAAATTACATGAGCAGCTAATTGCGAGTCAGCAGGAGCTGCAGCAAAGTCAGACCAAGCAACAAGCTGAACAATCTGCGCAGCTGGCACAGGAGACCTCCAAGGTAGTGGAAATGGAAGCTAAATTGCAAGCCAGCCAGTTGCAATTGGAGCAGCTGCTGCAGCAAGCAACCAGCAGCGGCGAAGCTGGTGCCCAACAACTAGCCCAACTGCAAGCGGAACTAAGCCAGGTGCAGGCGAAGGAAGCGGAAGTTAAAAGTGCTTTAAATGCTCAGCTTGCTGAGCTGCAAGCGGTGCAGCAGCTAACCCAATCCCAGCAAGCCACAATCGTGCAACAGACCGAGCAACTGGATGCCACCAAGATACAAAGCGCCCAGTTTGAATTGCAGTTGAAAGAAAGCAATGAAAATGGCGCCCAACGTGTGCTCGAGCTGGGCGATGTAAAGCGTCAAAATGCAGCATTGCTGAGCAAATGTGAGGCACTGCAGCAGCAGCAGGACGCACTGCAGCAGGAACTGGTCTCATCTAGCACTGGCAGCTCACAACTCCAGGCACAACTGAAGCAGCTCAACGAGGAGCTGCTGGTGAAACAGCAAAGCTACGCAACACTGGAGAGTCAGAGCAGCGGACAGCGTCTCGAGTTGGCCAGTGACAATGAGCTGTTGCAGCAAACGAAGGCGAGATTGGAACTGGAGCTGCAGGAGACGCAGTTAAGCCGGGACAAGCACAAATCGGAGGCGGAACACAAGCAAATGTTGCTCGCCGAACAAGAACAGTTGAGCATACAGCAGGAATTGGCTCTGGGCGATGCGGGCAGGCAACGGGAACAGTTGGAGGCACGTTGCCAGGCATTGCTGCAACAGAATGAGACACTGCAGCAACAGTTGACTCACCTGCACAGTAGCTCAACGGATTCTAGTGCGGAACTGTTGAAGCTCTCGCAGCAACTACTCGAACATCAACAGGCCAACGAGCAATTGGCCACCAAGAGCAGTGAGGAACGTGCCGCTCTGGAGCGACAACTCCAAGCGAGTCAGCAGCGTCTGGATACACTCTGTGCTCAGGTGGAGTTACTCACCCAGGAGCTAGCAGGCAGCACAGAGCAGGGCACCCAACTCCAGTCTAAACTGAAATCGGAACAGGAGCTTGCAGCCAAACAGTCGTTGGAGCTAAGTGATGCCAATCGCAAGCTAGAGGCAGCAGCAGCCAGATGCTTGCAGCTCGAGCAACAGCAGGAGAAGCTGCAACAGGAGCTGGGAGGATCGAGAGATGAGCAAAGTGATTTAAACACAAAATGGCAACAATTAAAGGAGCAGCTGGCCACAGTCCAAAAGGAGCTCAGCTCGGAGAGAGATGCAAGCAGCGAGCAACGTTTGCAGCTGGAACGGCAGCTTGAGGAAGTGCGTCAGCAGTTACAGTCGAGTCAGGCCAGCATGAAGGAGAACCAGGACCAGCTCAAAGGGGAAGTAATACTTCAGGAGCAGCTAAAGCAGCTGCAGAAGCAACTAAACCAGGCACAGGCTGAGAAGGAGCAGCAGTCGACTGGCAATCAGGTGACCATTAAGGAGCTAAAGGAGCGTCTGGAGATCACCAACACGGAACTGCAACACAAGGAGCAACTCTTAAGCGAGGATGCACAAAAGATAACCGATCTGAAGACACTGGTGGAGGCCATCCAGGTGGCCAATGCCAATATATCCACAACCAATGCAGAGTTATCCACGGTGCTGGAAGTGCTGCAAGCGGAGAAGAGTGAAACAGCGCACATCTTCGAGCTCTTTGAAATGGAGGCGGACATGAATGCAGAACGCCTCATCGAGAAGCTGCAGGGCATGAAGCAAGAACTGCTGGAAACCCACACACAACTCGACTCACAATTCGCCAGCAACAAAGAGTTGCAGGGAAGAGTTGAGCAATTTCAGAAAACTGAGGCTGGCATGCAGGGCACAGCTGTTGAGGCCGCCGAGCAACTGCGTCAGCTGCAACAGGCCAATGGCGAACTGCTCGAAGCAGTACAGCAAAAGCAGGCAATGTTCAACGGGAGCCAAGCACAACTCGAGGCGCAGCTGAGTTGCAACAAGGAGTTGCAACAACAGCTTCTGGAACTGAAGACAACTTCCGCCACAGCTGCGGAGCAACTGCAACAGGTGCAAACAAGCAACGTGGCGCAAGAAAAACAGTTCCACGAGCAGAGCAATGATTTCACTGTCCAACTGCTGGAGTACCAAAAAGTCATCGATGAAATGGATGAGGCTGCCCGTGAAAAAACCGAGCAACTGCACCAGCTTCAAATCCAAAAGACTCAACTAGAGACATCCCTTGCCCAGGCACGCGAATCGGAGCGAATGACCCGCTTGGAATGCCAGCAGCTAATGCAACAGCTACAAGAACTCGAATTCCAGGAAGCCCGTGAAATTGTCGCTCTGCGTGCTCAGGCGAATGGTTCCATGACAAGTCCAACATCTTCCAACAACACAGCAGAGGTGAGTCTTCAGTTTCAGATTATATATATATATATATATATTTACCGCATGTTTACATATATAAACTGATTTTTCAATTGCAGCAACTGGATACGGAAACCAGTCTGGCCAAGATCAACTTCCTTAACTCGATCATTGCGGACATGCAGCAGAAAAATGACGCACTCAAGGCCAAGGTGCAAACGCTGGAAACGCTGCCGCTGGACTTCTCCAAGTAAATGAAATCCAAATTAGATTAAATATATATTTTGGAAATGTCTTTTTTTATACACTGTATGCATTTGAATTGGGTAAAAGGAATATATGCTTATAATTATACTTTTTTTATCCATATACTTTTTTTTACATACATTAACTTAAATAAAATCTTGTAATAAATATATTTTACACATATTAATTTTTTATATGCATTTGCAGACCAAACGCCTTTGATTTGCTGAGCAAACGGAAGCCGGCGCCGCGTCTCTTTTGTGATATCTGTGATGAGTTCGATAAGCACGAAACCGAGGATTGTCCGCTGCAGGCGGGCGAGGATCGCGATTATTCACCACCACCAACGGCTGCTGAGTCCAAAAATCAGAAGGAACGCAAGTTGCCCGCTCCACGCAAATACTGTGAATCCTGTGAAGGTGTGAACCTAAAATGAATCGAATCATTCTCTCAATTCTACTAACTCTAAATTCAACTAATTTTTAGTTTTTGGACACGATACCAGCGAATGCGCCGACGATGAGACCTATTAGCGAATAAGACACTTTTGTTGGTTGTTCAACACACGCATTAATTGTACGAGTTTTTTTGTCATCTGTTTTTTTCTTTTACCTCAGCTGAGAAACTATTACATTTCACTAATAGCATATATTACTTTTATTTATTTATACAAATTAGTGAAAATATATATATTTCTATTGTTTCGTAAATTTCTTGTCGAAAATAAAAATGTGTAAAACTAATCGCCGCCCTCCTTTTTCTCCTTAATAGCATCCTGCAAAGAGGATAAATAATAATCAAAAAATTTAATTTATATTCAAATTAAGAACTGACCTTAAATCGCTCCTCGAAGAGCGATAGTTCCGCCAGCAGATCAGTGATGGCATTCATGAATGCTTCCTGTGGTGAATAATCGGCCGTTGTCTGAATGCGAATCACGAATTTATGTTCCAGCGGATGCGGCACTTTGTAGCCGGCAAACAGAACATTTGGATCTTTTAACAATTGGCTGTTTAACATTGGGAATGTTATTTTATGAATTTCTGACGTCACTCTAGTCATCACTTACTTGCGAATCATGTTGCCCAGCGTGTGATCTTCCTTGTTGATGGTGAATATCGCCGCATTTGTCACCTTCGTATCCAATTCCTTGATTATTCTGTCCGCAAAACATAAGGAAAAATATTATTGCTTTGATTGCTTTCCAAAATTGTTGACTCACTTTTTCTCGCCCTCATACAGCAGAAACGATTCAAATGTGGGCGGTGCATTCATTTTGCTGTTTTAATTTACTTATTTATTTATGTTTTATAAAATTGCAATTGTTTGTGAAAATCAACTGCAGACACGAAAATAATGCGCTGAGTATGTGCTGTTAAACGCTTGAAGTGCGCACATGCTTAACAACACTGCACAGTCGATCTATCGCATGTACGCGATGTTTGTGGTATTTATATCAATGTGCTGTCTAGTTATGAAGCCCTCTTTACATATCGATAATGAAAAAGTCAATATAAAAAGTTTAAAACTGTTTGCGAAATATTTCTTCTATATTTGGCTTGTGTTCACAAGCAATTTCATGGCAGAAATATTTTCGATTATTATTATTCAATCTGTAAAGATTTAAAATATATATTTTTATGTTGTTTGCGTATACTGAGTACTTTATTGTGAAGGTTTATTTTTATTTTATTAAATATTTCAAATCAATCGATCAATTTATTTTCAATGAATCGGAACTACTACCATGAACTTGCTCTCCTCGTTCACTCTCGTGAGAGAAGTTTTTTTTCGATGTGTACGCATGAAAAACATATATTTTAAAAATATATTGATTACTTAATAATCCATCCTTTTTGTTTTATTCACAATGCTCCGTAACTAACATGCATATCGATTTATTTAATTCTTATCGGAACTACTTCTATGAACCTCCTCGTCAGATTCACTCTCTTGAGTCAGTGACTCATGAACCGCCCAACACTAGCTTGCAATTTTTCCGCCAAACATTGTCGGCGTTCTTGGTAAAATATTTCGTTTGCGAAAAATTGGTGAGACAAAAACAAAAAGATGGGTGACTCGAACGAAACGAATCCGCAGGATCAATCGACAATCACAATGCTCGATGTGCTTGAGGAGGAGGCGGAAATGGAGGAGGAATATGCCGCTGTACTGGGTGGCTCCGATGAAAAGGAATGCACCTATGCCAAGGGAGCGATTGATCGTCAGGCGCTCTACTCGTGCCTCACCTGCTGCCCAGCGGCACGCACAGATCCCACCAAAAGTGCCGCCATCTGTTTGGCCTGCTCGTATCGCTGTCACGAGAACCATGAACTAATCGAACTGTATACCAAGCGCAATTTCCGCTGCGATTGTCCAACACTGCGCCTGGGCGCCGACAAGCGCTGCGCTCTAAATCCCCAACTGGATGCACTGCAGGCGCCAAATGCAGAGAATTTGTATAATCATAATTTTCAGGGCTTGTATTGCAAGTGCAAACGGCCGTATCCGGATCCGGAACGCATCGGTGAGGAATTAATGCTGCAGTGCGTCATCTGCGAGGATTGGTTCCATTTGCAGCACATGCAATCGCCGCCGGTTTCGAAGAAGTGGCTGGAGGCCTGCAGTGAAATGATTTGCGATAATTGCATGGAACGGAATCAGTTCTTGAGCGATTACATCGGACTCGCTGTGCAGCCAGCTGAGCAAGAAGGGAAGCGTGAGACAGATATTGAAGTCAGTATGGGAAATGAGCAAGAGGTAAAGGGAACAAAGGAGAAGAAAAGCGAGCTGGAGTCGGACTCAAAGCAAAAGGAGAGCGAGTTGGAGCCGGAGTTGAAGGGAACAAAGAACGAACAGTTGCCGGCTGAGGCAAAAAGCGAGTTGGAGTCGGAGCCAAAGGGAACGAAAAGCCATTTGGATTCGGAGTCGAAGAGCAAGTTGGAGTCGGCTTTAAACGGAACAAAGAGCGAACAGTCGCAGGCTGAAGCAAAGCAGAAGAAGAGGGAGTCTGAGTCAAAAGCGGAGTCCGGAGAACGAGCTGAGAAACGTGCTAAATTGTCAGAGGAGATTTGTCGTCGTCCGAAACGAAATACAGAATATAAAGGTAAGTGTATTTATTTATAATACAATTCTATATATAATAATTATAATATAATTTAACAAGTAATAATAAGCAGAAGGCAATAGTGCTCGACTAAAATATATACTGGTCTCATTTCTTATGGCACTACGATATACGCTACAGCCAGCTCTTTTATACTTGTCAAATTTCCCTTTAAGAATTTCCCTTTGCATGTGCACAGACATAGGCATGGTGTAACTATGCAAGGTGGTCGGTCGCTTGTCGATATTACGTCAATTATTCCAACTATCTGTTAAGCAGCTGCTGTGCAGTTTGCTTATATATATTATATTTGGATAGTTGCAATTAATATATTGTAGAATATGTTGCATTATTAAATATTTAATAAAATGGTTCAAAGATTGCAGCTCAACACCAGTTGCTGTTAGACACAGCTTAACAGCTGTTAAGTGTGTTAACTAAACATAGCTTATGTTGTCACCTTACACCTAGTTACACCATGGGCGCAGTCACTGCGGAGTAAAGCGAAGAGAAAGCCTAAAAATTAAGAGAACAAACTAAGGCAGCGTATAAATACCCTCTATAAGGGCTTATTTAGAACACCTTCGCCCTCCCCCCACATTGTAAAAACTTCTTGTTTGGAATATGCCAACAACTAAAAACCCAGTTTATGTATAGTGTTCCACATGATCAATACATAAAGAGCAAATCGAAATTCTTGCGACCATTGCCCAGATAGAGGAAGCCATGCTTGCGAGAGCCGAGTTTGTGGAAGAATGTCATGCCCAGCCAGATGCAGGACTTGATGATGGAGATGCGCTCGTTGCGCTGCATATTCAGTGAGAAGGCCTGGCTCAGGGGAATAACACCATCGATGGTATCCAGGAAATCAATGGCATAATTATAATCACTGCGCTTCGACAAATTGCTCTTCAAATCATTGCGAGGCAAACGATACAGCTGATAATACGATAAATTATCGATTTGTAAATCATTCAAGCCACGAAACATTTGATTGGGTATAACACGACCATCAACCATTTTATAGAGAGCACCACGTGGACAAATTGCACTCTCCTCGCTGATAATAAAAACAATCGCAGCCAAACGCTCCTCTTCCTTCAGCTTGATCACCTCGGGGCGACCAATGCTCACCACTTGATTGGCAACAATATTAAATGTGGGATCCTAAAAAGAAAAAAAGATAACTTATGCCCGATTTATCCGTTAGATACCGCCTCAATTTACCAGCTTGACAAATGTCTGCAAACTGGGATCACCAATAAATGGTTCTGGTGCCAAAATTGTGGCCTGAAATATCTTTGGGCTCTGCACGAAGGGCAACAGTTGCCATTGATATTGATCCACGCTGTAGAAATATTTGCGATCCTTCAGACAATCGTTCGTATAGCCAAAGGCAATATAATAATCATTTTTAACCGCCGTAATTCGACCCCAGAAATACATGCCCGAAAATCGATTCTCCTGCAGCAACACAATCAGTGAATTCTCAATCAGAATGCGTTGCTCTGGCGACAATTTCAGGCCGCAATACATTAGGCACTCCAATCCCTCCGAGAAATACTCCACATTCATTTTGTTTCAATTTCAAAACGTACTCAAATATTTAGTTTTCTATAAACAAATGCTTTGTTGTCGAGCTGTTCAGCTCCGTTGACTGATTTAGCATATGGAGGAATATACATTCTCGTTTATTTTATGACATTGATTTGACCGTTAACCAGATGTGTAAAAAATAAACTGAACTCTGTTTTGTGTCTCACAACAGGTGCCGCCTTCTGGGCCAATGATTGGCGTACAGCTCTTTGCCAGTGCTCGGCGTGCATACAGCTATATCGGGACCAGTCTGTGGAGTTTCTGCTGGATGCCAATGATTCGGTGAAGGCGTACGAGGAGCGTGGCAAGAAGCGAGCCGAGGATAACTCCACCTATCAACAGGCCATACGCGCCCTGGCCTCCATTGATCGCACCAAGCAGATCGATGTGATTACGGAATACAATCGGATGGGCGACAGACTCAAGGAGTTTCTGCAAGCCTTTGCCAGCAGCAATCGGGTTGTCACCGAGGATGATATCAAGGGCTTCTTTGCCGGCATGCGCAGCGAGAACCATGCGAATCGCGGCCAGCCCTATTTTTGTCGTTAAACTAAGATTTACCTACTAGTACTATTACTACCTATGAAGTATTCGATTAGTTCTTGTACACATTCCCCGCAATTGAAGTTTTATTTACTATTCGAAATGTATACGTTATTATTATTATTATTATTATTATTATTATTATTATTATTATTATTATTATTATTATTATTATTATTATCCGTTTCTCGATCAAACCAATTTTTGATGTTAATCTTTTTAAATATCTATTTCCAAAATTATGCTACACATTTGAAATTTCGTGCACAATACTAAATTTATTGTTTATATTTTATTATAATTATTATTTTCGTGTAAACTACTAACTTTATTTTGTATTACTATTCTTTTTTAAAAAAGAGGCATAAAGAATTGCATAACATTTGAAATGAGAAATTATTATTATTATTTATATCTCGCTATGCACAGTCCGTTGCTCGGCCAGTCCTATTTTCGTTGTTAATCCTTTAAGTATATTTTCAGAATTATGGAACACTTGAAATTTCGTGTACAATACCAATTTTATGGTTTCTTTTTATTATTGTTATTATTTTAATACATTTCCCATTATTATTATCAACATCATTATTATCATTATCGAGAAGAGACCTTTGCTCAATCAGCCCTATTTTTGTGGTTAATCTCTTAAGTATGTCTCCTGAATTTGAGTACACATATGAAATACTAAATGTATGATTTATTTTGTAATTTTATTATAATTATTATTTTTTAAAAACGATTCATAAAGAAATGCGTATAACATATGAAATGAGATTCGAAATACAAAAGCTATGTGTTAAGTAAAAATATGTATAACTAAACATAAACTATGTACAAGTGTGGCTCTGAAATAAATGCTATATTAATCAACTCGCACTTAGATGAGCGTCGCCTGTAAGTCCCTTATTATATCAATATCAATATCGTCCGTAGTCTGATAATTCATCAAGATCAGATCACTAAAGGAAGGATTCTCCTCGGGCTGCTGTTGTTGAGTCAAGTCCTGTTCCAGATTTGTCAGAGTTGGCGGAGACTGTAATTGAATTTGCTGCTGAATTGGCGGAAATGTTTGACAAGTGGCATTAAATACAATATTATTATTATTATTAATATTATTATTATTGCTGTATGTAATATTAGTTGGCGTTAAGCTGCCGCCGTTGAATGTTGTCGACGTCGTCCAATTGCTGGATGCATTATTAATGCTAAACGTGAGATTCACAGTCTCCTGGTTGAGCAACTGCAGCAACTGCTCATCCTGTTGCGTCAAATGCGGCAATTGCTGCAACTGTTGTTGCTGTTGCATGGGTGCAATGCTGTCGATTGTGCTGCAACTGCTGGCACTTGGCGACACGGGAAAGTGATATGTGGCCGTGTTGCACGAACTAGCAGCCGAGGGGCAATTGCGTGTTGTGTCCAATTCATAGCCCGGCAACTGCTCCGCCTTGATCTCGGCCATATATGCGATGGGACTGGGACTCTGTCCATTGTAGCTACTCATGTGTGGTACAAGTTTTGGTTGTGGTTGTGGCTGCCCCAGCTGTGGCATGACCTGTTGTAGCTGCTGCTGCGTGCTGGCTGCAAAAAATATCGCAAAAAGTTCATTAGCAAAAAAAAGTTAACATGCCAAAAATAAAGTCGGAAGAAACTTTTCTTAACAACTAAGTTAATGAGCGCAACACAAAATACGAAGCATTTAAATGTGAGCAACAGCAACTTAACAACGATGGCAATAGCAATAGCAATAGCAATAATAAGAAATAACAACAACTAAACTTGTTGGCTAAACTTAAAAGGTCACTCAACAACAACATCAATAGCAACAACAACAGCAATTAACGTCTTCGTTAATTTGACAACTTACTTGACCAAGCATTTGGCTCATTCTCGACTTTTGTTTGTAGCTAAACTGAATGGAGATAGTCAAGATAATATATATATGACATCTTCGGCTAGCCGAAGTTTGATGGCAATTCTAAGTTGTTTTGAGGTTTAAAGTTAAATTTTTCTTAAGGGAGATAGCAAATTGCAAACTATGCAAAAGTTATTTTGCAAATTTCAGATTATATTTATGAGAGAGAGAGATAGAGCAATTTGGAATCTGAGTAAAGGAATTTGATCTATTTATATCGACAATTTAGATGTATTTAATAATAATAATAAATAAGTAAAAAGTTTGCTCGAGAAGTTCACATAATTGGTTAACGGACAAACATCAATAAAGTAAATGGATTTTCCTCACTTTAGAATGGCCATTGAAAGGAAAACTTTTCGAGTTTTTTTTTTGCAAAAAAAACTTTATTCATCAAATTCAATTACACATACATATAATTATGAATATGGTTCAAATATATATATATATATATTTATAGGACGAGGCAACAACAAACTAACAAAGTACCAGAGATACCTAAATATTTGAATACTACCAATTTCAAAAAACGATAATGGCCAACATTAATTGGCCCCATTTGGTCCACAAAGGGTTTGCTCTATGAGGAAACTAGCGTATACATTTATACAGCACTGTATTCGACTGTGTGTGTGTATGTGTGTGTGTGTGTGTAGGAACTTTTCTTTAGCTGACAGAATGTAAGACACCCAAATGTATGCAATGGTTTTTTGTTGTTATATTTTACGTGTATGTATGTATGTATGTATGTGTTAAAATCCTGTTTTCAGATCGATAACATTTTTTTTTAATTTGAGTTTTTCGATTTGACGTGTCAAAGATAAATAAATAATACAAAACTTTTTATGGATTTTTCTATAATCGAATTTTTGTTATCAAACTGCAAACAGGGTTTAATAGTAAAATTAGTAGTTGAGAGAATCCTCGCACCCGTAAATCCAAAAATAGACTTACATAACATTTTGGAGTGTTTGTGATGCTGCTGATGCTTTATTTCAGACAATTTGCGCTTAACACTTTCAGTGGCTTTGCGCGCCTCAAGGCGGCACTTCTGGGCCAAAGCATCTACAAAGACAATTGGTACAAGGATTAGCATGCGACTAGGAGGAGGAGCAGGTATAGGTACACATAAGAGTTATATATAAAAAGACGACTAGAATAAAAGTTGAATATATAAATATATATATATAGAAACAATAATGATTAATCTGCCAGGCCGTTGGCCTCGGCAAGCCGACGAGCAATTTCATCGGCACTCAAATAATCAGTTGGAGCATCCTCAATTTCGCGTTCCGGTTCCGGTGATTTACTCGTGTACAACGCAAAATGTTCCGCCTCCGATAGATCCACACTCGGATCGAGCACAACACCGTAGGCACCCTCACATAAATTCCTAATACTTTGACGATCAGCAATCGCCACCAACTCCATGTTGCCATCACTAATCGGAATATCTGCCAATTGCAGAGTGCTCAATGTTTTCCTGTCCAAGGGACGTCCATAACTCAAAGTGCTGGCATTCGAATAGCTCTCGGGTCGCAGCAGACTGTTCTCGCTATCACCGCTGCCCTTTAAGGGTATATGGATGACATCCGCATCCAGATAAGTTGGTCGCTTGCCGGAAACGCTGCTCGAACTGCGTCCAACTCCAGCTTTGCCACTACTGCGTGGTGGCTGCAAGGATCTAATCGAACTCCTATTGGGATCGCTGAGCGAGAACTCTCGACTGGGCAGCAACTGCTGCGCCTGCGCCTGCTGCTGCCCCTGTTCCGGTTTGCTCTTCGTCGTCTCCTCATCCTCCGTCCTGCTGCGTCGCCGTGAAAAGAGTCTCGAGAAGAAACCCTGTCGTTTTTTGGGCGAGGCAGCTGCCGAGGTGCTTGCCGAAGCGGGCAGCCGCTTGGTCGGACTCTGATCGGGTGTTCTCATAATAATAATAGGAGAAGGTGTAGTCCTGGTCGAGCTCACACTCCCATTGCGTGATCGGCTCAAGGAGACGGAATTGGAGACGCTGTGTTCGCTTACACTCAAATCTTGGGAATTACGCGGCTTGGGCGGCAATGGTGGCAAAATCTGATCCGGATCAGGTGAGGGTGTTCTTGGCGGCAGCGGGAGTGGAGGTGATGTCGACGGCGTTGCTGGCGTCTGGGCGGCATTCACTTGTATCTTGGGCGCTGGGGGATTTGTTAAGACTACCAATTCTGCCTCATCCAGCTGACTGAAGGGATTCGAGGCGTGATAGCTATGATCCTGTTTTTGTGGCATTGCCACGGGATGATTGTAGGCAATCTGTAGACTTGTATACGTTGCCGTCTCATCAAAGTGCTCATCTATGTCCACAGAAGCCTGGGCACTGGCAGTCACCAGTTCCGGCTCCGGCTCCTGCTCCCGCTCCTCGCCCAGCTCTGCATTTTCCAGCGTATTGCGGCGTGAAACGCTGCAATCTTTTTCTTCATCCTCCAGCTGATTGGTGATGGTTGTATTCGCTGTCAGGCTGCTCACATTGGTGAACGCCGTTTGGGCGGTGCTGTGGGAGAGAGTGGGCGTGTCTCCATTCTCAACTGTTAGACTATCCGTCCGCTCAAATTCACTGCTACGCATCCACTCATTAATCTTGTCCACATTGCTGAGGGGCCGCGATTGGAGTTGGGGCTGTTGCAATATCTCCTCCATGGGAGTTGAGGTCTGTGTGCAATCATCGGCCAGTTGGGGCAACAACTGTGGCACCTCCAACTCAATCTCCATCATCATATCCGGCTCTGCGTCATTATCATCGGCCAACTGATCCGTATACTCATTCACTGTTGCATCCGCTTCATTTGCCTCCATTTCGCCACGTTGCCGGAGTTGTATTTTTCGCACAGCAATTTCAAATTCATTTAGGGTTCCGGAACTCTGTTGATCATCGGAGGACACCGTATTCTCGTCCTCGTTGAGGTCGAGCGGGGGACACGAGTATTTCGTGGCCGTCGTTTCGCTATCTAGTGAAAGTATCTGCTGGAATACGTCCAGCTCCTGTTTGCGCTTCAGCTTGCGCTGCAATCGCGCAAATGTTAGCATACCTGGATTCGGATAATACTCGAACGGCAGCGCGGCACTCGTCGCCCCATCTGAGGGTCGTTGCAACTGTAAATCCACCTGTCACAATACAGAAAAAACCACACAAATCCATCATCAAACTATTCAAAATATACTCAGATACAAATTTGTAGTAAATCGCCCTTAAAAATATAAAGTTTTTCGTGATTTTTGCAATCATTTCCAAACAGTATCGGAAAAAATTGCCCTAAATCGATCATCACAAAAATGATGCGATTTTTTCAATTTTTTTTTAAATAAATATTTTGTATTATTAAAAAAGCTAATGTGAACTAATATTAGAATTCTGCTGTGGTATAAACTTAGAGAACAACATAGCCTTGCAATAAATTAATCTGTATGAACTTATAAACTTAATAATAAAATAAGTAACAAAACAGCTAATGTAAGATTTCTTAGAAATCAGTACCCTGAACCAAATTCAAGAACATTTCATACTGAAATTTAGAAATGGAAGAACTAACTTCTTAAATTTTAGAAAATTACTTCTGAATTGGGCGACAGATGTTTCTTATTTTGTTGTGTTTCTCTCACCTGGACACTGTGCTGGATCTCCGTGTTGCGATAACGAGGCGTTTTAAACACAATCGCCGTCTGTTTGTAGATATCCGTGGGCTGGAATTCGGCATATGCCTCCCAGATTTCGACGCCAGCCTCGTTAGTCTCGAAGAACCGTATCCGGATATCATCCTTGTTGATCTTCTCGCACAACATAATGATCTGATCGCCGCCACTCAACTTCGAGGAGCAGCTGCAGAGTCGATTGATGGTCAGCTCATTGCTTTTGCCGTAGATCGGTGATGAGACAACCGGATCCAATGGCACATGGTTGTTGCCCACCTTGATGAAGGCCTGATAACACAGACGCAGCTCATACAGATTAATGCCACTGATGTTGTCTTTGTGATCGAATTTGGCTGCAAACAAGAAGTCATTAAAAATAGCATAGTCCATCTTAAAGCAAGTCCATTTTAAGAATACGTGAGTCGAAAGAGCTCGACTAGGAGAAACTAGCTGATAAAAATCTCTTTCAGTTTCTAACCGGCGGTCAAACCGGAATTGGAATTGCAATCGGAAACTCATTTTTACCGATTGAAATTTAGAATAAGTATCGGAGTCAAAAACTAAATTAAATAAATATATATGACCGTACCGGATATATGTCGGATGTTAATAATGCTTTTCCTTACCGGAATCATTATATTATATTATCTTTAAGGCACGCACCTTGCAAAGAATTTTTTTAACAATCGGAAACTTAATTCGTTTCGATTTGACAACCTGAATTATAATGATATGTGTAGGTTTGGAAGAAAACAGGAATCATTAAGGGACTCTTTTTAAGGCGCGCACCCAGGCGTCGGAACTTAAATTGGCTTCGGTTTGCCAGTCTCCAATATGTGTAAACCCTCAAAATCAAATTCGCCTCGTTTTGACACCCCTTATTAAAATTAATTTCAACCTTAGAGCCTGCGTTATATTGATATACGCAGAATCAGACTACCCACCATGATATGGATCAATATTCTTCTGTTCACGGGCAAGCAGAGATTCGCGGACATCCGTCTTCTTCACACATTGAATGCCCACTTTCTGCATTTCGAGGCGACGCTCCTCGGGCGGCAGCAACCTGTTGTAGACACCTGACTTGCAGTTGTCCGCCTCCTCTTTGCTGACCAGCCAATGGGGATGCTGGCGATACGGTTTGTCCCTGGTGACGCACGAGACGACAACGACAACGGGTCCACTGTAATCGACAATCTCGATGGTGGGAAAGGTTTTTGACTCCGCCGTGGAATTCATGCCGGCAATCGAGCCAGCTGTACGACCTTCGCACTTGTAACGAAATCGTATGATTTTATTTGTGGGCTCCTCCACAATGCGGATGTAGGGACGACGTTGAGCTGTTGGCGTTGCCAGCACGGGCAACGGTATGTGGGATGGCATCACCGGCAACGAGGCCGACTGTGGAAAAGTCTGCGTCACGGGCGGACGACCATTCTGTTCGGAGCCGCCATTAAGGATTTCCTCTGCGGGAAGGGGGAGAAAGAAATACAAGTTGAAAGAACTGTCAGTAAGCCAAATTCAATAAGAAGGAAACAAAAAATAATAATAAGTTTAATAACAAGGACAAATCAGTAGGAAAGCAAAAATAAATCACACAAAAAACTTCAATAAATAAATAAACATATGCGGAAAAAATAATAATAATAAGCAGGAATCACTAAAGCGGCAATAATTATAATAATAATAAGCAAAAATCAATGAAGGAAAAAAAACAATATTAAGAATATTAAAAATAGTCGAAATATAAAATATTAATAATCAGAAATCAATAAAATAGCACGAAAATAAAGCAAAAAAAATTATAATAAGGAGCAAAAATCCATAAACGGCATTAATATGCAAAAATCAATAAAAATAAAGAAAGCAAAAATAAAAAATATATTAAACAAAAATCAATAAAACGGCAATAATTTGCCGCAATGACAGAAACAATTTAACATATAGCCACAACATTTGTGGCGTGTATCTACAAGCTACATGTCAGCCATATTTATGAATTATGCATATGTGGGGCATATAATTGTGTGGTGGTGCTGTGCCATCTATCAAAGCTATTGTTATGCTGCTGCAAGAAGTACGATTTTTAGGCTAGACTATTCATAGGGCCTGGCTGATACACTCAGAAAAAAATCGCCCCGAATTTTAGAAATTTGCCAAGAGTAACTCATATAAGTATAGGAGTAAATATACTTTTAGAAAAGAGAGATTTTCTTTTCTTCATTTTCAGCGTGTTCTTTCATAACAACTCTAACATTTTATGCTACTTGTATTTTTAATAAATATTATGTTATAAATGTTATACATAAACATGTAATCAAACATGTTCGATAGCTTTTAAAATTACGATAATTTTTTTCTAAAAAATTGGGTTTAAATTTCAACTTTATTTAATATACAATATTTCTTTAGAAAATTAAAAACTTTATATTTTAAGGGTATATTTTATTTTTGGGCGATTTTCAGCAATTGGGGGCGATTTGATTTTTCTAAGTGTAGTGCCACGCTGGGCCAGATGTTAAGGCGTTTGACGTCACAAGTAGCGCCAAAAACATGGCAAGAACCTCATTTAGAGCACATGTCTTGGCCTTTTGCAGCCCCACAATTATTTCCAGCAAGTACAAGCACAAATTGGCTTTTAGCTGCCTTTTTAATGTTGCCACTAAAAATGGCCAATGCGAAACTGACCAAAACAATTGTGCGGCTAATGAAGCCTCTGGTCGATTGAGTTATTGTGCCACATGCCACATGTTTCTGCCACAATTGTAGTTGATTATTAATTACGCGTATGTATTTCAGCTCTTAGCCATATATTTATATTTCTCATTTATTATTTATTGTTTATACTTACGCAAATCGCCAAAGAATTCGTCCTCTGCCATTTGAATCGGATTGTCTGCAAAGGAGAATAATGATGGATTAGTTGAATATGCCGACTCACATAAGTATTCATTAGGCGTATATATATATCCCATTATCTCCTATTATCATATATGTATATATGCATGTTTATACAAGTGCTTGATTAGAATTCAGGATTGATTACAGTTTGTGCTTCTACTTTGCTCCGATTTGTTTACACACACATTTATATCTTTTTATTTATTGTTGCATACATCTTTTCTTTTTTTATTTTTTTTTTGTATACATCAGACTTAGCTATAAATATTTGGAAGACTAACGAAAAAGTTTGAACATCAAATATTCATTGATGGATTACTTTTCAAAGTGTAGTAAAACAATTGTCTGGTTCATTATATTATCCTATATACTTATTTTCCACATTTATTTCTTTTCATTTATTGCTGCATAGATTTTTTCTCTTTTTCTTCATTTTTTTGTATACATCAGATTTAGCTATAAATATTTGGAAGACCAAAGATAAAGTTTGAGCATCAGATATTCATTGATGAATGTTTTTTGAAGTGTAGTAAAACAAATGTGAATTTGTTTAGCAAGTATTTACAATATATCTTACATAATATCCTCTCTGTGCTCTTAAGTTCTCTCTGGCTCATTATTTTTATCAAATATACTTATTTTCCACATTTATTTCTTTTTATTTATGTTTGTATTCATCAATTTTTTTTTTTTTTTGTATACATAAATTTAGTCTATAAATATATTTGAGATTAAAGGGATAAATATTCAATGATGGTTAGCTTTTTGAATTGTAGTAAAGAATTGTGATGTTGTTATGGAAATATTTACAATATATATTGCATAATGTTCTTCATGGTTTCCCGTCTATCTCAAAATTCAGTATTCAGACTTTAGACATGTAGTCAAAATATCAAACAATTTTGCAATATTTCGAACTCAGAGATTCAGGAAATGTATACATACGAGTATATATTGCATTTTTTTTCTCTTAGTCTTGTTCATTAGTATTATATATACTTATCCTCATATCTATCTATCTCAAAATTTACTATGCCTTCTATATAATTATAGTTAAAGTATTAAAATCTCGAAGTCTGGCATTTAAAACTATTTATATACTTGCAACACTTACATATTATTTCCAATAATAATATTTCATAATGTTCTCTCTGGTTTATTATGTTCATATTATATTCCTATTCTCTGGTTTATATCCATATCTGTATGTATACCAAATACGTAGACAGACTTGCATTTAAATGCATAAATCAAAAGCAATCATTTCTAAGCAACTTGGCGCCCGTGTTAAATGTGCAAAATATATGCATAACAACAACAACAACTCCCGTCGCTGCAACTATTATTCTCGTGCTCTTAGTTTGCATACCCTGTAAACCGTTGCGAATGACAGCTATCAATATATCTATTATTAAGAGAGAGAGAGATTTTTAAACTAAACTTGAGCTTGGCTTGGAAGTCTTATTTAGTGTGTTCTCTTAACTAGTTTGGTTTAATTAGCCGTTGAATTATACAATTAAGAGAAAGCCGATATTGAGAGAATGAATGTTGGACGCAACTGTGTGATATCACTCTCTTCAAATGTGCTGTGCTCTTAAATAAATAGCAAATAATATTTATTGCTTTAAATTATTATATTTTTTAAGTGAATAACGCACATTATTCCCTCATATACATATTATATTATTATATGTATATAATAATTTTTTTTTTAGATACCAACAAATACAACTTTGACAACTAAGAAAATGGTAATTGTTGCTGCTAAGAGAAGAACTAAGAACTAAGGGAAAACAATTGATATTACTGCTCTGCCGGTATGTTGCTCTTAATTCCATTTTACAGATATACAAATCCGTTCTCAGTTCTAAGCCGCAGGGTATCTGCTGGTCGGGCATGCTAGACCAGCATACACATTTTTTTATTTATCTTTGTATATATGTATCCGACAGCAAGCACGCTGCGGAACCGGTTTACTTCTACCAACACACAGTTTTCAAGGTTATTGTTTTCGCTCAGATAATAATGCATATTTAATAGCACTTTATTTCGCTATTAAGGCAAAGCAGGACTTCAATTGCAACGGTGGTTAGAGCTGAAAGGCAGACGGATCGGGAATGGGGTGGAGAGGGTTGTGCAGGTAATGAAAGTCGTAGTTGGAACCCGTTAACCCCATATGCCAAATACTCACACATGAAACTCTCAATCTCTCTTCCGCTCTAACAAGAGGAATTTGCATATGTTCATTTTGTTTACATTTAAAAAACATTGTAACAACAATTTGTACCCAAGTTGTATGTGTGTTTTTACTTTTTGACACCCCACACAAGCCACAGAATTTTTTTTGGGTCGGCTTTTTGACGCAGAACACGTTTTACGGACAGTAATAAGTATAATAAGTTATAGCTTAATGTGGATCGCTTAAGTTCGGCACAATGACATCAGGAAGTTCTACACTTGGAAAAAAATCAACCTCACGATTAGAAAATCAATCTGTAGAGTAGATAGTTTTTCCAGCTTTAAGAAATAAATTAAAATAAAAATAAAATAGCCTATTTTCTTAAAGAGCAGAAATGCAAATCCTTATATAAGAAAACCCCTTTTCAAAATTGAGAAAATAAGCTAATACTATGTTTCATTGAAAACTGTTCGGTTGGTTCTTTGTTTTTGTTTTTTTTTTTTTTTTTTTTATTTTTTGTTTTTTTAGTGTATTTAAGAGATGCGTCCATTGACATTGCTTATTAAAGTGGTCAACAGGTTGGGGCAAAAGGCGCACTTATTATTTAGAGCGCTGCATCATAATTCAGAATATTTATATATGTATAAATATATATATATATATCTATATGCATATATATATATATACATATATATGGATTATGTGGTGTTGCGTAAGAACAGAAGCCGCTGCAGGATGAATGCTTACGTGACAGGTACAAACATGTTATGGCATGCTTGCGTGTGTGTGTGTGTGTGTGGGTGTGGATGGGTGTGGATAGGTGTGATTACGCATTGCGTGGCAAACTCGTCGAACTGCTTCTACGTTGTTAGATCGATACCAAGGAGAGAGCCATGGGTAAGTGAAATATATATTTTTATGTGTGTATTTATATATTTTTGTATTGCATAATAATAATAATCCAGGGTTGGGGAAATTGATAAGGGCTTTTCATAATTTAAGCTATGCGCGATCTTAAGCAAGGCTCAACATTTTTAAATTCCAATTATAAAAACATTTTGATCTGAGTCTAAGTAAATTTGAAATTTAATTAAGCTGTCAACGAAGGAGCGCTTTAAAATTGCGCAATAGCTCCGTTCAGCCAGGCAGACGGACGGAGGGGCACATCCTACCACCCCTAACCATCTCTCCACACCCCCTCCACTCCCCCACACACACTGCTTACCACAGAGCCGCCTGTGAGCATTGACAGAGCTGCTAATACTTTAAGACAGCCTGCGTCGCACTCAGCGGCTGAAGCAAATTTAATTCGCATTTAGGCAAAGCATTTATCTGAAGTTTTTTCACTTTTTTATTTTTTGCATTTTTATCCTATACTCAAAGAGTATTGACAAAAGGGTGTCATGACTTGAAGTCTTCATTATAGCCACATTATAATAATAACTATTCTTTGTCATTGGTGTTTTTCCCGAGTTTTCCTGCAATTAACTTTACAGCATTTTGCTGCATTTTAAATAACCCATCGAAATCGTATAAGTCATATAAATTTTCCTTATTATTTTCATTTCAATTGTTTTGTATTTTTGTTAGTCGACTGACTTTTATTGACAAAAATAAATAAAGGCTGTTTTCATGTTGTCGTGAAAATTGTAACGCATTGAAGTAGGTGTCTGCGACCCTATATTCTTCACCTACACCGATGGCTAAGTCGATATAGCCATATCTATTTGTCTATCTCTTTCTATATCAACTGGTCGCCCAGCTTCGAAGTTATCTTGATGAAACTTGGCATATATATGTTTTTTTTATAGCTAATTACAGGGTATATATCCGGTCAGCCGTCTCGCCCAGATCAACCTTTAGCTTGTTTTGCTTTACGTTTTTGCCTATCGCTGGGGGTTGGCGACATAAATCAGTGCTACAAATTGATGCGTAAATAAATGCAGAAGCGAAATTACCAACAACAAAAAAGGTTGTCACCCAACAAAAAAAATATAGAAAGAGAAATAATGAGAGAGGCGAGGCGTGGCGAGAGTAAAATGTTAATTAAATATGATCAAAAATAGAATGAAATCAACGCCAGACGCATTTTTGTGAAGAAGTTAAGGTGGTTGCCATTTACCGCAGAGTTTTGAATTACATGCCCCCAAAGTGGCATTTATACGATGACGCTCTGTGGCACTCTCTCCAGCCGGTGCCATATGGGGTATGCCACACATATATATACACATAAAGATATATATATATATATATATATATGTATACCTACTTTAGTAGCTGCTGCTACTGCTACTGCTACTGCTACGGGTAGCTTGTCATGTGTTCAATCGATTGGAAAATCGCGTTCTGAAGCGAAAATAAACACAGCTAAATAGAGAAAATGAAAGCATTGAGTAAACGACTCTCGAATAGGGCCAAATACTTCAATGGACCTAGACCAAAGGCAGTGCCCCCAAAACAAATTAGTGGACCAACTTCACTCGCTCCACCTACACTCAGCAAAAGATGGCCCAACAAACTAGAAACGTTTAAAAAAAATTATAATCAATATAGGAGCTTATTTCTACTTCTCAGAAACTTATTTCCTAGTAATAAATAATTCAATAAGTAGAAATGCAAGCAAGAAAGCTCGTACTCATACTACTATAAAACTGGTGCGGCTTTTATATTATATGTTAGCATAATATAATATTAATAATATAATAGTAATTATAAGCAACAACAAATCTAGTGTACAGTTATTAATTGGTTCACATATAGAAAACAACACCCTAGAAATTTTACAAAAATGTAAACCGTGGTTTTAGCAAGCCACATCTATAAATTTTATTTACTTTGTGAATAATAAGGTGAGCAACCCTTGCCCCAAATGCAAGGCGATTTACTAACATTTAGGGCGCTTATTTTGATGAGTGTAAACACACCCAAATCACACACGCACACAGGCGGACACACACACACCGGTTGCGCTTTACAGGCTGTGCTACATCAAACACAAAGACTCAGAGATGGGAGGAGGGGTGTTAGGGAGCAAGGCGGAGTTTGGGGAGCAGATTGAGGACATTGAGGACATTCCCATTTGCACCTCAAGTACTTAAACAAATCTTGGCCATAAGTCGACATGTGTGTGCGTGCCCGTGTGCGTGCATGTGTACATTCACATATGTACATATTCATATGTTTATTTGTACTCAAAATTAATTTCAAACACTCAAAATCTGTGCGTGAAGACTTGCAAACAGCCTGTCACAAAATATTTTGTTGCTGGACTTGTTTAAGTGCTTTCTAGCTGCATGTTGTGTGTGTTTGTGTGTGTGTGTGTGCGGGTGTGTCTGCAAAAATCAATAAATGCTGTACTTATGGCATTATGTTGTCTGACTATATCGATGACGTGTGAAATTTACAATTTGTAGTGTGTCCTTCAAATTTTTTTTTAATAAATCTGGGATATTCAAAAGTATAAAGGTGCAGTATTTATTGTAAGGATTGCTGAAACTCAGATAAAATACCAATCAGACCAAAAATTGTTAAGCGCAAGTAGCTTATTAATAAGGAACTAAGAGAACATTAAGAAGAAGAGCGAAAGAGAGAGAGAGAGAGAGAGAGAGAGAGAAAGAGTGAGACTCAAAATAAAGAAAACGTAGGCATATCTCTGAAACAGTGGAGTAAAATGATTTGCAATTCAATGTACAATAATATATAACATTGTACAAATAAATACTTATAAGTTAAAATAATAGTTAGATTTTGTTTAATAGATAATGTCTAATTATATCATATTATAAAGTGGAAGAGAGAAAAGATTTGTCATGAAATATTTCACTTATCATTCTCTGATTTATAGATATATTTAATGTATTTTCATTGATTAAAAAATATATTTTTTCGCTCTCTCACTCTCTATATTTTGATATAATCAACCAACTATAAAACATGAAATAATTTACTTAACTTTCTATCTGTACCAATAGACAAGTATAATTTTCATCTTTTATTTTTTAACACAAATATAGGCATGCAGAAATTAGATTGAGCGAAATTGAAAAAAATTGATAATTATTTACTTTCAAGTGTTTGATGTTTGATGTTGTTGTAGGTTAGCAATCAGAAACAACATAAAAAGCATGTTCCTATCAGCTAAAGATAAGAGCGGTTGAAAGGTGTAATTGAAATGAGAATTAAATATTGCTATAGTTCTGGGAAAAGCCCTCATTCAATTTGATTTGAATTTAAGTCTTTGCTCAACTGTGAGTCAGCTTAGCTGCGGAACGTGTTTCTAGCATGGTTCGCGTTGGCTTTTACAGAAGTTTCATAGAATTTTTATAGATTTTATAAACTAATTAAAAACCAATTAATTCTATTGTAAGCATCGTGAATGAATAAATAGAATGCAAAGAAAACGGAACAAAAAATTGAATTACAAAAGCCAAAAATTGTACATCAAATACAATTAACAAGAAATCGATTTTAATGTCGTTGCCGAGCAGAGCAATCAGACGAAAAGTCTTTAGAAAGCCAAAAACCAAGTAACCAAAAGTATTTTCCAATATGCCAAATAAAATAGAAAAAAAACAACTTTCATGCTCTACAGCAAAAATTTCATTCTAATCGCAAACCACACAATTCACACGCGATGCCAACAAACCTCAGCAGCAGCATTTCATTAAATTGCCGTAAAACTTTTGAAAACTTTGCACAATTCAATCAATTCAACTTGCCGCTATTCAAAATAATTTATTGCGACGGCCAATGTGGCGTATACTTGCTCTGAAAGACAGAAGCATAATGACGCCTAATCGGATCAGTCGACCGATCTGTTAGCTAATTATAAATGTGTTGTCGTGTTTGTAATTTGTTGTTGCCAGATTACTATTTACTTTAATAATTACAAATTCAACGAATTAGTATCAATTTAATTTTATAGGATAGATACACATTTTATTTTCTTTAGCTAGATTATTTTGTACTCCTTATTTTATCATATGGTAATAGTTATACACCCAACACTATCATATACACTATCATATACTTTTTTGTTTACCAAGTAATAACCTTTTGACAAAAAATGTTGTACGTTGGCTTAAATTATCTTATATCTTTAATAAGAACAATCGGACTGATCAAATTTATAGCAATTTTGTCCTGTTTTTTTTTTTGTTTCCAGCTGATTTTCTCTTAATAAATTCCAATTTTTGTATATTGAATATGCGAATAGGTGAATATGCGTATATCGATTTTTGACGTAAATTTGGAATCATATTCAAAAAAAATAAAATTAGTATTATCCATATTTATATATATATATTTATATATATATATATATATATATATATATGTTACAAATATCTGTGTACGAGCAAAAGGTGTGAAATTTGTATTTGTTTGTTTCTTTTGCTTTCGTCAATTGCTGAGAACACAAATGGCTATGACTGGGGGGCTATATTAGTGGGGGAGCAGGGTGGTATATAGTGGGTATATAGTCTGATAAATCGATATTCGAGTTGCTTTTGGCCCTGACTGTCCGCATGCAACTATTTAACTATTTGTGTGTATAAATAAAAGTGTATTGGCCTTAAAGACTTGAACTAGCTTTGGATTTGGATTTGTCTAAGTTCTTTTTTATTTTATTTATTTTTTTTGTTTGTGGCAGAGTTCCACGTGAAACGCTTTGATTGCAAATGAAACAAACGAAATGTTCCAGATGCTTAGATTTTTATAAACTTTTTTCTGTGTTGTTGCTGTTCACTTGTAAAAATATTTACAAACTGATTATCTAAATATTTGCGTATTGCGCCATGGATCAGCCTTGAAAAATGTTGTTCGAAACGATCGATCGATCAGTTGCGGATGTGGTCAACCGCAATCTTAAACATTAAGCATTATGTATCTCAATTCTCAAATCAATATTTTTCAATTCTCCATTTTCTAAACTTACCATTGCCCATCAAATGCGCCATGTTTGTTGTGGTTGTTTCTTTATTATTTGACACACGCCGCCTTTTAGCAAATCTTTATCAAAATTGCTAATTGTTTATGTTTCTTGCTTTTTTTGTGATCTGTAATTATGAGTTATAATCGTGTTAGATGGCAGAAAGTTAATTATTCTCTGGCGAACATTTCGCATAATAAATAAGCTCTAAGCTCGTGCAATTTGTTTGCAATTCTTGTTTACAATAACAACTGAACACCGGAGGTCAATATGCGATAAATCAGAGCTGAATATGTTAAGCACATGCTGCATAAATATATGGCTAAATATGTAAAGATATGCATCCGTATTAATATCAAATGAAACATGATATTACGAGAATGATAATCGTATCAGGGGAACAAAAATTGCATTTCAATTTTGTACATTTCGTCTGTAGATATTTATTTTAGATGTGTAAGAATTTTATATTTAATGTTTTTTTTTTTTGTAATAAAGCTTAAAACAATGCAATAGTTTCTAACATTTCTTATACAAGAGTCTAGCAAACTTATTGCAGCTACTACTCGTAATATTTGCTGTAGCTATAACAGTTTTATTATGAATGTGTTTTTTTAGTGAAGCTCAATAAAATTTAAAATTTAAAAACAATATATATATATATATATATGTAAGAATGTAGATATGTATTCACATTGATGTAGTTGAAAAGAGTTTGTTACAGTTGCAGCGCCTAACTAAATTCTTACAGCTTCTTGCAGCTATTTTCTATTTGTTTATAGTAGGAAGTGTTCTTGTTGAGTGCTATTGAATACTCAGTACTAAAAGTAAATAGAAACTTTTGCTCTTTAGCTATTGATAGCACATACAGATTGTATACAAAAACAACAATTACAAAAGCAATTTGAACTTACACGCTGGGTTATCGTCACTGAGACAAGAAGCTTATCAGAAGAAGTGTGTGCTACAATCAAGAAAGCAGAGCAGGCCACTGTCTGGAATTGCATTCACATTGCAAATCACAATTCAAATAAACTCAAATATAAGTCAATGGAATTGAAAAAAACAAAAGCATTTCATAGACCATTTAGAAGCCTCTGCCTTTAAAACTGTGGCTTGTTTTGCTATCGGAAGTCGATATTTGCAAAAAGGGAATATGCGTAAGGGGTATGCAAGAATTTTTAGTCCAAATTTTAACTCTCTTTTCTCTCATAGTCTCTGAGACGCATATTGACATCACCACACATATAACCTTAGGCGGAGTTGTTTGCTTACTTTTACACAATACCATTATACCCATTTTTAATGGATGGGTACACAAATAAAAAGGTTTTGACAAGAGTCTGGAGTCGAATTAGCAATGTATCATTTTGTATATTATAATTCTTAAGTGTTATCAATTAATTTGAATAATTTGCTCAATCCAATGATGGCGGCAACTGTCAGCAAAAATAAGTCTCAATATGAACTTGAACACGCATGGCTATTTTTATCAGCAACTGAGTATTGATTAAGAATACTTTATACATATACATATACATATATGTATACCTTTTTTTCTTAATATTTTTCCATAATTATTTGTAATTCCTAAAACTATAAACCACAACTAGTTTGAACCCCATAAATATTCATTATTTAAGGAAAGTCTTTTGATAACCACTATTAATAGTTTTTTTTGTTGCTATGGATTATAATTTGATATACGAGTTGTTGTTGTTTTTTTTGTCTTGTTTTTGTTATTTACAATCTTTAGATTATCTATTGCAATTGTAGTTGAAATGTGTAGAGTGCTGTTGTCTTTAAATACATACATATACACATGCATGGCTATAAATATGTATATTTATGCATGTATTCAAAGCTGAGTTTAGTTTCAGTAACAAACTGCGCGTTAGATTTAGCATTTTTTACTTAATTTATTACTGCTAACCTTTATGGCGTGTAGTTGTTTAGTTGCTTTTTTTATTATGTTGTTGTTATTGTTGTTATTGTATTTGTTAGAAATATAAAAAAAAAACTTGATTAAAAAGCGCTGCGACACAATGTTATACTTTTTTCCGCATTTCCATTTGAATGCATGCACATATACATATATATACATGCACATCTATAGATATGTTTTTTTATTTAACTTAAACTTGCCTAAAATTAATTTCTGTTATTCTCTTCTTTGTTGTTAAAAATTAACGCGCCAAAAACAAAGTGAGTCAGTAAATACAGACAGAACTGAGAACGGCTTTACTTATTATTGTGGTTATTGCACTGCAGATATATATATAAATATATATATATATATAAATATAATATATATGTCGGGCTTGCGTGTGTATAATTAACAGATAAACAAAATATACACTCGCGTGCGACTTGCACAAATCGACGACGATTTCGATTTCGAATTCACTTCACACAAGTCAAATCACGTCAGTCGCCGGCAAAGTTCAGTTTCAAACTGAGCGTCATGTTTTCTCAAATGCTTCACAGATCGACTCGCACTCACATTCGTATTCGTACTCGTGCTCAGACTAACACTCACACTCACATTCGTGCTCACACTCGCCGACGGCTTGAACTGTCACTCGACTTTGCTCGGAGGGCGATTGTTTCTCTCTCGTCAACTTGTCGCATTGTTGATATCGTATACTTGATGACGATCGGCGGCCATTAAATTTCAAGCCATATCGACATATCAGCACACTTTTGATTTCATTTTGCGTTTTATATACCACTTAAAGTGGGTAAGAGGGGTATAACGTATTCTTCAAAAATTGTCTCAATTTAGCCATAAAAGCTAGACTCTCTCAAAATTTCAAATGTAAGCTGTCGTAAAAAGGAAACTACCATCAAGCTGCTTGTATGAATTAAGTTTAGTTAATGTTATCGATAACTTGCACCGATTCACGAATATTTCACGATTTCAGATAACCATAAAATCAATATTTTTGATTTACACCCGTCATAGAAAACTGTATAAACTCTCACAAAGATTCTTTTATATTGAACAAACTACAATATCAGCTACCACAATCATTTTCTGTGTACATAAATATGTATTTGTAGGCGGCGAGCAGCCTGATAACCAAAGCAAGTATAAATATAAATATATATATACATACATACATATATACATGCAACCTGCCGAGGTCTGGTTTTTATTTTGACGGAAACGTCTCCAGCTCCATCAAGTGTATACATTCTTGATCAGTAGCATTAACCGAGCCGATAAAGCCATCTACGTCTGTTCTCATATTTGTAATTATTAATGTGAATCTATTTAATGTAATCCAAAAACAGTGTAGAAAAAACTCTGCATGTTTTAATAGATGTACGTTGAGAATTAAAGTTACGAATTAAATTATTTAACATGAAATTAATAATTACAATTAATACAAATTAAAGAAAAAATAAATAAAATAAAGAATATAATAAATTAATTTGGGGATTTTAATATGTCAAATGATCGAACATTTATTCCACGGTTTGGAGAAACCCAGAAAAAACCCAACGACACCAAAAATTGTTACGTGTTAGTCGTTTAGTGACCACGAAAGTAAAAAATGCTAAGAACTATATAGATTGACACAGATAAAGAGTGAGGCATCAAACAATAAAAGGTAAGCAAATCTCTGAAGGTATGGAGTAAGATAAGTTAAACAGAACTCTCTCAGCTTTAAAGCTTGATCGAAAGGAAACATAGCAACACAAATATTGAATATTCAACATATAAAAATATAATATTATTTAATATATTTAAAAAATACACTTAAATATCAAAATATATGTACGAGGGTATAACATATATTCGGAGTGCCCAAGATTAACGTTCTTTCGATCTTTCCTATTAACTTCAATTAAGTGGAATTAGTCAACATCTAAAAATCTATTGACCCCTCTGATATGGTCCAGTTCCCAGAGCAGTCTTATCTCTCGAACCGATACAGCCACACGCAAATTATGAAATTGAACACAACGCGAACCCAACGCGAGTTTAAACACGAATATCCCATTATTTATATTCGTACTTATTTACACACAAATCTACAAATTGTGCAACATGTTTTGTGTTTTATGTCTAGAAGCAGACACAGCAGCTAAGGTCATGAATTTGAGCATTTATTGACTCAATTTCGCTTGTGGTTCCATCAAAACGTTGATTTCTAGTTATTTAAGCAAAACAGCGCCAAATACACACAGACTGAACACAAAATAATAAATATTAATAATAATAATATTTGTGCAAAATGCTGCAGAAAACTTCAATAATTTATTTGGCCGTGTTCATGTGTTTATGTGTTGTAACCAAAAACATTGTTTAAACAACAACATCAAGTAGTATACATCAACAAGTATACGCGGCGTGGGCAAGAAATATGCAATTTTTCACCAGTTGCAATGCCTGGGGAAAATCGGTTGCATTTACGCAAAACAAAGGCAAACGAGTCTAAAATAGACGCAAAATCAATTTTAATAGGTTGCGCTGAGTTGAATGAAGACCTTTGCGGTCATTGCACATTCAATATTTTGGGCTAAAAGCAAACTAATTAATTTTGATTGATTCTGTGACGTCAGCTGATAACCCAAACACAAAAAAAAAGAAAGCAAACAAGGCAAAACATTAACGACTACGTCATAGCCGGCTAAACGTGTTTTAAGCAGGGCAAAGCCAAATTTAAAAATAAATCACATCTAATGAAGATGAAATACCTTTTTGGGATTTTTATTGTAATTCTAATCTGCATCAATTAACAAATTTATCAATTTTCATTTCTTTGCTTATCAGTTGTAAGCTAAGATGAAAATAGAAGCATAGAAGTACGTTGATTGATAGGGCACACACTCTCAAAAAAGCGACTGAAATTTAGAAAATTACTGTTATTAACAAATTTGATTTGAAAAACAATTATATTTGCATCAGGGGTAGATTTTCCTAAAATTTAGAATAACGATTTTTAAGCTCTAGGGCACTATTTGGTTTTTATTGAACATTAGTAATTTAAGATTTCAAATTTCCAATTTCCTTACAATGTTCTGAAATTTAGAAATAATTATTTTTTCTCGTATAATAACAATTGTTTCTAGTTTTCAGGCTTATTTTCTAAATTTTAAGGCGTTTGTTTTGCTGAGTGTAATAAGAAAGACGCCAGCCACAAGAATAAGCAACAACAAATGGTTCCTAAGCTCTCCTCCCGCCGTTGCCACTACCACTGCGATTGCCTGAGCATATCTGCACTTCTGGCACATGTGCGCTAACCCAAGGTCAAACATAACATTCAAGAGACGCTAACAAAGCCAGAGCTGCGAATGGGAATCGTAAGACGTGAGACGTCATACAAAGAGTCAGAGACAGAGACAGAGAGGGAGAGAGAGATAGAGATAGAGAGAGAGAGAGTTAAAAGTGGTAGCAATTGAGCGGCTAGTTGGGCAACCACTTGTTGTTGTTGTTGTTGTGGTTGTTGTTATTGTCTGAAAGCGGACCAAAGTAAAGGCCATTGTTTATTGCCAATACAGAAACACACACTGTCGCACAATCGCACACTCACACACACACCTACACACCTACATATGCAGCATAAAAGGTCGACACTGGCGACGCCCTCAAAACAAAGACTCGATGCGTAGAGCATTAAAATTCAAGACACAACAGCAGAGCAGAGCTGACCTGCAGAGACTGCTGAAACTGAGGTCCGAGAAGAGCATATCGATGACCGAAAAAAAAAAACTAGATGAGCCGAAAAATAAGGAAAGATAAAATTACAAATGAAAATGAACTAAAATGTTGGTCAGCTGACTGAACTGGAGACAACTGGAAAGTGCTCGACTAGCTAATGCCCTGGCTGGCAAGCTGAGAAGATGAGGCGAAATAAAGGAAATCTTTTTCTTAAAGAAATGAATAAATAAATAATGTTCTTGTTAGAGACAAATTCAAAAATGAAAACAAATTTTAATAATTTAATTTTTATTTTAAATCATTGAAATTCTATCTTGAATTTTAATTTAGAATTTCAGTATACATTTTTATTTGTTGAAAACATTATTTTTACAAATTTGTGACTGCGTTTATAACCCATTAAATAAATATTGTGATCGTTGCCGAAAAACTCATAAGTGATAAAAATTGAATTATCATCAAATGAATAAGCCCGGCACTAAAAGCGTTGCTTGAAAGCACTGATTAAATCATCATACTTCAAATTCAAAAGTTGCTTTTCAACAATCAAAATTCAACAATCAATGAACGGAAAGGCAAACTTTTTTCATATATGTATTTTTTTTGTAATTTGCTAGGCATAAACATTCGGCTCAAATAAAACGAGTACATAAAACCAGTATTGAAGAAAAAACCAGTCGACGCGTTGCACTTGATTGGATTGGATTCGGTTTCGGATTCCCCGAATTGCTGTATGAATCATCAACGCAGACGCAATTGCGCCACTTGTATCTCACAGATACACTCAAAATATCTGTTGCTGTATGTGCATCTGTATCTGCTTGCCACGCGAGTGAGTGGCCCGCACCCATGCGGAAACAAACGATGCTCTCAAACAACGTCTATTGTCGATCGTCGATTCCAGTTGCACATAACTTTCCCATCACTTTTGCTTGCTACTCTTTTTTCTTCTTTTTACATCGGTGATTATATCACAGTTGCCACTGCAACATGGACAGCTTTGGGCAGAGGCAGCTGGCAGCTCACAGTTCCGCATGCAGTGGAAAGAAACTTTTTGCCAATCAAGGTTGTCTGTCGGCAACTGGATCGTTGAATTCAATAAACAATTTCACAATTTATTAGAAAAGCAGCAGCAACTTTAAAACAACGCTAATCAACTATAAAACAGAGACAAACTGCAAAGCTGACAAACACATCACCACCAACAGTCTGTCTCATAGTAAACTTGTATATTGTATTCGCAACAACAACAACAATCACAATGGTAACCGCAACAACGATAATATCGTCTATAGTCTATATATATACATATATAAATATGTATTGTGCCTTTTATTCGTGTATAGCTGACTATTAATTAATTAATGCATCAGCAATTTGTGAGCGCCATTTCCAACTGCACAATTTGCGATTGCAAAACGAGGGGGTTTGGAAAACTGGATATAGAGCTGGCAAATAACTTGACTCCACTCAGAGAAAATGTTATGCTCAAGTGTAGAAAATCACCATCCTATATTGGTCAACTTATTATATACAAAGTTTATTTATAAAACGCAATGTTGTTTCTTGCCGAAAAACAGGTTTTTTCTTTTTTAAACTATGTGCTAGATCTTTTTGCAAATTTGCAAAAAAGTTCTATAATTTCCAGTTTGTTCTTTATGTACACACAGCATTCTTACATTAACTTATTATTATTATTAAGTAGTAGTATTTTAAGGTTTCACGTAAACAATCAAATTAGGTAGAACATAAATAAATAAAATATTTAAAAAAAACAAAACTAAAACTAAAAAAAACTTTAACATAAAAGCTGACACCGCAAATATGAGAATTTATTTCTAAAAGTGCTGTTATTTTTTAGACTGTAGCATGAAAATGCAATTGCATTTTATTATGAGACTGTTTCCTTCAGCATTATCTAAGCTCTTTTATTATGCATTCCTAACTGAATTTTTATTAACACGTGGCTGATAGAAGACTCGTTTAATTCAATGTATTTAATTTAATACTTAACTTACTCTGTGACAACCAACAACTTATAAGCTTTTCCAATTCGCTGAAAGCACAATTATCAATATTTATATATTTTTGTTCAGGACAAGAATGTTATTTTAAAAATCTTTCAGATCTTTTAAGCTGTGCACAACATTTAATTCCTTTAGTTGAGACACACACCTTTTATGACGACAATTGGACGCGTTCGCTTTTAATTCCAGGTACCACACAATATTCTCATTAAACTGTGTAAACAGTGATTCCAAGAATTGTTAGCTCGCGACAACCAATAAGTAAATCTGTCTTATGTAAGACGCCTGCTGTTAAACTATGATGTTGATGACGATGATAATGTATAACCTGATCGAGAAAGACAAACGAGAGATGACGCCTCACAATAACATTTCATTTAATTACTTTTTCCCCAAGACGCAAATCTGTAGACTAAATCATCAACATGATTAAGACAGTTAGAATTAAATTTAGTATTGGGGAAAAACCCATTTCATTGATAAACGCTGGAATATATTATTAAGCAATTAGTTATAAACAATACGTGTGTTGTTGCACCGATTATTTGTTGCCAAGCTGGTTGGCAGGGGGTCTTTTGCAACACACACACACACACACACACACACACGGCAAATAGCAAACAGCAAACAAATCACTATGCATAAAACATTATTTATAGGCTGTGCCATTTTCCAGAACTCACCCAAAAGAATTTCTCGAGATGTTCAATATATTTACTTAAGGTATGTGTGTTGTTTTCCAAATATTTGTTCGTTTCGATTTTCGTAATAGCCAACACAAAGGCACACACAAAATCACACACACACACACACACACACACAGAGAGAGCTATTAAGCACACTAAATTCACTTTTCGATATTTGATGTGTTTTACTTTTAAATGATTTTCTAAATTAACAACTGCATTTTTATTTCTATCTTTTTTTCGAAATTCTCTTAAAGCTGTTAGGTTTAATTTTCGCACCTGTCGACTTATAATTTTAGCCAATTTTGTCGAGCCAAATCAACCGTTTGCCAGCAGCGTCGCGACGTTAATGAAACCGCCAACAGCCGCCGTTAGCCACAACACAAAAAGCGGCCCAAAATCATCATCATTTCTTTTCTCCAGCCAATTCAAATTTAATTCAAAAAAGCTTTTCACTCTGCGCAAACGCCATGTGGTGAAAAAGATATGTTTGTGTAAAAAGCTTTCACTGCGTTCAAAATGCATTTTTTGAAATGGGCCCCAAGAAAAATGTAACCGTTTTTTTTTTTTTTGGCGCCTTGCGCCAAATGTTGTGGAAACACTTTTGGCCGCAATTGGCAAATGGTCCGCAATCAATGAACGGATGCTCTGCGAAATTGAGTTACTGCGCGGGCAAATTACGGGTGTATAAGATGGGCGTCGATGGGTGTAAATGGGTGAAGATGATGGCAGTAGGTCATGAGAGTGAAGGTAAACAGAGCTACGTTCCCTAAAATGTATTTTCGTCCAAAATAGCAATACTTTGGTAAGGATTTAAATATGTGGGACTAAGATAAAGAACTTACAATATAATCACCATTTTAACTTAACTATTTATTTAATTCTAACTAAAGTCAGGCGACACACGAAATACAATAAGTAAAAAATAGATTTAATAAAAAATAAAAAGATAAGAATTACATTTATGATTTATGTATTTAAATATGAACAAACTTTAAGTAACTACAAAGTAAGTAATTATTATTATAATTATAATACCACGAATTTAAATCCCAAACAATAATTTTAGCAAGGATTTCAATATGTGGGACTAAATAGAAATACTTTAAAATAATCACAAACTTGAGAATGGATTCAAAAATGAGTGATTAAGGTAAAAAGTACTTACAAAATAAGCACAACTTTTAGCACAAATTTAAATCTCGCACAATTTTTTATTATGTTTTCGGAATAATATTTTCGATATTTGCTTGCTGGAGTGTGACTACGAACTGAATAAACAATACTTGTGTCAATGAGATGTGGTCAAATGGATGACGTGTATTTCTAAGGCTAGCCTAATTACATATACGGTACGGTTTTTATGCATAAATGTGTATAAGTTTTTGTGCTAATTGTATGTAAGTGCAGAAAAAAGAAAACTCCGACCTAATTAAGTGTACATATTCTTGATCAGGATGAACAGCCGAGTCGATATAGCCATATCTATACGGATTATCATATTACATATATATTTTTCGTCCTATATTATAGTATATCATTGAATTAGTTATTGTACCCATCAGTATGAGAAATAAGAGCACTTCCACCCAAGCTTACTTTTGGGTGTGCGACAGCTGGCTGTAGGGTATCTGCTAGTCGAGCTCTCACGACTTCAGCTTACTTGCTTATAGTTGAAACCAGTAGGCGATGATATCTGTCTGTTTGTAAGACTATCAAAAAACTATTCATTTCTGAAAGAATTTTCAGACGCAGTGCAGCTACAAAAAAATAAATAAACATACATTTTCTAAGCTCGTTTACTGGTTGTGTATTTCTGTTTTATATTTGTATTTAAAAAAAAAAAAGAGGATAAAAAATCTAAAAAATAATATAAAAGTCAAACAAAAATGTGGCCTCGAAGTCCGCGTCTGCGTTTAAATGAGATGAACTTGAAGAACGGCAATGATGGTGCCAAGAAGAGTTCCCCACGAGCACCCTACAGCAAAACGCTGCTCGGCTCTCAGCTGAAGAAGCGCCGCACCCAGGGCGGCAACAACAAACAGCGATTGCAGAAGAAGCAGCAGCAGAGGTAAGTCTAGGGATGCATAAACTCACTCAGAGCTGGATGGGTAGGATGTAAGAAATAATGACTTATATTCAAGAAGATACTTAATTATTTATTTTAAATTGCCATACAATTCTTGTTAAATGAGACTCCCTTTTAGCGTTGAGAACAAGGAAAATATGCAGCTAATCAGGCTGCCCAAAGCAGTGCCGCTCACACCCTCCTCCTCGGATGCATCGTTTACCACGAGTAGTAGTCTGTCCAGCGGGGCCGATTCCGGCTACAGCAAATCAGAATCCAAGTTGCTGACGATGCCTGCATATTTAACACTCAAGCGCCAGCACTCGGCGGCAATTTTAAATTTCCGAGCACGCAAGTCCGTGTCCCAAATGGACTTCAAGGAGGCACGACGCACGGGCAGCTATCAGTTGGCTCGTTGTGATTCCAGACTTGGTCAACTGGGCATCCAGGATGCGACTGCAGTTCAGCTGTGCAGCCCACGATTTATGTTGAATGGGGCAGGAGTGGTTGGAGATCAGCAGGATTTGGTTCGGATTGCCAGTTTGCGCATCTTCAACACAATCATGTTGCGCTCCTGGAGACGACGACGCGAGGAAGTCCGTCATCTCGGCGAACAGGTCGAAGATTTCAAGCGCAATGTAATTACAAATTATTTAAAAGTATACATTAATTATAAATAATAATTCCTTTTCAGTTTGGAAACATTTTTAAAAATCTAAAAAAAAAAGAAGAAAAACGGGGCTTTGAATTCTGAAATTTAGAAATCTAAGCACTGTTTATTTAAAACATCCATAAATTTTGAATAATATTTGGTGGAATTCTTCTTTTTTTTTTGTTTGCTTTATTATTTATATTCATTTATTATAAATATTCATTCCCTCACAGTTTGTCAAGAATCGCAATCAGTTGCATGTTTACAACACTCTCTTTGCCGTGGAGAAGCGTCGCAATGATGCCCTCAATGATCAGCTAAAGCAATCCTACATGGACACTGCCCAAATCAAGTTGTCCAATAATGAACTCGGTATCCTCTTGGTCCAAGCCAATAAGGAGAAGCTCAAATTAGTTGAGGAGGTTGCCAGCAAGCAGCAGGAAATTGATAATCTGCAAGAGTTACTACAAATCACCAAGAAAGATCTATTTCAGACGCACACCTTGAAACGAGAGCAACTTGAGCAGCTGACGAGGATTCAGCGTGAATTCCAACTGGCCAAGTTTGACATTGAGGATCTGACTGGCCAGCTACTGGCACTACGTGTGGAGCTAAACCAGAAGCAAGAATCAGTGAATGAGATGGGGGAGAATATAGAAAACCTGGCCGGGCAGTTAAAGTTGTCCAGCACTCAACTCATGGAGCACAAGTACGAAACGGAGCAGCAGCTTATGTAAGATTTTAACTCAATCCCACAATCCTCAATTCTGAATCCTAAATCTACCTTAAATGAAAAGCGACCTACAAAATGTTTCCATCTTACCAAACTTGGAGGGTAAATTTAAAATTAGAAAAATTTTACATTTATTTATTTTCTATTTCTTAAAACGGATTCTTCATTAAGTAATTTTATGAGCACTATTTGCCACCAGCAAACTGATGCAACACTCTGCCGAGCTCGAGATGGACATCAAGAAGAAGGAAGAGGAGTTGGTCACATTGCAGAACTGTCTCGCTGCCACTGTGGGCCATCGCATCCGGCAGTGTTTGGCCCATCGCCAGGCCTATCAGCATGCCACCTACAATCTGATGCACTTCGTCGCTTACTGCATGTTGCCAGGCACTCCGCCACCTCCGCCTTCCTTGCCCCTTGCCAGCATACCGTGTGCTGCTGTCAAGCGGCTGAGGGGGTTCTTCCATGGAGTTGTCAATAATGGAGCAAAGGAGTCCAAGGAGTCATCCGAAACCAAACGCGTTGCCTTTTAAAATTGTTAGTTTTCTATTTGTTTTATGATTTCATGTTGTATGTTTTTTTTTTTTGTGTTCTGCTCAAATTTCATCGATGCTTACTAATTTTAATTCAAATAAAAATATTATTATATATACACAAATGAATGGAAAATGAGATATTTTTATGGAAAGAATATAGTTCGCTTTAGAGAATCGTGTGAGAATCGCGTGCGAAACTTAAAAATGTAGCTAAATGTAGTTTTATTCTACAGTTCAATGATTACTTTATGCAAAGTTATGGCTCTGAGCAATTTGAGCATGAAAATCGAGTATCGTTATTAGTATTATGATTGAAATTATGATACAAGTCAGACAATTACAAAAACCTCTATTTTTTTTTTAATTCGGATAAACATTAAGATAGTTACGGCTGTGAAAAGCTTTGGCTGCTCTCTCCCAGCACTTATCGGCAGTTAGATTTTAACATGAGAATCGAACCTAAATCTCGGTTTGCACTTTAGATTCTGTTTTGAAAAAGGAGTCATACCATTTTCAAAAAATCATTGCTTATGAAAATCGGTGAACTTTAAACAAAGTTCTTAAAATCGGTTCAATTGTGCCCAAGTTATGGCTTTGAAAAGCTTTAGTGGATCCCTAGAAACACTTTTCTAACATGAATTTCGAGCCAAAATCAATTTTCATTCCCTAAAAGTGATTTTTACAGCTCATAGCTTTTGCATAAATTTCTAGTGACAAAGTTATTGATGTTGTTATCCATAGATTTTGCATTTAAGTGGAGCAAACTTATGATATTTATTTACTGCTAAAGCGATTAATTTATTCGTATTTCAAGAATTATGCTAAAAACACACATTTTACATTTTACATACAAGACACACTGGGTCTAAGTAAGACTAACAACTGAATAGTAGTAAGTAATTAAGGTGTTACGTAGATATGGATAGGTTTGATATTTGCAGATCTTCTGAATTGAGGCGCAACATTTGCTGATCCTCCGAATTGATTCGAACCAGCTGCTCACTATCAAAACTGAGCAGATTGCTGATCGTCGGACCATTCTCATTATTATTGTTGTTATTATTATTGTTGTGGTTGTTGTTGCTGTTGTCGTTGTTGTTGTTGTTGTTGTTGAGGGGAACATTGCTGTCGTACTGCTGATGCATTGGTGTAAGTTGTTGCTGCAACTGTTGCTGCTGCTGTTGCTGTTGCTGTTGCTGCTGTTGGTGTTGCTGCAACGTATGCTGATTTTGCTGCAAAATTCAGTTGCTTAAATTAATAATCAATAATTAATATTTAATAATTAATAGCATTAATCAATAAAAAAAATATCTGTGAGCCGATTTCACAACTATCGATTTATTCTAGCTTTGTTGCACTTACCAAATGATTGGTAGTCAGATTCCATTGCAGACTGCTGCTGGCAGCGCCTGCGCCAGTTGTCAGCAGATTGTGCATTGTAAATGGATTGTTGAGATTGCTTAGATTGTTGTTGCCGGCTGTTGCTGCTGCTGTCGACGAGGACACACCACCAGCAGCAGCAGCAGCAGCCACAGCTGCAATTGAGAATTTGCTGCTATCCCAATGAGCAGCAGCGTTGCCAGTGGATATAAATGGATTCGGATTGGGATTTGGGTTATATTGCAGCTGATGTTGTTGCTGCTGCTGTTGTTGTGGCAACTGTTGTTGCTGTTGTTGCTGCTGTTGTTGATGCTGTGCCAGCAACTGTTGCGTAAAGGGATTGTAATTGTTGCCCAACTCCAAATTGCCAGCGCCGCCAGCAACATATTGCTGCTGCTGCTGCTGCTGTTGTTGCTGGTGATGATTGGGCGACATCAGTTGCTGTTGCTGCTGCAACTGTTGCTGCTGTTGCTGGCCATTCGTGGGCGTTGCTGCTGCTGCCATGTTGTAGGGCGAGGGTGTGCTATTCTGATTATAATTGCTCGACGGCGACAACGGTTGCGGCGAAGGCGTCAACTCCGGTTGTGTACGATAAAATGCAAATGGCTGCGGTGAGGTATCTAAAAGATTGTGTTTAAGTCATGTAAACCTTTACTTTATAATACACTCAGAAAAGAAATCAAGCTGAAATTCATAAGATCATCATAAAAACTATAAAGTTTTTCCTGGTTTTTAGCAATAATTTCTTGCTATAAGAAAACAGTTTTCAAAAATTTGAGAGGATTGACCTAAATAGCAATTTCCAAATATATGGTTTTATTTTTAATGAGTGTACAAAATATTAAACTCACCTCTTGGTTCGGTTTTGATGGGCGGTATATTCTGCGCGTTCCAACAGTTCATGTTGTTTTGTCCTAAAAAGCAGTGCAGAAATATGTTAGCAAAGTATTAAAAGCAAACAAAACAAGCAACGTAAAATGAAAATCTAAAAACATGAATAGAAACCAAATTAGGAAACTTACAGCAAGTAAGGGGAAAAAATATATAAATATATATATAAATAAAAAATTATAAAAAGTGAAGAAAAACCTCAAAAAAATAATATGTTAAAGACTTGTAAATTTAGAGTTAAAAAAAAGCTTGAATAACGCATGCAAAAACTTCAAATGCTTTAAAACTTACTCATTTTACATTTGTCGCTATAAAAACTTTAGGATTTCAATTTTTCATTATATATTTTTTATTGTTTTTATTTAACATTTAAAAACTTTGGTATTTCAGTTTTTTTTATATTTGTATATATTTTTTTTTTATTAATCTACAGGTTTTTTTTATAAAATAGTTTTGAAATATTTTTCATATTCATTTAGTTGGGTTTTTGTATAAAAATATCAAATTGATTTCGTGTTTTTTTTTTCTCTTTTTTTTTTGGTATTCCCAATTTAGCTAAGCGACAAGTTTTTTATTTTTATAATGTTCAACAACAATAGGGCTAAAAATGTGCGTATTTTCTACTAATATAAATATTTCTTGTATGTTTTTGCATCGCTTTTTATTTATTTTTTAAATAGTGCATTTTTCTGTTAATATTTTCTAATAGTCTATGCGATTAATACGTTATAGAAATTGCCAAGTCTTTGGTATACGAAACATACAGTATATAGTATATATATATAGGTAGGATCAGTTGATTTCACTATTAAGTAGTTGATTGATGTCTTCTGCAAAACTTCATTAGATCCGACAATATTAAATTTAAAGATTGATCGAAAACATTGACCAGGACAACAGAGAACACAGATTAAACCAACACCAGATCCCAAAAAACCAATGCAAGTGTAAAAATGCACATAGAGAAAAACTTACTACCATCCTGATGATCATTCTGATGCTGCTGTTGTTGTTTCTGTTGTTGCTGGAGCAACAAGTGCATTGGATCACCGCCAGTCTTTTGACGTTTACGCCTCAAATGTGCTGGATCTACAATAAAAACATTTACAGTGTATTCGCAATAAATGGGACAATCTTTTCTTTAAGAGTCTTAACTTGGTTTTTTTCTTTCAAAACCCCTTTTAAATCTATTAAATACAAAGTCGGTTGTCTTCAGACAAGACACAAACAAATTGAACAGCGATTTTTGCTCAGCTGTTTTACAAAACAAGTTTCGTTTGGATAGTTTCCTCAACTATCGCTTACAAAGTTCACATACAAATTTTATAGGGTATGTTGAGAGGGTTTTTTTTTCTAAAAACAAATTACAATTACAAATTACAAATTTGGAGCGCAAACGTTTGGCGCTCGCTGCCAAGTGTAAAATTGTGAAAGGCTCGCCTTTCGTACAAATTGTTTTTAGGCGTTGCGCTAAAGATAAAAACAACAATTATTTATGCGCCCCACAAACGGGTGCGCCTAACAGCAAACCGCTTCAATGTTGTTGCTGCTGCTGCTGCTCGTTGCAATTGCTGTCATTTTGAATTTCAAATTAATAAACAATTATTTGTGGGCTCCCCAGGCAGACTGAACCGCTCCTGTGTTGCAACTGCTACTGCTCGCTTCAATTGCTGCCATTTTGAGCTGCCACCAAGCGTTTGGCCACCTGTTCGGGTGTTAAGATCTCGCCCGCATCCACGGAGGCATAGTAAGCGGATGTCTCATCAAACTCACTGGCCGTTGCCTGGGGCGGCACACTCGTATACAAAGCAAAGTGTTCCACTTCGGTTAAATCCAAATTGGGATCCATTTTCACATTGAAATGTGCCTCAATTGAGCTGACCAAATTGTGGAGACTCTGACGATCGGCAATGGCAACCAATTCCATGCCACCCTCGCTGATTGGTATCTCGGCCAATTGCAGCGCGGATGCAGTGCGTCTGTCCAGCTGCCCACCCACTGTTATGGTGCTGGCATTCGAGTATGCCTCATTTGTGGGCTGTTGCAAGCTGCTCGCACTGTCACCCTTGAGTGGTATGTGCACCACATTTGCATTTAAATACGTGGGTCTCTTGCCAGACACACTGCTCACGCTGCGACCACACGGCTTACTTGTCTTGTTGAACTTGCGTGTGGCACTTGCCGCACTTGCTACATTTGCTTTCTCTGTTTTACGCATATTTAGATTCGATTCCATGCTGGGCTCGCGACTTGCTAAGGTACTATTATTTTTGGAGCAATTCTCGCTGCTGTCCAACGACAATTCGGGTTTGCTTTTGCGGCGCGAGAAGAGTTTGGCGAAAAACCCGGGTTTCTTTTGACGCGGCAACGTATTAAAATTGGGATTCTTTGCGGGCTTTGATTTGGGCTTGGCTTTCAGCTCCGTCTCCGGGGGATGTGGCAGGCGTTTTGTGGGCGCCACAGCATCCGAGTTTCTTGGATGCAGAACGGGCGGGGCCGTTGGCAAATTGCTGCAATTTGCATCAATGGAACGATTCTCGGCATTGCTATCCTGTTTGCGCAAACGTTTCGGTGGCAAAGGTGGCAACTTCTCCTCCTCCTGCTGGAGGACAGCCTGTTGCTTGAGCTCCTGTTCCCGCTGCGAGTTCACCTCGACGGCATCGTAGTGCTGTGCATCCTCCGGTGCACACTGTGACATGGGCGGCGTTGGTGGCATCCGGTCATCATCCATGGGTATGTGTACGGGATTCTTGAATGCAATCTGCAGACTTGTGTAGGTGGCTGCATCATCGAAGCTATCCTCCACCTGCAACGGTGGATGCGGTTGTGGCTGCTGGCGATCCATGCTCTGCAGCTCGTTGTGCAACGTATTGTTGTATGTATCGCGTTGCATCACAAAATCCGTATAGATCTCATCCAACTCGGCCACCTGTTCGAGCAGGTCGTTCAACGTTTTATCCTCCTCATCTGCCACTTGAGGCGCCACTTGTACTGCCACTTGAGTTGCCTCGCTTGGTGCATCGCTGTCCTCGGCATCGAGTTCAGCGGGGGCAGCATCGGAACTGGTTTCGTATGGCAACTGCTGTTGCAACTCATTGGACTTTATCCACTCGTTAATCTTTTCATTGGTTGTCGTCGTCGTTGTTGCAACCAGTTTCTGTTCCAGCTGTTGTTGCTCCAGTTGAAGCTGTTCCATTTCGCGCACCTTTTGATCGATTATCGAATCAATTTCGAGTTCGGTGCGCAAACGATCCGCTTCAGCATCGGCGGCCTCCATATCCTGTGGCGCCTGATCTATGACATCCACTGTTGCCTCATTCATTGTTGCCTCATTATCCATTGTGGCTACCTCATCGATCAGTATCGGCTCTGGTTCCTCCAAATTCGGTGTATTTAAATCAATTACCTCAATTGTGGGCGGTTCGCGTTTGGCGTTATCAATCGATAGTATTTGCTGAAAGATGTCTTCATCCGGCTTCCGCTTGAGATGCCGATGAAGATTCCAGAACGTATGCCTACCTGAATCCAATGGCACATATTCAAACGGCAGAGCCTCACTGGTTACACCATCCGACGGTCGTCGCAGCTGTATGAAAACCTAATTGAAAATTGCAATTAGTTAAAGTGTCGACTTAGCTAGACTCGGGCAAAGAAAATCTAAACTGAATTTTAGTAACTCGCCAAGCGTAAATTAGCTTCCTATTCAAAGGTAAAATACAGCTATCGATAGGTAGACTATCAAATTCATAAATTCTTAATGGCAAAAACTTTAAATGAACGATAACTGTTATCTATAGTTCAGCTGTGATCTTCTTGATGTTGTAAACAAACTGTTAGCAATATAAGGAGAGGATCTTCAGAAATAAAAACGGTTTTGGTTTAGACTGCAACTCAACGAGAAATTTTCTAGTTTTCATGGCGATTTTCTACAAATTCAGGGCGATCTTTCTTTGAGAATTTAAAAGCATACCTTGGCGGGCTCGGTTATCTCGAGGGTGTGATAGCGCGGCGTCTTAAACGTAATGGCAGTCTGCTTGTGCACATCAGTGTGCTGAAAATCACCGAGTGCTTCCCAGGCCGTCTGTCCGTTCCTCTCCTCGAAGAAGCGCACCGTGATATCCTCTTTGGCCACCTTCTCGCACAGCAATATGATCTGAGTGTTGCCCAGCACGCTGGCCGAACAACTGCACAGCCGACAAATCACCAAATCGGACATGGCCTTCTTATCGAAGATCGGCTCAGAGACAACGGGTGGCAATGGGGATGTGAAGCGTCCCTTTTGCTCGCTCTCCATGAATACTTGAAAGCACAATCGCACCGAATTCAAATCGATGCTCGACGGCTGAAAGCGATGCGAGAATCCAGCTAAATTTATAGAAGAGAAATGCGATATTAATCAGAAATACTATCTAGTGTTAAATGAAGTACATACTCTTGAATGGATCCACTCGAATCTCTTCTCGCGCCTTTAGCGCCGCCTCAATGTCCTTCTTCTTAACACATTGGATGCCCAGATTACTGAACACCGCTCGCATTGTCTCGCTGCTAATCTCCAGCGTGCAGACGCCCTTCTTGCAGCCCTCCTTGCCAACCAGATTGTGCGGATGTGGACTGTTGATAAAATAATAAAGACAAATATGAGAAATTATGTGGTATATTATTATTCAGTCTATGCTTATGGTAAGTAGGTAAAAAGCAGATAAGTAAGTCTAGATGCATTTGCAGCACCAAATATATAACTTGATAAGAGCCTATTATTAGCATCAAATACAGCAAAATAGCATGGCTACTATGGTATTCAGCTAAGACTAAGCGTAATTGTAAATAGTTTAAGATAAAAGATGTCAATTAATCAGTAGTTATACATAATGATAATTGTAGCTACTCAGTTTAGTGCTTCTGGTTTCTGCTCAATAAAAATCAACACTCGCATAAATCTAGCACTATTGTCAAAAGTAAATGAAAATATCACTGTTCGTGTTATGTAAAACTTTCGGTAAACATTTCATCAGTCGAAGACAAATCGTGAAAAGAGCATTTGCTTAAAGTAATTACTTGACAGAATAAATAAGTTTGCAATTGGTAGGATTAGCGAAAATTATTAAAGTCCTCAAAAGAATTAGAAATAAAAACACATTTTTATGAGCTTAGAAATTCGATCCGATTCGATATGGTCACAGTTCCCGTATAGACAAATCGATTTTCTATATTAATCAGGGTAAATTCTGATGAATCAATGCTAAGTTTTTACCCATTTTCAAATAAGCTGATTTAATCAAAGGAACTTAATTGGTTTGCTAGACAAGTTTTCTGGTGTTTCCTGACTTCTGATTTTAATTAAGAAACAATGCAACAACGAAAATTGAAAAGTTATCGTCTTCACAACTATTTTACTACTTTTCAGCTGTGTATATATTTAGCCGCTGGTCAAGCATTCTTCTCAACTGTATACCGATTCACTTACCGATATGGCGTGTCCTTGGTGACGCAGGAGACGACGACAACAGCGCGTCCCTTGTACCCGACAATCTCGATGGTCGGATAGGTTTTGTTCTCGGGCGTTGAATTGACGCCGGGTATGGAACCCGCCGAGCGACCCTCGCATTCATAGCGAAAACGCAGAGCTTTACCAGCGGGCTGTTCTGTTATCTTCACATACGGTTTCTTGCGCACATTCTTCGCCGACTGTGACAATTGTTGCTGTTGTGGTTGTTGTTGTTGTTGCTGCTGCTGCTGTTGTTGTTGTTGCTGTTGTTGCAGGCCATTGTAGTTGAGGTTCTGTTGCTGAGCATCGCTGGCTGCTGCTGCAGTGCCGGCCAAATTATTTTGATTTGGAAACATTTCAAGGCCGAAATATTAACTGAAAAAGAAAGAAAAAATAACAATTATAAAATGAGCAAAACTTCGTTTCAGTTCAGTTGACAAAGAGACAAAATTCTTGGCAAGCGATGACGATGCTCTTTAGCCAATAGCAAACAATGACGACGCACACCTAAAACAATCCCCATCACAAAATATATACACTGGAAAAAAAATAGCTGATATTTTTTTTCTTAATTGAACGTTTTTCTTTTCTTAATTGAAGAATTGATTTTTTCACATATATTTTTTTTAGCTTTTTTGTTTGCATTAATACTTTTTAGAAAAATGTTCTATTGTTAAGAAATTATTTCTGAATAATGGAAAAAAAATCGTTTTTCATCTTTGAGCAATTTTCTAAAATTCAGTTCGATTTTTTTCAGAGTGTACAATGTGAACAGACAAACAGACAGACATACATAATATAAACAATATTTTTGGCCCAAACTACAAGTGCAACACAGTCCTGCACTCTGATTTATACAAAATGAAAAACAGAGAGATGCCCAAACTAGACAAGATTCGAGCAGCACTCAAAATTATTTGAAATGTGGGCGTTTCTTTGTGTAGATTGCAACATGATGCGTTGCATTCAAAAATATGCACATGATCATTAGATCATTGCAACTGCACAAGTTGCACCCAAAAACTGTAATCTATGTGAGTGTGATTGTTGGTGTGTGTGTGTGGAACCGGCTGCTGGTCTGGTTTGGTTTGGTCTGGTCTGGTCTGGGCCTGGCCATAGAGCCAACTTAGCTGCGTCGGACATTCATTTAAAAATAACATTTTGCGTAATGCGTGTGCGACAAGTTGGTCCAATGCTGCCTGCTGCTGATGCTGATCTATATCTATAAACAAGTGCCAGGCACGAACATATCTTCAGCAGGTATTATACTATAGATATATGTAGTCAGATATAGTCTACACATGTAGACTGACCTCCCCAAAGATTTGGCTTCCAAAAGATTGAAATTTATCAATGATGGGCCTTAAGTTAAGTACGAATATATAGCTAATACTAAAGATATGTATATATATATATATATATATATATATAGTGACTAGCTGTATGACCTCAGACTTGTCTAGACATTGGTCTGCCATTTGAAAAAAGAAAAGAAGAATATGTGAATTCATTTGAGAAATTAATGCCATCCATTGGTCTGCAACATGGCATGGAGCATATTCTTAAAAAGCGGAAGCAACTCAAAACAAGTCAAATGCAAAATCAAATAAAATTACATTATCTATTATTATTAAATATTTCAATTTAATGTATATAGTAAATTAAAAGGATTCAAATATTGTAAATATTACAAATTTTTATTTTTAGCTAAAATCGTATTAAATCAATCTGTGTTAAAAAAAAATAAATAAAAATCATAAATCATATTAAATCTAAATTTGAGTTGATTAATCAAGTTAGTGCAAGCGCTAAAGCGAACTAATATTTTAAGTATAAAACTGATTGCTTTAACAAAACTTTTATTAAATCATAAATCATCATTATATCAATTTTTGAAATAATTAAATCAAACGCTTTGCACACTGAAGGCTTTAGCCAATTGTTAATTAAATCATAAATCATACGAAATCAACTTTTTTGTCAAGTTTATCAAACTGATGGCTTTAGCTAAGATCATATTGAATTAATTTTTGATTAAATCCTAAATCATGTTAAATCAATTTTTGATTATATCATAAATCATATTAAATAATAGCAAACTAATTAAATTATATAAAAAAAAATAAAAAAGTTTTTTTTTTATTTATTTAGAAAATTGTAGTTTTTCTATTTACTTTTTTTTATAATTTACAGCAGAGCAGAGGAGAGCGAAAGAGCATTAATTACAGTTTTCTACAATTGGCTCTGCGATTGCTCTCTTTAAATTCGTAGCAGCAGCAAAAGTAAGAGCAATACTTCTATTGCAAATGTCTTTTGTATATGTATTAAAAAAAAACTTTTGAAAAATTAACTTCAACTGCTAGTTTTAATAAGACACAAAAATCATAAATCACTTTTTTTTTGGCCACAAAAAGCCAAGTCAAAGCCAATTTGCACGTCATCTCAAATGTTCCCGTACAATTTGTCTTTTTGAGCATAATAAAAACAGGCATTTGCAAGTATTATATATGTCTATATATATAAATATATGTATGTAAAATAAATAATCGGTGAACGGCATGAATTTCGCACATTGCGCTTGCGATCTTAAAACAATGCAAACGTATATAAAATTCAAATTTCTTAGACACAAATACACATTTATTTATTACACGCATTACGTCATAAAGTCTTTTTTATTTTGTATTAAGCAAATATGGTATAGAAATATTGGCCAAGTGCCAATAATTGAAATTGTGTATATAAAAGTATAGTTTTTTTTTTATATACTTGTACATTTTTTATGCATTAATCGCATATAATTTATTTAAAAATAATCACCTTCCACTTGAAAATTAACTTAAGTTTATCGCTGGGTCAAATAAAGTTCAAACTTATTTCGGCTAATTTGATTTTTTTTTTTGTTTTGTTTCTTTCATACAATTTTTGTACATATGTTGACAATAGTTTTGGTTAAAGCCACGCAAGAAATATCTTTACTAAAAGTGCCGTTTTTCTTTTCGGTTTTGACCGGTTTTCACAGGCATGGAAAAATGAGCAAAACTAAATGTTTACATGTATTGAGCAGCACACATATATATAGAAGTCTTCCTATTTATTTTTGAATTTATTTTCGAAACGCACGTCTTATGTTCTCGCCCATTGGCCACAGACTGAACACCGAGCGTTGAAGCGAGCAAAATTTTCATTCGAAAACTTTTTGTTTTTGTCGCCTAAAAATTGACAAGAAAATGCAAAGAAGCTTTCTGCTATTTGTGTTTGAATTTTTTTCTTTTAAATTGTTAAAATTTTAAATTAATATGCATGTATATTTGTGGATGGATTTATGTTTGCTCTCTGTGTTTATTTTTGATGAGGAATCATCCATCGCGTTGCTTGTTCTTAAATTCCCATAAGCAGTGGTCCATAAAGTTAAACTGATCTAGTTGATTGTACATATATACATATGTATGTATGTATGTGTATATATATATATATCTATATATATATACATTAAATATATACATATATTTATTATATATTAGTAACTGAATAAAAGCTGCCTGTGAATGGATTATGGCGAAGTCAACAAACTTTAGCACACTTGTGTCAACAAATCATTCATTAGAAAAATATCTGAAGCGCGTGTTTCACAGCAAACTGTTTTAATTAAATAAACGAATCTGTTTTAGTCGTTTACTTATTTCACTTTTCTCATTACTACAATTATTATTCTGATTGGGTTTTTTTCTGCGTTTTCCTAAATCCTTGTTATTAATATTGTAGCGATCAAACTTTAAATAACCGCAGATTTATTTATTTATTATAGCATTTATTTCCTTTATTTCGTTTCCTTTAAACTTTTACAAACTGTGTACTGTTCTTATTTCATATTAAATACAAATTTGAGATACATTTGCACTCACAAAAATTTACAGAGAAATATATATATTTATGAAATGATTTCCAGCTAGCCTATCAGTTCATGTTCCCAGAAATCATATTAAACTATATACATACGTATATGTTTTTGTGAGATGTATTCTGAAATTGATAATTATGAGTATTTTGTGAATTAGTATTGTTGATGCTTATTTAAATTCCAATAAAATTGAGTCACAATACAATAAATTCATTGAGAAAAATAAATATTACGGAGAATTACTCACTAAGAGATACCCTGCAATAATAATATTAGTTGATAATAGATGTAAAAGTAGGTTCAGTTATATATATAAATATATATAACATATATATATATAAATCTAAAATCAGAGAAACACATATACGTATGTATTTGATATATCCAATTCTAGCATGTGTAAAGGGTATACAAAGCCGATAATCAGGCGTATTTCGTATGAATTTTGTTAAACTGAACGAAAGCCGCTTCGGTATTCGGTAGTTTTGCTATAAACAGATTATTCAGGTAGATATATAGAACAGACATCTGGCAATTGGCATTTCCGCTCAATTGTCCACATATCTTTTTGGGCGCCGCTTCACAAGAAAAATAAAAGAAAATTATATAAAATAATTAGATAAATGTATCTCATCTCTTTGCGAGCAGCACATGTGCATTATAACATATATATAATATTTGTGATAATTATAAGCAAAATACGACTTGTTGTACAAAATGTTTTCGCTGTTAGCAAAACCCAGCGAATTTCCAAGAATATCGTGACTCACAAGGCAAAGATAATTATTACGTTTCAAATATATATATATATATATATACTTATATATATATTATATTCATATAATTTTGAAAATGCTCGGAATGCGCTCGTGTGGCCCCAAAAAACATTGCACAGAATCATTCAGAAAACGCGTGCTTTTTGGGCATTTGTGGTGATGACATTCAAAGAGAAATGCTTTTATATTTTATGGGTTATGGATTATTAGGGGTTGAAAGTTGATTAACCCAAAGAGTGCAGAAACTTTTCACCAGCATATAGACTACATAGACTTTGATTTAAAACGGAACTGCCGGAATCGGTAAATTTAATTTATTTTATACTTTTGTGTATTTTTTTAAGTCAATAGTTTTATTTGATTTTTATTTAAGAACGTTTTTAAATATAATATGATATATAAAATATAAAAATATAATATATAAAATATTTAGTTTTAATTCTTAAATACCTTCAAAGATTTCTAATAAGCCTTGAGAATCGTTGCTTATTTCTTTTTGTTATCTAGTTTCAAGTTTGTAACTGAATAATCTGGTAGTTATGGATTTCAGGTAGGAAATACCCTGTGCACATTATCAACTATTAAGAGCTAAACAAAAAGCTCAGATCCAATAATAATAGAATCAAAAATAATAAAAATAACTGGTAGTCCAATTGATTTAATTTTTATCAGCTGACTAGTTTATTATTTATTTACTTATTATTTATTTGTTATTAATAATTTATTTATTATTTATTTTTATTTATCCATTTATTATTTATTATGTAATGTTATTTATTTATATTTACTATTTATATTTATTATTTATATTTATTATTTATTATCTGTCATTTATTATTTAATATTAATTGTTTTTTTTCGCTGATTGATTGAATGACAGCTTTAACAATTTTCAAGTACAAACTTACTCGAATTTATCGTTGATTATATTGCAATTTATTTGTAACGCTATTTTGGGTTTATAGCACCTTTTAACACACAATACACAATATAAAAATGGGACATAGATAAGCTACCGAATTGTGCCGGCTTTTGCGTTGGGATCCGTAACAAATGCGTATCAGAGAGATTGCAGAGAGAGAAAGATAGAGAATGGGAAAGTGAGAGAGATACGGAGTAATGTATGTATATATATATATATATATACAAATAGAAATAATCGATGGATGGATGATATGTGAAACGAGTCGAACAATAATGAAGCGAGAGTCCCGAAAACAGAATTGATTCACAAAAAAAAAACAGAAAAATCAACAACAGCGTAAAAAAGAAGTTTGGATCCATAAAATTGATTAATGACAAAACGTTTACCTATAAAAAATAAATAAATAAAAAACAGATATGCAGAAAGAGAGAGAAAGAGAAAGAGAGAGAGAGACAAAGCAATGAAAGAAAGAATTAACTAACCGGCGCCAATCAGGCAGCAAATTGTGTTTTCAGCCAATGGCATTTCCAACAACTAATATTAAATATTCTAATTTTATGCTGTTTTCAGTACAACAAAAAAATCAAAAAACATTTGGCGCCAGGCTCTACAAATTCAGATTAAGATCAACATCAAAAGTTGGGCCCCAAAAACCAGCTCAAACTAGTCGCAATATCTAAAATCCAAAAATAAAAACAAATTTAATGATCACTGGCGTCAAGCAATTTTCAGCTTAAATAAAAACACAAATAAATAACTGATAGCTTGTCTTTCTATCTGTCTGCCTGTCGCCCCGCGTTGACAAATCTCTGTGGAAGCCATACAGTTCCGACTCCCAAATTTAATCAATTTTTGTTAGTTGTTAAATTTTGAATATATTTTTTGGTCTATTCTAATATGTGAAAGTGTTTGTTTTAAAGTACAAATGGTTTTTCATTCCAACTTTATGGAAAGTTTATATTCCTCTCAATCTGACTGAAGCTAATTGATGATTGGCTGTTACACTCAGGTAAAAAATCGCCATGAATTTAGAAATTCATCAAGGCTATCTCATCTAATTATTCAGAATCTATATTTCTAAAAACGATTCTTTTTCATTTTCTTTCTATCTTTAAAGTAAACTTTACACGAAAAGGTTGAAGCAATAATAAGTTTGATTGGTTTCACACTACATAGGCAAATAAGTAGGTTCTATGTATAATTTATATACTATAGAGAAGCCCAAAATTGCTTGGGCATTAATCAAAACTTGGTTTTGGATTGCGAAAATTTCGAAGAATTGTCGCTTGTTGATTTTGTAGTTTTAGCTTAAATTTAACCAATCAATCAATTATTTCTTGAATACCAAAACTTTTAAAAATTTGTCGCTTTGCTAATTTTGTCGTTTTAGCTTAAATACAATAAAAGATCAAATCAATCAAAGTTGCGAAAATTTCGAAAAAATTGTCGCTTTGTTGATTTTGTCGTTTTAGCTTCAGTTTGGCGTCTACAAAAGTCGAGCTTTGTCCGTCGCACAATTGAGATAACTATTTTACTCGTGATGACTTTGCCATATTTCTTATAGACACACCAACATACACCAAGTCACACACACACACACATATAAATATATAAATAAATATATAGTTAACACAAAATATTGAGTCAGCAGCCGGTTTTGCATGTTGTTTTTTTGCAATATAAAATTACGTAGAATTAGCTTAAGGTAAAGTAAAGCAAGACACACACACACAACACAACACACACAACTGTAATTAAATGCAATGTGTTTTTTATTTTTAGTTTTATGTTTTTCTGTCTATAATATATTAATATTATTATTAAATATATTTATATTATTTTATATATCGATATCTTTATATATTTGTTATTTACTTGATTTTTATTTAGATATAACTATAAACCTAGGTATTAACTCTCTTAATTTCATTTATAAATAATGCATACTTGATTTACCGCACGTACACTAAAATTTGAATTATTTATTGCAAAGTGAAATTCCGGTACTATTCTCTTATACGGGAGAAAAAAAACACAACCGCAAACGCAACGAGTCGATCTTCAAATGAAATGTGAATTGAAAATTCTCGTTTCGTTTTCGTTTGCCCTAAACACAAATGCAAGTTGCCTGCGAAAGCGAAAAGCTTTCCTCCCTCCACCCACAAACGCACACACATAAGCACACATACGATTGCGACTGCGACTGCGACTGCGACGTCGACTGCGCTGCCATTTGTACAGGTGTTTTAGTTTTTGTTTTTATTTATGCTTGACACAAACAGAAAGATAGGGCGGAAGAGAGAGAAGGGACAGGAAGAGAGAGAGAAAGAGCGAGCGTGTGGGAGCAAAGGAATAAAGAAGAAAGAGGAAGAATGCGTGTATTGTGTTGAAAGCTCTTACGAGGGGGTTGTGTATACACTGCAAAGGAATTTGTGTGCTTGCAATTGAAAATAACTAAGTGATAACTGAATCCTCTTTCTTTTTCACTTAAAGTGAAAGGCGCCATATAATATTCATAATTATATATTCACATTTGCAAATTGGTTCTATAATTTGTTTCGTTTATTCTATGTTTGTGTTTTAAGTAAATAAAATATAAAACTGGGCTTCAAGTTGAATGAAGATATTTTTACGTCGCTCTGTAACAAATTAAATTAATTTTTTTCCTTATGTAACTATTATTTTGTTGTATTTATTTTGATATTAGTTGACATTAAGTAAATACAATAAAAACAGCGACTCAAATTGAATGCGGAAAATTTCTTTAATTATTTTTGTAAGAGATTATAATTTTAAATATTTTACGTACTGCATAATCAACAATAATCAATTAAACTGAAGGATTTGTAAGTCATGCAGCAGCCATAAAACTCTTTCAATCAAAAGCTCAAAGCTCACATGTATGCGTGTGTGTGTGTGTGTGTACTGAACTTGTTTTTGTACTCACCTCAATCAATATGATTTCGATGACAACTTAAAATGCATCGAGTGTTTGCTCTTTTTTTTATTTTGTTTTTTTTTTTTTTGTTAGCTTTCCAATGCTGGAATGTCTGGAATTAAAATCACTTTGAGGGATAATTTTTGTAAGTGCCGTAAATAAATACAATTTATTTATAGACAATAATAATATTAAATAAATATGCCAATAAAACGTTTACCAACACACACAAAAAACCGGTTCTCTATATTAATGATATTTTTTCAATATAAATAATTTTCTTGGCTTATTAAAAAAATGTGCGCGAAAAAAAGAAGACAAAATAATTTCAAATGTGCGATAATAAAGCAAAGTATTAAAAAAAAGAGTGAAAAAGAAAGAAGGGCAACAACAGCAACAACTAATGAGAAACGTCAAGAAAACGAAAGCGAGAGCGAGAGAGCGCGAGAGAGTGTGACCAGAGAAGATATAATTATAGATAAAGAGTGAGCGAGAGGGGGAGGCAGACGCGCGCGCTTTTGTAATGACGTCGTTTTTCTTATTGGGAATTCCGGGCTTTAATGCTTATGCGATCATCATCATGATGAAGATCATCATCAACAGCCGGGCGGATTTAATTTGCATGTGTTTGTTTGTGTGTGTTGCACTTTTTGTTACTGCTGAAGAAGCTTTTTGAAAGTTTCGTAATCTAATCGCAAAAAAAAACATTAGATTCTAATGATTTATTTGCTATTAGTTTTATAATTATTTATTTTTATTTAGTGTACAATTTTGAAAACTTGCAAGTGAAACTTTGGCAGTTTTTTTTTTTGTGTTCGCACCTTTTTTACGTTTTCATTTTATGTGTTTTTTTGCTTTTTCTTTATCTACAATTTGTCTACACTTGGCATGCACAGCTTTTCTTTACAAGTGCGAGAGAGAGAGACACATACACATACACAGTTAAACAGATAGTGAGAGAGAAAGGGAGCGTGTTTTGAGCTTTAAGCACATGCGCGCGCGACGTAAAGAAAAATACAACTATTAAGCGACGCGACGAGGAGAACCGATCACGACGCCAGCGTTATGAAGACTAAATGCGCAGACGCCATTTCAAAATGCCGCCAAAGCTGAAAGCTTATTTTCTATAAACGAAAAACAAAAACAAAGATCGAAACGAAAACAACACATGACGCAGACGCAGCCGTTGAGAACAACAACAACAACAGGTGCAAGCGCGGCTCAAGCGAGAGAGCAGTAGACGGCTGAGAGAGTGGCAGACGGAGAGAGCGCGCGTCAGAGAGCGAACGCCAGCTAGATAGCGCAACGTATAAAACGTCATAAGCTTCAGCTGAGCTGAGCTGAGTCACGTTGACGTTTGCGCTTGCAAAACAAACAATTTAATTTCTTACAGTGTGTGCTGACGATGAGTCAGCAAAGGAAAAGGCAGAAGCGGCAGTCAAAGTAGAGGCAGCAGCAGAGGCAGCAGCAGAGGCGACTGCAGTGGCAAAAGCTATTTCCCTACGCAAAGCTTTAATGAATGAAAATAGGCTGTGCTGTGGGTGGCTTTGGGTAGTTGGGTGGCAGTTGTCGCTTGTTTGTCTGCGGCGACAGAGCAGCGACTGATTCAACGCGCGATTCCTGGAAAAAGGATATCATCATGCGGCGGCATTTGTTGTGGCATTTAACTACAAATGACTCACATGCAGCATGTGAACATTAACTTTCACTTTCTCTACCCTGAACTTTGACATTCAGGATGCTGATTTCAGTCACAAAGTCCTGGCTGCTGATTCATTCAGCGGATTTAATTCATTGGCGCCTTAAAAAATTTGAGTTTTTTCCATAAATATTGGGAAATATTTTTAGTTCCCTTTTAGGGATAGTTGATAGTAACTAGTTGAGTTTTTTATATTGGAAATTTTTCAGTTTTTTAATTTTAATTTATTAATTTATTGGCTATCTAGTCTTATCGGCTTTGCTCTGAGTGATTTTTCCCCCATTGTGAAGAATTTCCCCCATCACACTCAAGAATTTTCTTAGTTCAAGCAACGCTTATCAGCAAAAAAAAAAAAAAAAACAGAGAAATGGGAGAAAATAATCTCAGTTGTCACGCGACTTGTGCAGCAGTCTCTCTCTTGGAAATTTCCCCAACAAAATCGCGTATGACCTCAACCTCGAAATAAATAGAAATTATGTCAATCCATGAGCCGTATTAAAATTTCACAACAAATAATCCAAAACAGAAGAAATTCGAGTGAAACCAACAACAATAAAATAATGGCCTGTTCCAGACATTGATCAAACATATGCCCCCTTCCACAGTCCACACTCGCAAAAAAATCAGTCTTAAAAATATAAAGTTTTTTTTTGTTTTGAGCAATAATATCGTAAATCGAGAATACCAAAAAATTGGTGTAGTTTTCTATTTTAAGAAATATTTTCTATTATCAAGAAATGCATTTCTAAAAAGTATAAAGGCAAGCGCATATTTTGAAATAAATTTACTGACTTTGATTTTAAATTAATATTATTTTTTAAATGAATTTATATGAATTTAATAAATGTGAAATCTGAATTTTCAAATATGTATATATATATATATGTATATATATATATATATATACTTAACAAATAAAATATAATATAAGTAATATAATATATTATATAACTAATAACAATATACATTTTCTTCACATATTAAGCAACATCCTGAAAAATATATATTTATTCTAAATTTTAGAAAAATCCATGGCGATTTTTAATTCTTCTGAGTGTACTTGCAACACCGACAGGCAACAGTGGCAACAGCCAACAGCCAATTAGAAAAGGTTTGTCGGTAAAATCACGCGATACTTGTCCAATGTTTACCTCGCGACTTGGTTTTCCACGAAGTGGGATGTATCTGGGTTCTGATGGGTATGGTATAGATTCCCCCCAGAATAGCTGACACGTGTTCAAGTATATAAGAAATTAGTCCCCTGGTTGTACACACGACATATTGATTTTCCGACATTGTTTTTGTTTTTGTTGTCGTCCTTAAGCGCTTTGAACTTCCTGTGCGACGTGTCCTTGAAAGTGCTTGACTGGGGCAACTAACCATACAAAGTCCAAGTTAATGCGAACTTCACATTGCGGTGAAGGACCTTGTAAAAAAGGCCCTTCCCATTTAAATAAAAAGAGAATTGCAAAAGCAATTGGCATTCAAATAATTAAATTTGAATACATTTAAATTTAATTTTAAGCTTGAAATTTAGTTTTTTAATAAATCATTTGCATAAGCTGAGAAAAAGTAGCTTACACTTCTGTTATTATATCACGAACTATAACTATGTTATTGTGTCAGGAACTATAAAGTATAATCTATAATCTATATTATATAATCTTTCTATCTACCTATTTATCTCTTCTTCTATCTATCTACCTCCACCCCTCCCCCACCTAATTTTTGCACCTTCTTTCGGAAAATATGTGCGTGCAAATTGCTATTAAAAAACTGCAAGGACTTTTGTCAATTCGACGAATTTCTTGTGAAATACAGAATTGCAGAGCAGCTGAAGCTATTACCTATACATATACATAAAAATGTGATATATATGTATTATTCAATCGATTTAAACAATATGCGAGACAATTTTTAATATTGCCTTAGTCAACATTGCGTAAAACTTCTGAGATCAAAAAAAAAATCCACAGATCTTTACAAATTTCCTAAAGTTTAGCATACATTTATACATATCTATATTTATATATATATATTTAAATCTATTTAGAGTTTCGAGTTAATTCATTAATTCTGAAAATTGCAGTTAAACGTAACAAGACTTAAAACATTCAACAATACTCGAAAATACTTCAACATGGATCTTTGTCCGGAGAAGAACGGCGATAAGCCCGAGCTGGCTCCAACTTGGAGTAATCTGACAGCCCATTTGCCCTGGACACCGGGACAGGACATGGAGACGACAGCCGGCATGAGGGTCTTCACCTCGGTCATGTTGCACGCCTGGCGGCAAAGACGCGCCGATGTCAGAAGATTGCAAAAGGTCGTCGAACATCTGCAGAGGAAAGTGAGTAGCCAGGAAGAGAGATCTGGTCCTCCCTTCAAGATGATCCTTCTCCTCCTTCATTCCCCCTTCAGACCATGTACTCCAAGAATGATCTGCTTGTCTCCAACACTTTGATGCGCGTGGAGCAGAAACGCTGCTTGGAACTCCAGTTGGAGCTGAAACGCTCCACTTTGAACATCAGCCAGGTACGCTCCTCTTGCGACCAGTTGACCAATTCTGTGCTCAGCCTAAATACCGAAAAGGAGCAACTAGAAAGCGACTTAGAGAACTGCAGAAATGAGGTCAGTTTGCCTGCTAAAAAGGAAGGAATTTACTGGCTCGAATTTTATAATTGAGTTTAGCTGTTGTCTGCCTTAGAGGATGAATCTTTCATATTAAACTAAATTAATTTTTAAAAAAAATGGCAATAGCTATTTTTACAGAAAAAATCTGAAATTTAACTTATTCCCACGAAATTACAGATATTTTCTTTTACATTTAGGAAAATTTTACCTTTAAGATTCGACATCTTTTTTAAATCAAACAATTTTTTTAATATATCTAAATTTTCGAAAATGAAACCGTGAAAATTAGGATAATAAGTTGAATTAGCCTTAGAGAATTTCCATAACTCGCGGCGATAAATTTTTGCGTGCCACTTAACATTATTAATTGAATATTGAGTCCTGCTCGCAGTTCGTGGAGTTGCAAAAACGAGCAAATCAAATGGCAGACAATTTGCACGCTGCTCAACTGAAGCAGCGCCACCTGAAGTTGCAGCTGTCCATGGAGCAGGCGAAAGTGCAGCAGCTGATGGAGGAGAAGCAGCAACAGCAAATGCGGAACTTGGAGAGTAGCTATAAAGAAAGAGAAGACGCCTATTTGCTGGAGCTGGAGGAGAAAAGTGAGGCATTGCGTAAAATGCGATCCACAATCGAGAGACTCGAGCAGGAGCTGAGAAGGGATCAGAATATGTAGGTAACAGGGCTCTTTCTACTCCGTAATTGGTTGTATGGGTAGTTAGTTTCTCAAAGTATTTCAGGAATGTCATTGGACTCGAGGAGCAGTGTCTGAAGCGCATGGGGCACCAAGAAAATCATAATACTAATAATAACCTCCCTGCTGGGACTTCCTCCAGATCGAATATTCAAATCGTCTCGATGGCAGAAGAGTTTCGATTTGGTCAGCTATTTTCTAAAGTCCACAATATTATTTCGAGCGCTGCATTATTTTTGTTGTTTGTCCTGTTGCCCAACAAATCGGCGCGAAGTGGTTGCTCGCAGCCGAAGAATCCACAAGCTTGTCACAAATAAATTCATATACCCTGTCAAGAATATAAATTAGTGTCACTTAAGCACAACGTATTTCCCTTTCCTTCTTTTTATTAATCTTTTCAAAAGAATGGGCTTAAAAATTGATCAACTTCAGGTTTTTAGAAATAATTTCTATTTAGATGAAAACAATTTGATAAAATAACATACTATACACTCAGAAAATATAGTAATCAAATCTTAAGAATATATTCCTAGAAAGGAAGAAATACTACCTAATATTCAGGAAGACGTATTATAATTTACTCTATTGACTGCTTAAAAATCGACCATGGGATGAAAACCATAGTTTTTAAAATAAGCGCAACCTTCAGTTTTATAAATTGATATTCTGCATAAGAAGGTGAGTAAAGTAAAGCAATTTTTAACATGTTTCTGAGTGTATCAAAATAATAATAATAAATTAGTGTATATATTATATGCTTTGTTTTTTTTTTTAAATAAATTTTAGCAAAAGAATGGGCAAATTGCTCGACAATGCCGCGTACATGGAAGTGTTCTGAACAGCAAATTTATTACGAAAATCCGAAGCTAAGCTACAAAGTTACTTAACCAAGAAATTTTGAAAATGGCTGACTTGGGCAACTGTTGTTGGCTTCAAGCATTAGCGGCCCCCCGCCCAACCCGTTACCTATGCTACGCACCCCAATCATCGAAGACTAAGATACGCGAGAGGCGGAGGTTGGGCGGCGGGGTGGATGCAGATGCGTTAACCATGCGTCTGTTGCTAATCGACCCGTCGTCGGTAGCAAAGGCAGCGGAAAGCCAATCGAAACCTGTTGCCACAGCAATGCCAGGCAGAATTACTGGGAAACAAAGTGTGACGGAGGGTCGGCACTGAGCAGATCTGATAAACAGATGGCATATCTATATATCGATCAATGCACAGAGAACAATCACAGAAGACACTTCCAACTCACGAAGCAGCGTTTCTGCTATTTATACGTAACACTCGCCAAATTAGCATTTGGGAATTTTAACACAACGCTACAATATAAACTGCAGTGACGAAATGGGGGTGGTTTTTATTTTAGACTTGTGCCTAAGAGTATGCTTTGATTTTTAGTACAGAAGCAGCCTGCATTTTTATATTATAGTTATTATTTTATGGGTATTGAAATTTATTGAATATTAAACATTTTCACCACATAATCTGCAGAAAAAAAGGGAAAACCTAAAAATGTATGCCACAGCTATTTATATATGTTTGCAATTTGTGGTATTTGAACCGCGAACCACAAGCAATATCGTTAAGATACTTCAGCGGCATGCCCAGAAGTATGCTTGGATTTTCAGTACTAAGAAGTTCAAAGTAAATTTAGTTGCCAAACATAAATAATGTGAATATTCAAACAAATCAAATGTGTATTTTCAAATTATAACAACTCACGTCAAACACACTCATAAAATTCGAACAAAAATAGCAAAAATAAAAGTTGTATTCCCTTATTCACTCTCTTTTGCATATATCTGAACTAATTTGAATTTGCATTGAAAAGAATATCATATCAAATACACGTGTTTTATTACATAAAAAAACAAAACAGGTTCTGCAGACATTTCTGCTAATGTGTAACCAAAAACTAAAAGCAGCTGGCCAAAGCCACCAGCTAGCTGGGCAAAAGAAAGTAATAATAGATATGCAGGTTGTTGTTGTTGTTGTTGATGTTTCTTCTTTTTATTATTTTTTTGCGGCGATCACGACTCCACTATTGTGTGACTCTTGTAACAGATCTCCAACTGCGCCTACAAATAAAAATAAAAAATAATACAAAAATACAGGCAAGAGAGACGAGATTCCAAACGGAAGACTGTAGGTTTCAGTTCGTATCTGCAGTTCAACACGAGCGGACGAGGCGGATGCCAACGGCAAAAAAATAAAATAAATAAAAAATACAGTAAAAAATCAGTAAAAATCGGCAAGAAAAGATATAAAATAGTAATAATATAAAGCCAAAAAAACAAAAACAAAAAATTTAAAAAAAAAATCAACAATAAACACAAACGAACCGCGAATAAAAGAAATAAGATAGTAATAATAAAAGGCAACGACAAAACACAAAAAAAAAGCAAGGAAGGGAAAAACATAAACATTCGCATAGAGAAATTTAATTTGAATTCATGTTGCATGGTTCATTTGACTATCTCTGAATGCACGATCATTAGCATGCAAAGTGCTTCATAAAAAATACATATATATATGCCACAAAGTGTATTGTATTGTGTGTGTTTGTCTTGAACACTATTCGCATACCAAATTCAAACTGCTCCCCACACGTGTTTGGCAGCGAATTACGATTTATGTTTTATAATTACAAGGCCTCAAAGACTGTGCCTTAAAGTTCATAATTCACATCGATCATTATCTCGGTTTTTGCAAATTGTATACAATATGATCAATACTGCCACGCCCCCTGGCTTATTGCATATGGATAAGCCATGGTCGGCTTTCTATCAAATTTTCATGGATTTAATTGTGTTCGCATTGAAATCTATTTTCTATATATTGGAATCGATATATTATACAATACTGCCGCAGCGCTTTAGAAAGTTGAAGGTAAGGAAAAACATTAATCAAATTCAGAAATCAACAAGAAAAAGTCTCTGTCGAAATGTGCATTAAGTTTAGCTTAGTTTTGAGATCTTGATTGCTTTGGCTTTTGACTTTTGAAGACCTTATACTTTTTATTGTTACTCAACTAAAATAAGTTCATTATTCATAACTTAAATTAGGTTTTTGGCTTTCGTAAATTCCAAATTGCTTGGCGTATATCTCTCTTTTTTATATAAATCAAAAACATCATTACAACTCATTAAAGAGCAAATTAATGCGAAATGCTTTTAATGTGGGTTAAGTGATATATTTATTGTTTTTACTTTTACTAATTAAAAAACAATTATTTGAAAATTGCATGATCGTGTTTTTATTTTGAGTTAATGAAAATAACAAAATTGCAAGTTGCTTTAGATGTTTCCCACTTTATTAATAAATATATACTCAAAAATCATATTTATATGTTTATGTATTATATTTCCAAAGTTTTTAAAAGGGTTTTACAAATATAAACTTAAAATCAAATATAAAATTAAAGAGAATTTATATTTAAAGATATATATTGTATTGTATTGTACTAAAAACAGTTCACAGTTTTTAAAATGGTAATCACGGTTTGAGGTTTCCCGCATATATATTAGTATTGCAAATTAAAGCTCACTTAAGCTTATAATTATTGTAATATTATTGTGTCTATTGCATTATTATTAAAATTAAATATCTCTACAGTCTTTGGCAAAATCCATCGAAATTGCATGTAATCAATTTTTTTTGGATTGTAAACTTTCGATTTTATTTTGTTTTCGTGTTCCATTGGCAACAACAACAAGATCTTCAACAAAACAGTGGCGTTGTTTGGACCACCATAAATACCTCAATGGATTACCATCAATATTTGAAAAAGTACAAAAAAAAGTAATATTCACACGCTGGTATATTTTTTGTTAATTGATTTTAATGGTTGTGTTTGGTTTTTTTGGTCTGTTGGTCTATGAATGAACTCCTCTTTATTTATTTGCACAATTTTGTGTATTGTCTTTGGGCATTTATTTACTTCTTTTTTTTTGTCATTTTCGTGGACGTCACTTATAATACATGTGAGTGTCTACTCCTCATTTGCTACCAGCGTCTGTGGCAAATATTTATTGCTTATTGTTTAAACTTTACGCTTATTTGTGGGCGCTTTAGTTTTCAATTGGAGCGTTTGACATTGAAATGAATTTTGTTCATAAACAACAAGTCAAAGCAACTTTCTTAACGTGCTACATATTTAACTAAGATTTAAATTTCCTATTGCTAATACAATATTTATATTTATCATGCAAAATATTTCTAAAATGTTGAATTATAAAATAGAATTATTTTCTTGGTTTTGGAATTTTTCTATTTATCAGAAATATTTTTCTTAATGAAAAACCTGATTCTTAGTCAAAGACCTATCTGAAGTTAAGAAATTAATAATAATATTTCATCTCTCACTGTCTTTATAAAATATCTAAAACGTATTGTTTTAAATTAATAATATTGAATTACCCTGTACAATGGTATTAATACAATTAATAATAAGCTGAACCCCTTTGGCGACTTTCTAAAACTCAAACCGGGTTTTTTCTGAGTGTAAGGGAAGCGTTTTTCTTTCAGAAAATTTCGCCAATGGTTTGCTGCATTCGCAATTGCTTAGTCATTGCTTTTGTTGTCGTTGCTAGTGCAACAAACTAAAATTACACGCTTCATGCTGACTGCAAAAACACAAAAGAAAAATCACAAAAAATAATAAACACACACAATGGCCAGAGCACCAAAATAAAAATATCATTGAGGGTCTTGCAAACACACAGATAAGATATGAAAACCAATAGCGCTCAATGAAACCTGATTGAGTTTTTTGTATATATGTAAAAATATTTATCAAAACCGCAACTGATGGCAAAATGGTTTTGAAATCATAGATGGACATCTTCGTGTTGCAATCTGTGCTGCTTGCTTGGTTAACCAGCCATTAAATATTCAAATCGCTTGCTGCAAATTAAAAATGCGCGTTGGTGTCGCATTTATTAAAAGGAGATAATAAAAAATTAACATAAATATTTTTATGTAAATGTAAAACATAGTGCATTTGTGTGTGTAGCTTATTATAGGTTGATAGCTATATTTTTATATTTTATTTTATATTTCGCATGTCGAAATCTTGACTGTTAATTCGAAGTTAATATAAAACATAAATATTTGCATTTAAAAGTAAAACATACTGCATTTATTTGTCTAACTTTTTATAGATTCACCTTTTTTTTACTAGCTATATTTGTACAAGATTTTACAGCTTACATTAAACCTTACAAATAATCCAAATTGCATGTTGAAATCTTGACTGTTCATTTGAATTCGATTTCACTTTCAATAACAATACGATTATTTCTTTTATGCAGAACATCTCCGGGCAGGTGGTGCTCATCACAGGTGGAGGTGGCGGTGTGGGCCGCTTGATAGCGCTCAACTTTGCTCGGCTGGAGGCACTCATCGTCATCTGGGACATCAACCAAGAAGGTGGGTTCCGCTTCACTTTTTGAAGAGTTAATTAACGCTGCCCGGCTAAGTGATTGAGCCTCGCTAGCTTTACTAATTAGCAGCTGCAGCTGTCGGGTTAAGGAACCCAAACTTATAGAGAAAGTTGTACTGCAAATTGTTATTAGCCAAGTGTAATAATTATATTAACACTCTTCTTCTCATTTAGCCATCAAGACGACGGTGGATCTGCTGGCGCGGCATGGCTACAACAATTGCAAGGGTTATGTGGTGGACATATCGGATCGGGAGCAGGTCTATCAACGTGCCGCGCAAATCACCGAGGATGTCGGTCATGTGGACATATTGATCAACAATGCGGGCATTGTGTGCTGCAAACCCTTCTGGGAGCTCCACGATCGCGTCATCCAAAACACCTACAACATTAATATCATCTCACATTATTGGACTGTTAAGGCTTTTCTGCCCCACATGATGCGTCACAATCGTGGACATATTGTTACCGTAGGCTCCGTGACGGGCATGTTGGGCACTTACGGTTGCAGTGATTATGCTGCCACCAAATACGCCTGTATCGGTTTCCATGAGAGCCTGCTGACGGATCTGAAGGCCCATGGCTATGATCGCATCCAGATGAGTCTGATTTGTCCGTATTACATTAATACGGGCATGTTTGCCGGCGTCAAGCCGCGCATGTTGCCCATGCTGGAGCCACAATATGTTGCAGATCGCATCGTCGGCGCTGTCCGCCGTAATGAGATCTGGTGCGTTCTGCCCAACTCCATACGCCTGTTGACTCCGCTTAAATGGTATGTGTTTGTCTTAGTTTTAGTCAGCTTACAATTTTAAATTTATTCTTTTGTGCAGCTTGTTGCCAGCCAAAGTGTGCTGGGAGCTGATGTCGCGTGTTATGCGTGGTCCAGAGTCCATGATGATGTTCCAGGGACGTGGTCGAGTCGCCGCCGGCTAGCAAAGCACTCCTTTAATCTATATAAATAATAATAATAATTATAATAGTTGTTAAATGTTATTGTATTTAAAATGGTGGTTTAATTTGGATTGGATTGCTTCCCAGTTTCTTGAGACTGCATCGAAAATGAGAAAAAGGCAACATATTTTTGGGATTGACGACTTTCGGCAAGCCTATCTAATTCATAGAAATTTTTTTTTCTCATATTTAGAAATTATTTAAAAAAACAAGATACATTTTGGAGCTAAGTCTGCTAACTGCGATAGATCTGCTTAGAAAGGAGTTTCTCATGGCGCTTAGTCTTTATGGGATTCCAACACCGTGCTTAGTCTCCTCCTGAAATAAAAGAAGTCTTTAGATGTTTCCCCTTCCTTTTTTTCTAATCTTTTCCGAGCAGGAACAAAATAACTTATCGGGATATCCCTCTCCTTCCTTATCTTCTTGTTTACTTACTAATCCCTCACAGTTGTCTGCTGATAGTAGTGTGGCGCCAGTTCCGTGAGCCACTCCTGCCTGATCACCGTCACCTGGTTCATGAACAGTTTCGTCGTCTGCAGCAGTTCCCCGTAGACGATATACTTCGCCGCTGGCAGTGTATAAAGTGTGGAATTTGGATGGATGGCGAGTTCAACGCCACTGCTAATCTGTCGATAGACTCCCGAGTGATGCAAATAGGCCACCTGTGTGAAGAAGCCCGCCGTGATGCACTTGCAGAGCAGCTCCACATCCCCTTTGCAAGAGAAGATGGCAATACCATACTTCCTGCGGATAAGATTCAGCAGTTGCTCCCGCAACTCGCAGGCACGCTTTAGATTGCGATAGATGAGATAATATTGTCCACAGAACTCCTTTGTCATGCCCGCCTCCACGAAGGCGCTGTGCACATTGAGCAGCGTCACCAGATCCCCCTCGGCCACCTCGAAATGCCGATGAGCAATGCGTCCCATTTGCTGTGCCGCCGCCGAAGCTGGGCGAGAAAACACAGATTGTACCTGCAGCATGGCAATTATGGTGATGATCTCTTCCGCGCAGCCCAGCTGCCCGGAGACAAACAACATCTTGGAGAGCATAGCGCTGAAGGGCAGCTCGGCAAGCAGATAGCCCACTGGCTGCGTCAGCTCACCATCCACATCCAAGGCGTTCAAAGCATAGAGCAACTCCAGCGCCGCCAACAGATTCTTTGCCGGCGGCGGTGAAGGGAAGTCAAAGCGTAAAATATTCTTAATCCCAAGTGCTTTCAGTTGGAGGACAGCGGCGCTCAGTTCGCTGCGACGTAGCTCGGGCGGCTGGCGTGGAGCAAGTGCATCGTAGTCCTGCCTGGTGTACAGATGAAAGATCTTCCCTGGACGCAGGCGACCTGCTCGCCCGGCACGCTGTATAGCTGACGCCTTGCTGACCGGGACAATAACGAGACTATCGCTGCAGGTGCTGGGATTAAAGCATTTCAACTTGACATAGCCGGAATCGATGACATAGACTATGCCCGGTATGGTCAACGATGTCTCCGCTATATTTGTGGCCAAAACAACTTTGCGCATGCCTTTTGGCGCTGTAAAGAAGACAGAGAGTTGATCAGTGCTTGACATGCTGCCATACATGGGCAGCACTTTGAGATTGGCAGTCTCTGTGCTTGCTATGTATTCCTGGAGTAAGTCACGCGCCTCCAGCACCTCATCCTGACCGGTGAGGAAGGCGAGTATGTCGCCGGGTGGCTCCCGCTGATGCAGTTTCCAAGCGGTCTCCACCGTTTCACGCACATAATCCGCACAGGGTTCGTTGACGTAGTAGTGGTTCACCTCATGCATGCGTCCCTCGATGGTGAGCTTGATGCTAATGGGCTGATCCGCTCCCGGCCAGCTAAAGAACTCGGCAAAGAAGCTGGCATCAATGGTGGCCGAGGAGATTATCAATTTGAGGTTGCTTCGCTTGCGTAGTATTTTCTTAAGCAGACCCAGCAGGAGATCGGTGAGCATATTCCGTTCATGCGCCTCATCCACAATGATGACGCCGTATTGGGTCAGCAGTGGATCTGCTAAAAGTTCTCTCAGCAATATGCCCTCCGTCATGAATTTGATGTGTGTTTCCGCTGTGAAGCGCTCCATAAAACGTACCACATAACCAACTGTGGCGCCAATCAATTCTCCTCTTTCCTCTGCCACACGATTTGCCAGCGTCAAAGTTGCCACACGACGTGGTTCCGTAATCCCAATCAAGCCCTTTGTGTGCCAACCCCATTCATAGAGATATTGTGGAACTTGTGTGCTCTTCCCACTGCCAGTTTCACCCACCAAGATGAGCACCTGGTGATGTTCCAGGCAGTACAGGATTTGATCGCGATATTTGCGTATTGGCAAGCGCTCGCGCTGCTCCTGCAGACCCAAATTGTGATTCGTATTAAAGACGAATGAGGTTGCCGCGGCTTCCTCGTGTCCAGCGGAGTCGGTGATGGCATCGTCAGTTTCGGGTTTTAGGAATTTTGGCTTAAGCGTCGACATTTTCCAGGCATTTGCGGCAATTTTATTTGTTTACTTGCGAGTAATCGAGTGTGAACAGCTGATGCTGTGGCTATTAATCGACAAGTCCTAAGATAGTGTTGCCTAAATGCCCTTGTAAATTATCGAGCATGAACAGCTGCTGCCACTACTAATCGATATGTCATCATAAGCAAAACAATAGTGCAGCCCATCGCCACAAGCCACAAATCACTACAGTAAAATGCACAAGTGTGCGTTAATTCAAAGGTACTCGCATACAGTATCGAGTACTAACAACTGATTTATCACTACATTAATATGTCAGCCTAGCATATCGCCACTAGCCAGAAAACAGTGCTGTAAAATGAACAAGTAAGCGCCAAATTCAAAGATATTCACATACAATAATTTTTGTCTATTATAGGAGCGGTAAATTCAAACTTAGCACACATTATATATTTTATTTTTTTTATATATATGTCAGCTGCTAAAGTTACACAATAAAAGTTGCAGTTTATTTTGAATTACTAGACTTAAGTACTTTATTTCAAATGCTTAAAATCATAAAAATATTCACTTAATATCACCGATTCTATAAGTAAGTTAATATTGTTAGCTTTTAAAATTGATTTTTGAGGGGAGGAGGCGGGCGCGATGGTTTGTTTTTCTCGACTTGTGCCTTTCACTTGCCAAAGAACTGAGGCAAGAATTTCTTACACAGAAAGAATTCAACTATGCAATACTTAACAAATAAATGTACCCAAGCTCTGTAATACAATACAATTTGAATTGTAAAAGTAATTTTCTACATATATATTATTATTATTATTTTTTGAGTATTGTATAACTAAAAGCGACTGTTGTATTTATGTGGAACTCTGTGCTCTGTTCAAGTTTATTAAGTTACTATATTTTTCTGGGTATTCTGGGGACTCTTTCCATGAAAGTGCTTCTCGCTAGGTGCGTGCATCTAAATGTATTTCTTTATATGGTATATTCTTATTTTCCTTCTCGTACATGTTGTATATACTATTTTGTTATTTTTCTTTATTTTGTTTTTGCCTTTGTGTGCTTTTTGTGATATATATTTATATATATATGTGTAAGTTTTGTAAATTTGATTGCATTTTCTTATTGTATTTTTCGTTATCATTCTTATATATTTTAGAATGCACGATTTATTTTTTTCTTGTCCCGATTTGTGTTTATTTTTAAACGCTATTTCATTGACTTAATATTTATTGTTGTTTAGTGTTTCTTTATTTTTCGTTTGTTTGGTTTGCTGTTTTTTAATAATCATAACATAAACATGTAGATATTGAAAATGTTTATATTTCTTGTAATTTTTATTTGTTTGAACTTTTATGTTTTGATTACTTTCTGTATTCGTATACTATCCTTCGATCCTCTGCTCTGCATGTGATTTATTCCTTATTAATTTCTTTCATTCCTTAAAAACTGAAAATAAAGCCCCTGCTAAAAACTTAAATTATATTTTGCTATCAATTTTATACTAAATTGCATTTAGTTGTTATTTTGTATTAATTTATATAAATATTAAATTTTAATTGGTTTTTTGTTTTTTTTTTTTTTTTTGCTTGTTAATCCCTAAATATACATATTAATTTATTTGGTATTTAAAACGTGACCCAATTTAAATATTTTTATTTATATATATATATATATATATATATATATATATATATATATATATATATATATATATATATATATATATATATATATATATATATATATTTATATTTATATTTATATTGAGTATATGTTCTATTTGTTGGACTCTAAAATGATTTTAAGCTACAGTAAAATATTTTCAATGTACGCTTCGAAGCTTAAGTCTTAGCTACAATTAATGTGTATAATTTCGAGTTCGAAAACTTTAATTTTTTTTTTTTTGCAAAAAATTGATTTGCTAGAATTGCTCGTATATTTCTATTTTAATTTATATTTATTTTGTTTGCTTAGCAGTCCAGAGTGTTGAAAAGCATCGGTAGAGATTTAATTGCTGTAAAAGCGCTTGTACAGTGGATACACAATAAGCGTAAAATACAATACAATACCATACAATACAATATATAAAGAAACTATTATTGTTACCAGAAGAAAGCTTTTTGTGTGTTTTTCTTGTTGTTCTTGGTTTTTGTGATCGATAAATGTGTTTTGTTGTTGTTGTTGTGTTGGAAATGACACCAAAGAATTGGTTACTATACAGTGTTGGACAACGCACTGCACAAAGCGCAACGAAGCTCAAAGTGAGTGAGAGAGATACAAACAGCTTAGCATGTGTCATTCCCACTGTAAACACATTTCAGTTCAGTGCATAAATGTAAATGCTTAAAATCTTAACGGTATTTCGGCTTAATAATTCTCAATTCTTTTTTGTTAACCCGCTAATCTGTGCAAAACTCAGTTATTTAATGCTGCCATCCTTTTCGATTTCTTGCACATAATGTACATAATTACATACATACATAAATACATACATTCATTCATATATTTTTATCACATGCTTTGCATATCGGCTGCTTAAAACGTGTCTGTGTGTTTCTTTGTGTGTGTGTTTTAGCTTTAAGCTCATCCAACACACAAGCCTAAAGTCCTGTTTTCAGACCGTCCCATTGTACTATTAATTGTACTATAAATTTAAATTATAATTTATATATAGATTATATTATATTAAATTATATTTCGTTTGTGGCAATGAGAGTCAACAAAAATTAATTAATTAATTTTCTCATCTCTACGGTCTTTCTAAGTACACATTTTTAAGTTTAAAATAATTTATTTTTTAATGGTCGAGAAGAATTGCCAATAATGGCCGTCAAAATATATTAATTAATTGTATTGACATCGTCCAAAAGCTGCTCACAAAATCCAAACAGCTTAACAGCGATTTAACAGTGAATTAATAGTGACTGAACAGTGGGTTAACAGTGAGTCAACAGTAAAATTTAAATCTTATAGCCTTTTACACATTTGTAATAGATTCGGGTTATATAAATGAAAAATTTCTTGACCTGTTTTACAACGTTTTTCTATAAGGAGCTTATCGATTATCGATAACTTTTCTTCGATCTCAAAATAGGGCTTAAAGCTTGTCGAGCTTCTGCATATCTTGTTTGTGAGTGTTCGCTTTAAGCTTAAAGCTTGTCAAGCTCTGATTGCGGTTCGGTTGGACTTATTGGTGACATTTCGACGCTGTCGAGCAGTGGCGTCTTCTCCTCGCTGCTACCGGCACCCCCAGCAGCCGCCCCCGTCGCCGCCGCTGCCTGCTCCATGTCCATTACAAAGATGCGGGACAACTCAATGCCGCTCAAAGTGCGCCGCGATGGCGATGATTCATCCAAGGAGCTGTTATTATTGCTGCTGCTCGTGCTAGTCGTGCTCCTCGTGCTTCTTATGCTTTTCATGCTGGTCGTGTTGAGTGCTTGATCGAGGGATTTGGATGGGTTGCAATAGTTGTTGGCAGTTCTTGTTGTTGTTGTTGAAGCTTGGGCGGAGACTCGATTTAGATTGCATAAATTCGTTGGGCCATCGAGCATGGCCAGAGATGTGCTCTTTAGATTGGTCGTCTTCCGATGATGATTGCACCTCGTCCTCGCATTATTGTCCTCGCTGAAGGATATCTCATCCTCACTCCCGCTATGCGTATTATTAATAGCCGTCTGCTTAAGCCGCACCAGATGCCGTTCCGAATACGATTTACGTGCATCCATCACCCGCAAATAATCTAAACTTTCACCCAGATCCTCACTTTTGGAGCTGCAGTACCGGCGAGAAGGTCCTGTGGCGGTACCACAAAAACTCGTTGTTACACTCAACATTTGCTGGCTGCCGCTGAGGGAACGACGACTGTTGGGGGAGAGGCGAGTTGAGCTGGGATTTGAGCTGGGATTGGAGCTGGGATTGGAGCTGAGATGTGGCGATTGTTCCAGCAGCGAATCATTGCTCTTCGCTATGCGGTTCTTGCGATATAACTTACTATCGCGCCAGAGGGTCTGTTTTTGACTGGAACTGCTGCACCGAGTGCCTTGCTGCAGCTCCATGTTGGTGGGTGATTGATCCTGTGTGCGGGTCTTGCTAATCCGGAACGAGGCATGGGTTAGTTTCTTATATTTTTCGCTCTGCATATTGACACGATTGTCGGAGTGTGTGCGATCCGACATGGGCATAAAGGCATTATCTATGCGTCGCTCCTCTTCCAGTGAACGGAAAGCCAAACGATTCACGTGCTTCAGATGATGCTTATCTGAGGAACTGGTTCTCTTTGGGGACATGTCCTCAAAGGAGCTAACCCTATATTTCTGTGAAAAGACCTCAATCATGCTGGAACGTTTCGATGGCGATGTGGTGTATATAGAATTCTGATCATTGACGAGGATTTTGGGCGGATCAAATTGGAGTTGCTGCTGGAGTTGGAGTTGCTGCTGCTGTCCATTTGTGCTGGATGCCAGCGAGGAATTGCTGGAATTACTTGTGGCCGTCACGAGTATCTTCGGGGAGAGGGAGACGGGAAAGTGTTGGGGTCGCATATGCCCCAGTGAATTGCAAGCCGAACCGGATGAAGTTGAACCCGTTGCGGAGCCAGCATCATCGATGTGCAAAAAATTGTTGGGTGAACTTTCGCGACAAGGCGAGGAGATGGCCGAATCCTGGGAGACCATGCTACGTGGAATGGTTGCCAGTTCCAAGCAGGTCTCATTGGGACCTGTTGTCGTCGCTATAATAATATCCTCGACGCCCTCATCGATGGGTGAGGAGATGGATTGGAAACTATTCGGACGTATGCCCGTAGAACCAATGGACAAATCATTGTCTGTTAAAGAGCCGAAGGCGGAATCCTGTGAGGGATTACTGCGTCCATATTTGAGGCACTTGAGAGAGTATTCGAGGCGGCGACTCTTCGAGTTTTTGTAGTTGCACATGTCGGCGGTGAGTTGATGATTGAATGAGCAGCTTGTCGTGGTGTTGTTGGTGGAGGAGGCATATAAACGTTGGGTGCCACTTGAACCACTGGCAACAGCAGCGTGATCCAGCTGCTCCCCCTCCTCCTCCTGCTGCTCCTCCAGTTGCTGCTCCCGCTTCAACTGCTCCTGCTCGTTTTGCTCTTCCAGCTCCTCCACCTCATCGTTGATTATATTTAAATTGCTTTGACTGCTGCTGCTGCAGCGTATTGTGGGCTGCTCGGGCATATCCGCCTGGTCACAGTAGTGTATGGGTGATTCCTCCGGCTCATAATGAGTCGAAGCTGAGCCGTAGCTGTATCCGGGAGTGGAATACCAGTGCTGATAGCGCTGCAAGCGCTGAAGACTCCTCAGTTGACAGCTGCTCCCGACAACAATCTCCTCGAGCAGCGCCTCCTCGGAGTCGCTGGATATGTCAAAGGAGTCCATTGTGCGGCTGATGCTGTGCAGGGCGACAAGAACAATAACACAATCAGTATCAGCAATAAACATGACATACACTCAGCAAAAAATAGCAGATCTGAATTTTAGAAAATCGATTTCTGGTAAGTCACTCGAAGTTCTTCTAAGAAGGGGGGGAAAATGCATTTCTTAATAATAGAAAATATTTCTAAGATATAATAGGAAGTATTTGTTTTTATTTGTATTTTTAGAAACTCATTTCTAAAAACAAGAAAATCTTTCTAGTATTCAGTATTTTCATTTTAGGGTTTGAATTTCTACTGTTTAGAAATACATTTCTTAATAATAGAAATAGAATAGAAACTATTTAAAAAAAAACACATCTTATTTGTCGATTTAGGGCACCTTATAATTTTTATACATTGTTCTAATACTTAAAAATAATTTCTAAGAACATGAAAAACTTTTGTTTTATTTTTATTTATTATTATATTATTACTTTTTTTTTATTATTTTTTTATTATAATTTATTTTTTCTAAGAACAAGAAAGTCTTTCTGGCTTGGAGAGCTTGCATTTCTATGTCTTAGAAATGCATTTCTTAACCAAAATACATTGTCAATTTAGATAAAGAATTTCTAATTATTAGAATTTTGTTTTTCTTTTATAAATTCTTTCTAAAAACCCAAAAAAAACTTTATAGTTTTTTAGCTGATTTTCAGTTTTAAGCGATTTTCTAAAATTCAGAGCGACTCTCTTTCTCTGAGTGTAGGAAGTATGGGTTTCAAGTCACGATGCGAATGGCATTTGATTCCTTTGTTTATTTTTCTAATTTCTCTTTGCTTGCAGTGCGTGTTTTGTTTAGGCCAGTCAGAAATATGAATACGATATCAATGTGTGTGTGTGTGTGTATGTATGAGAGTATGTGTGTGGGGGTGTGAGAGTGATTGTGGAGTGAATAGGCGTGGACATCTGCCAACGTGCTGCAGTTGAAGCTTGAATAAATACTTGCTCTCTAGCAATGGCACGTGCAGTTTTTCCCTTGAAACAGATAAGAGAATTTCAATTAAGTGGGATTTGTTGAACGTTACTTGGGCTTTTACTTTTACTTTTAGCTAGCAAATGTTTTATCTTAATTAAATAATCCTTCAACAAAGCTAAAAAAGTTTGTCTTAGATTGATAGGCAAACAAACCTGACTTTTCTTATCTGATATCTTAGTCAACTACTCAAGTTTTTAATATGATTTATTTTAACTTTAAATTTAATTTATTCTACTTGCCTCGTGTAAAAGTATTTTGTTAAAAATTATTGTGCTATTTTTGTCAAGTATTTAAACATTTAAATACAATATATGCATGGCAATATTTAAGCAGATATTTAAAAAACAAACGAGCCTTTAAATTATACATATATTTAATTGGTTTCCTTTCGTCACAGTTGCAACAAGCAAGTTCTAATAACAATCTACTGTTCTTAATGAAAATGCGGTGAGTTAGGCATTAATTATTATATTATATATTTAACTAATGCGGTGAGTTAGGCATTAATTATTATATTATATATTTAACTAATGACAACACATTTGTATAAAAACATGGTTGCGGTAAAAATGAACAATAATCTCAGCTCAGGGTTTTGAAAATCTGATAATTATTGAGAAAGTTATAACTTTAAAAAATGTTGACCGTTCTCTATAATCACTTTTTGGGAGTAAAAATCGAGCCAGAATCATATTTAAAACAATATGTGTAGTATAATTCTAGAATTTCAGTCATGATTCTTGAAGCTATAATTGTAATTTTTCGATCTTTAAATTTTATGGCAACTATATGATATCTGATTCAGCTGAATCCGACGTATGTGTGGACTGTTTGAAATTAGTATAGGAACAGACAGACAGGGGCTCAAGAATATGTAGATTTTATGGGAAGAAGTACAAGTTATAGTAAACGAAAATCTAAGCTTAAAATATCTTAGGAAAATGTCTGCAAGGGTTTTTCAACTTCGACAATCCGGAGAAAATCGGTTTTATAAACATATATATATTTAAAGAAAACCACATGAACATGCAATATATTATTTGAAGCAAGAACTAAGATAATAAAATACAAACGTGCTTAATTTAAGTTATTAGCCATGAAAATTGTGGATCTTAAGTGAGTATTTGATAAAACAGAGGCAAGCACAATATACAGGGAGAAAACTAAAACATATATTACAAAAATGTTTTTTCTTTTTTTTTTGTTGTGAATGATTTTCAAGTAAGTTTCAGACTTTTTTTAATGCCGACTCGAAGTTTTATTTTTGTTGAATGCTGTGCATTGAAGTGGGCAGTGATTTGGTGGGTGGGGTGAGGTGAGGAGTGGGGGTGGTTTTGAGTGGGGGATGGATTTTACCGCTGGTGGTTTTAGCATACAAAAATTTGCCACTTACCACGTTTTTTTATATATTTATTTTTGTGAAAAAACACAACAACAAAATCATTTCCATATTTTGAAATATTTGGATTCGATTTTTTTTTTTTTTTTTGCTTTTTGGGGGTACAAAAAATAGCATTTGAGTACAAAAAACATTGCTGTGAATTAAATTATTTTTTTTTTTGTTTTTTATGTTTTATTCAGGTTTTAATTTTCATTTTATTTGAGAGTTTTACACTTTTTTTTTGGTGTTTGTAATTTGTTTTTTTGTGAGTGATTTTTTGTGAGTTATTTTTGATTTTGCGTTTTGCTGCAGCTCTTTTGGTTTGGTTTGTTGGTATTTTTTGTTGGTATTTTTGTTTGTATTGTTTTATTAGTACATACGAAAGACTTCATAGGGCGCAGGAGGCGGAACACTGTTGTTGTTGTTGTTGGTTGTTGTTGTTGTTGGTTGTTGTTGTTAGTTTTCGAACGGGTTATGTAAATAAACAAATGCAGAAATGCAACAATTTGTAAATCATAAATAAAACACACACGTATGTTACATAAACAAAAACGAATGTTGATAGACATTCAAGGGCTGATCTGTATGTATCAATAATGTATAGATGAGGCTTGTGTAACGGCAACTGGTTCATTTGAATTGTTCTTTGCTTCGCAACACTAAAACACAGACATAGTAGTAGTATTGTTTAACGATGTTTGTTTTTATGTTTTTGGTTATAGTTGAGAGAGAAAGAGAGAGTAAACATGGCATACAAAATACTTTAGTTGAAAAATTCCTCTACTTACACATGTAATAAATTATAGTAGATATATTTATATATATTTTATTTATATATATATATATATATATATATATATATATATAGATATATACATATATATATAACACATGCGATTCTTAGACAGCAAACAAAATTAGATGTATATATATATATAGATTACACACTGAGAGAAATATGCTTAAAATATACATGAGCAACGAAAATGTTTTGAAAATGTCCATTTTTTTCTATATTTATAAATTCTGCATCAAAAATTTAAATTATAATTGTTATTTTTTTGTTTTAAAAAATGTAGGCTCCTATGTCTTTGGCCAAAATGATGAGATTTCCGAATGCTTTTCAACATTATGCAGTCCTTTATATATATATTATTGCAGCATCAAAACTTTGCTTAAGTTTTTTTTTATATAATTAAATTGAATTATTATTATTATTATTATCTTTTTAAAATTCCGATATAAACTTTGGCAAAAATTATCAGATTTTCTAATTATACCGTTGAAAACATTGCTTGTATATATTTATGTATATATGGATACTGCATCAAAACTTGAAAATACGTCTTAGTGCAAAAATGTCGAGAAATTCAAATTCCGAATTAATTTCAACATTATGCAGGCCTTTTTAAATATATATTAATATCGCATCACAATTTCATGAAATGTTTTTGTGAAAAACTTCGACTAAAATTCACGCTTTACGTTTTTTTGTTGTTAAAATTCAAATTTAAACGGCTCTCCTTTACTTTGCTCTCCTTTACTTTGCTCTCTTTTCCCCTCTTACTTCCCTTCTCACTGCGTTCTCCCCTTTTCCCTGCGGTGTCCTTTCCTCTTATTACTTAATTACATTCTTCTCTGTTGTATGCATAATTTTCAAGCACTTAATACTGACAGCTGACAGTGGCACTTGAAGGGGGCTACGGGGGGCGGGGCTATGCTATTTCCAGCGTGTGAGAGAGAGAGAGAGAGAGAGAGAGAGCGCATTGGATCTCGGGCAGAGAACATTACCATAATTACCGCAGGCACGCACAGCATAAGCACACACACACACACACACACACACACATAGACACAGCAGACACAGACACAGCATACAAAATGGACAGGTGCATGGGTGAGACTCACATACATGCGCATTTAAATGCTAATGCACACATACATACATACATACGCACATACAATTTATGACGGTACTTCTTGTATCTGTGTGTGTGATTTTTTGTTGTAGTTTTTCGCTTGCTCATCTCTGTTTTTTTTTGCTCTGTTCTGTTCTATTCTGTGTTCAACACATCATTCATTTATCGTTACACACAGCATTTGCGAGTGGCTATGTGTGTGTCTATTTGTGAGTTACACTGTGTTATTCTTCATTAACCTGCAGTGCACTGGTTAACTTACACAAGAGCGGAGTCGATAAGAAAAGGGCCTGCATTTTAAATATTGTATTAGATTTTAAATCAGCCTGAAGGTTGAGTTCTTCATCTATCAAATCCTAATAGCCTATGGAACGAGTCCATTTTTGTAACTATTATGTTACGGTACTTTAAAGTAATTTTCAAAATTCTAAAAATCCAAAATTAAGTAATATTATAATTGATACTAGATCAGGCAAGATAATAGTTCTACATTTTCTATAGGGATTCACAATTTTACTTAAAAAAAACTTTAAGCCCTCGAATAATGTACAGGCGGCTAGTGAAAAACGCGGGTTCGCGCTTAATATTATTATAATTGATAATTCTCAGTCTAAGGTTTAGCTCTTCATCTGTATAATCATAAAAGCCTCTATAAGAAAGCGTATATTTTTCATATGCTATAACACTAATTTAAGAAAAATTTTAAGCACTCTTAAAATATACGGGAGTGGAGTCAATAAAATGTTATAATCAGATAAGGCTCACGCGAAGGTTTAGTCCTCCAACCTAGGAGCCTCTATAAGGTGGTAATTTTAATTCTTGCTATCAGGTTCACATATTTTTTTTATATAACTACTAGTCTAGTTCTACAACCGCAAAACACCTAAGAAACTAAAGGGACATTTTTTGGTATATAATGTTTCTTTAAAAAAATCTTTAATCATTCTAAAAATTGATTAAAAGTTACATTAGTGTTACTAAATTTAAGAAAATACTAGAAAGTATAGTATTGTAAAAGACATATATTTTGTAAGTGCATGCTGATTAAAATGATTTTTGACTTTTGACCTTTGACTATTATAGGGGATTATTATAAGCCAACCCAGATTAAGATTAGACCGAATTCCCTAATAGATTGGAATGCTTAAAATTTTCTATATGTACCAGGAAATATCCAGAATATAATAATCATTTGCTGGCAGCTTCTTTTTTTTTGGTAAGTGAATGGGTTTTTTATGAAGAGATGTGTGTGTAATTGCTGGTGTGTGTGCGAATGTGTGTGAGTGAGTGTGTGTGTGATGGTTGCATTGCTATGCCAGTGATATGACAAAAGATTCGATATTATATATGTTAGGACTTACCCAGTGCGTCGATCATGCGGCGTCGAGGGCGGGGTGCAGGGTGAACTTGCCTCACTGAAGGAGTTGCCCAAAGAGGCACATTGTCGCTTCTTTACCGCATGCAGCAGATTCAGCGTGGATCGGCTAAGGCTCGGCTTGATTGTCTGCAAGATAAATAATAAAATAATTATTATATTTATCGCGACTGTATATGTTATGCTATATATATTATTGTTATTTCAGATATTAATTTTTGTGGTACTTACACTGAAACAGGGACCGCGCAGCTCTCGCAAATCGATGCTGCGGAATAGATCGCATAGGACTAGGTCCTCGACGGAGGGGCAAACGCCGCTGGGCGGCTCAAAAATAAGGCCTAATATTTCCAGAACCTGTGCAAGGAATTACATAATATATATAATTCAAATATAATAAATATATTGTGTGACATACCTGGCCAATTTGCGGATAATGCTGTAGCTCCATTTCGAGCACCCGCATGGACGGTTTGGGTGTGGTCATCTCCTGACCGGTGCACATTTCAAACAGCAAATGGCCAAAGCAGACGATGTCCACATTCTCGATATCCGTTACGGAACGAGACCACATAACGGCATTATTGCGCGAGCTGAGCCCCAGCAGACCATTCTCCAAGCCCGACAGCCTGCAAAAGAACAAATCGAGCCAAAACGATGAGCCAACAAAATACTCGTATATTGCATAATTTAAGGATAAACCTCTTTCAATACACTCAGCTAAGGAAATCGCCCTGAATTTTTGAAAATCCCATGAAAACTGAAAAATCCTGAAAACTATAATGTTTTCTTGTTTTTAGGAATAATTTTTAAATATAATATAATATAATATAATATATATAACATTTCTTAAAATTATACAAACTTGCCTAAATCGACAATCCTAAAATATGGGGTTATTTTTATTTTTTAGAAACCTTTTTTATTATTAAGACACTTAAAACTGTCTCTTATTTTTATATATATACTTTTCAAAATTCAATGTTATTTTTTTGTGAGTGTAAGGACAATCATTATTGCCAGTTTGGCTGGCACAGACTCGACTTCGAATGACCCAAACACGTGGCGCCCACAATGTGGCAACTTTTATGGTCAAAATGTGTTTGTGCGTTTGGCTGTGAAATGTGTGTTTATATGTCAACCTTTATGTGAAAGTATGTGTGTGAAAGAGGGTAAAAACTATAATCACATAATGGACATCTTGACTGAAACAATGATTGTCGTCAGACACAAAAGTATTTCAAGCAGAACAATCGTTATTTAAATGTCAACCTTTGCCCATTTTTGAACTTTAAACTTTAATCGACACACGAGCTTGTCTTTTATACACCCACGCCCAGCCACGCCCCCTCAGCCTTGACATATACAAAAAAGTCTTCATGCCACGCCTACAATATTTCTATCATTTAAAGGAAAATGGCAAAAGCTGAAAAAAGCTGAAATATTTTTCGCATTCAATTCAAAGGGTGGTTCTAATGGGGTGGGTGTTTGTGTGCACGGCTTGTCGCCTGCCCTGAAAGCCATAGAAATTGTGGGCCAGGCGATTGCTGGGGATGCGGATTTTGAATGCATTTATTATGAACGAGAAAAATATAAATAAAAACAGACTGCGATAGTGCAAAGTGTTTTCCATGTGGATTTTATTGTGCTGACCAAAAAGGTTTGTTGGCTTCTCAAATAAAAAGGTAAATTGCAATTTAGAAATAGTTTGATCTAGGAAACAATCGAAATGGTTTCTTGCAATAAATGATTACGTTTGACTAGCTTGACATATTTATTCTGCAATTTTAAAAATGATACTTGATAAATGAGGAATCGATTTTTGGAGCACTTGTCTACAGCTTGAAATGGGTTTCATTGGGTATTCATTCCAAATTAATTACATTTTAATTGTTTTTTGTGCAAATTAATGTCTTTTTATAGTCGAATGCATAATACAAGTTAAAATTATAAGTTTGTAAAATTATAAACCACTTGAATGAGTTGATGATTTGGGTATTCTTTTCGATGCTAGACTTAAGTTTGATAAGCATATTTCTCTTGACACTAAGCGAACCTTTTGTGGCCTGCAATTCATTAGGAATTTGACAATCCCTGAACTATGCTTGAATTAGGATCTGTTAAATGGTCATCCAATTAAAAGATTCATCAGGATCCGTACAAAAATAATTTCTTGATCTTACTAATAAATCTAATTGTTTTGCAGTTCCGATTAGAAGTACAAGAAATTTTCAACCTCTTTCTCTACAAACTTGTAATTCAAACTATGCTATCCACAAGCCATTTCTTATCTTATGCTCCACTAAAATATAAAATAAATAAGTTTAAAATAAATAAATTAAATATAAATTAAAAGTCGTTCATATTTCCTCTTAATTTGTAGTTTATTTAAGACTGGTAAGCACTATAGTCTAAACTCACCTGGCTGCTCCATTCTGTAGAATAACATTGCCGCTGTGCAGATGACCATGAAGTGGGAATCCGCGCTCCTTAAGGAAGAGCAGCGCTTCCAGAATTTGGCGACCCAATCGCTGTACTTGACTCACGGGCAAACCATTTGGCTTCCGTGTATATTTTCGCGCCCAGGGTTCGTTCCATTGTGCCTGGAGCAGACCGACAGACAGATACAATCACTAATCGTTTTTTTTATAGTGCAAATAGCTCACCTTATAGATGAGATCTTTAAGACTGCCACGCGAATTGAAGGGTGTTACCAGGCAGGCATAATTGTGTGAGCTGTTGCGCAAGAATCCCAAATCCAGCACCGGATAAATGTACGGATGATGCAGCGAACCCAACAGCTCCATCAATATATCTCGTGCGCATTCATCCGGTGGCAGATCCTCAAAGGCCACACAATCCGTGGGCAGCGGCAGCAGCGTCAACAAACGATCCGTGCGCACCTGTTGGATGGGGAATGGGAGTAGAAGTTGTAGATGGAGTAAAAGATTTAGGTCAGCTTTTCTTATATTTCTAAATAATTTCCCAAAACAAACAGCATTTAAAATCCACTGCGATTTTTTATCAGTTCTCAACTCACCGATGCATCCGTGACGAGAAACCAGTTCTTGCCATGCCTCGAGCCGATCTCATCGAGATGTGCGATTACCTCGTAGCGTCCATTGGCGCTCTGTATCCATTCCTGGGTGGCATTCAACGCCCGTTCCCTTTGTGCTCGCTCCCGGGGACTTCGCTCCACAATCCCATTGCCGCTGTCAAGCGCTGAGTATTGATACTTTATGTTTGGTCTGCAAGATATTATACACAATTTAGAATTCCCATCTGTATTTGGATATTTCGTATTTGTATTTTTACAGCTGTCAGTTGAGCGCATACAGAAAGGAACTCAAACTATGCAAAGTATTCATATAGGAACTAGAACTAATCATAATGAACATGTCGACTAACTTTGGCATTCAACATGAATTATGCTGATTTATTTACATTATAATTAAAGCACTCGGTATTTTTAGGATACTGCAGATTAAAATTTCTTCTCTGTGCCCAAAAAAAAAACATAAACTGAAAATCGAATTTGAATTTTAATGTACGCTTAACCAGTTTTTATAATGAATTTTGTATTGGCCAATTTGGTAGTTAATAAAATATTTTTTATTAATATACATATTTTACCCAACTTATTTATGCGAAAAAAAATTTGTACTTAATATATTTACCCAACTTATACACACAAAAGACTAGCAATTTTATTTTTACGAAATATTAAATATTAATTGAAAGAAGTAAAGCGAACAGCTGAAAGCTGAAAAGCATTTCGACAAAATTTCAGATAATCACGAAACTTTGCCTAAATGGCAAATGACAATTGCAACACATGGCTTATTCAGTTGTGGCAACTTTGTTGTGGCACGTCAACGTTGACATGCAAGCCGCATCCTCATACAACAGACTGAACATTGAAATGTAATAAAAAAAACTTGTTGAAAAATAATTTCCGAAAAAAGGTGAGCCCACAACAACAACAAGAACAACAAATAGCCACAAAAGGGGTTGCCAGAGAAAATTAAATTTGGTAAACAAAGCGAGAAGCTTGCCAAAAAAAAGTTTATATATATTGCCAACTGTTGAACAAAAGGGGGGTTACGAGGGTGGATTATCTGGCTGCACAATGGCGCAGCGGAAACGGAAGCAGCAGTTCAACATGTTTTTTCCATTTTATTTCATTATTATTTATTCTCCTTCATTTTGTTTGTTTATTTGGCAGAAAATGCAAAGTGGATAAACTGAAAAAAAACGAAAGCAACTGCAGTGCCTCAAATTGTGGCCGTCTTAATGGTGTGGCAAAGCGCAATAAAAGAGAATAGAGAATATGCACGAAAGCAAGAGCGTTAACAAAACACAAATTCGCCTCAAGTGCCACACACACACACACACACACACGCAACAATAACAAGAGTGGAGACGAGCTCATAAACAAACACTTACGAGCCACTCAATCAAAACAGAGCGAAGGTTAAGCACATCCTCCGGTTAAGTTTAGCATGTGTTTGAAAATTTAATAAGGCCCCAAACAACAAAAACAACAACAATAAAAAGAACGGAGCATGTCACTGTGTGGCATAAAAGTTGGCCAAGAGACGACTTCAGATTCACTCGTATAGCTAACGGCGTGTGCACTCACCAAAACATAAATCGCTCTGAAAACTACGCAGTTTCCTTGTGTTAACAAATAACTTCTAAACATAAGAAACAATACGAAAAAATATAAAAGCAAGCCCTAAATCGATAATCCTAGAAACAAGTTGATTTTTTATAAATATTTTCTATTCTTTAAAGATGCATTTCTAGAAAAATTCCATTCCATTTTTTTTTCTAAATTTTAGAAAAATTATGATTTTAGAAAATATTGATATATACTTTTTTAATTATAAAGTGATTTACTTTGGCGAATTTCTTAAATGCAGGTAGCTTTTTTCTCTGAGTGTATACCGAATATAGCCCCAAAGCGCGCTGCGTCAGTGGGACTGAACAAGCGAAAAGCGAAAAGTGAAAAATATTGCAAGGCCTCGCAAGGCACAGCATGCAAACACACAAACACATACATACACACACACACGCACGCACACACACACACATTCATTTTGGGCACATGTCTTTTTAAATGCATCGCTTGTGTTCTTTGTCCAACGTTGCGTATACTTCACATTCTTCTCAGTTCTTTTTTTCAGCCCACTTGCACTTTATAGTTTATTGTGCTGCTTTTAAGTGCCACAACCTTGAATGTAAATGTACTGTATATATACTGAATATATATATATATACTGTATATAGTCATTTTGCAAATGTATGTGCATATTATATATTTGTATTTATTTAAGCTAATTTTAGCAAATGTTGGTTGCAGCTAACAGATTAAAATTAAGGCTTTCGCCTCGTTCCGAGCACATTGCTCGACAAATATTTACAATACACTCAATCCACTTGTCTCTGCACGTGCACGTGTGTGTGTGTGTGTGTGTGTGTAAGGGTCTAGAGAGGCAGCAGGCGTCACTCGACACGGAAACCTCAAATATTATCAAAACAATGGCAATGGGGAAAAATACTTGTAGCTTTATTTGCTATATTAAAGATATTGTAAAATTCTTGTTTGTTCTTTTGAAATTTAAACCATTTTTGGACATTGCCAGACTAAATTTAAAGGCAGCTGGAAAGCTGCAACTGAGGTCTGTGCTTAAAAATGGCAAATAGTTTATAATTTAAATTTAAGATTTTCAAAAGGTATTTCTTGAGACTTAAACCATTTTGATACATTTCTAGGCTGTCTGGCAAGTGTAAGAAATTCAATGGGGAGACAACTGGTGATATAACTGAAGAAAGTCGTTGAAAGTGGGATATAATTTGCAATTTAATTTAAATTTAGTTCTTGAATTTAAACCATCTTTAGACATTGCTAGACACTAAGGAGACAGCTATAGTTATTAATCAACTCAAATTTTATTTAAATGCAATAAAAGTTCTCTTTGTCAAAAACAGGAAATAATTGAAAATTAACTTTAATTTAAAAACTAACATTATCTTTATGAAGCTTGAATAAGGCATTGCCAGATTGTTTGGCAATACGGCAACAGCTGAACATTTGTATAATTTAAAAATTAATTTAAACTGAATACTGTCAACGAACAGCTGAATATACAACCCAGTTCTGTAATTAAAAATGATATAACATTAAAAATTTAATTTATGGTGTTTATTGAAAATTCACCCATCTTTAGTAGATTGGCAGATTGTCTGGCAAGTATAATAAATGTCAATAAAGCGATAGCTGTAGATACATTTTAAAATTCAACTTTCTTTCTATACTGTGTTTGGAACACAAAATAAAATAAACAAGAAATCGATAAAAAAATTTGAGCATATATTATGATAGCAATAAAGAGTTGACAAGCGCACCTTTTCCCCTTTGCCATCATAATTAACGTGCTCGAGTGTGAAATTTTTTATTGCATACTTGGCGGCGCAAAAGCGCTGAGTTTTGCAGGGCTTTGCACATGTACACACACACACACATATCGATGCTCGTTAGGAACACACTCACACACTCACACACTCATACTCACTAACACACACAGAAATAGATGCTTTTCAGTTACACACACGCGAAAATGAAGCTTACGCTCGCTTGCACATTCATCACACGGCTCAGCACGCAGCGGTGGGTTGGAAAACACACTTACTCACCCGCACACACAAACACAGGTATTCAGCAACATTCACATGGAGCATTTTCATCAATGCACCTCGCTTCCCATTTTGGCGAGTGAGAATTTTCCAAGTTGATAATTTAATTTGCAATTTTTGTGCCCGCGTCTAATTTGAGCAGGTGCCAAAGTAACCTTGGCAACTTTTAACTTGCAACCATGTGTGGCACATAAAATGCATTTTAGCAGCACATTTAATTTCTATCAAAATAGCATTTTCTTTGCTGTTTTTTTGTAATATTTATGAAATGTCGCATCATTTTCATAAAAATTGTTTGCTTAACCTTACAAATACTTTAATCCGTTGAGCTCAAAAATTAAGTTTAAATTGTGATGTGTATTTTTTTCTATTAAATATTTGATATTTGTGGTTGTTGTTGTGGTTTAAATTGTGGTTTCTGTGCTAAGCTATTTACTACGTGAAAGCATCGTGAACGCCATTAGCCGCTATTTATTTCGCATGCAAAGTGCTCTTTTGGGCTACGATTGAAATAAAAATGGTAAATAAATAAAATGAAAGCAAAGAAAACCAACAAGCGAAACTGAAATATTTGCAGAAAATCGGCAAGAGCAAAACGAGTAACGCAAAAAAGACAATCGAAATATATGCCAATTTGATGTTATATATAGTAGTGGGTAGTAATATGTATAATAGTATATTATGTAGATACAATGATTTGAGTTGCAAATCTCATTTTTTGTGGATGTTGTGTGATTGAGATACGAAATTATTTATATATATTTTTTTTTGGGAGGGGGGTTTGGAAAAGAAATAAATAAATGGTAGATATAAATTGAGTAGGCAACCTTGTTGTTGTTAGTACTGAATCTATAGTATCTCTACTTCCGCTTTCCGCTGGCATCGATTTGCTAAAAAAGAGCCTAGCCAGATTGTCTAACCTCGCGCTAACCAGTGGCGATTTCTCCGAGTGTTCGGACTGATCTGAGTTATCTTGCTCCGAGCTGGCCGACCGGTTGCTGCAAATAGAATAGGATTGAGATACGCTCGAAAATAACGTACGAGACAATTTTCGGAAAAATAGCATTTTCATTTCAATTTTTGTAAAATATAAATAACGAAAATATATAGAATAAATTGTGGTTTTTGTTTTCTTTGATTTTGATTTTGTTTCAGTGTGTACAATTTGAATTTTTGATTTTGAATAAGCATCAAAAATAAATAGACAGTAACTAAAAGCTATTTAACTATAAATTAGTTGATAACCTGTGCAATTTATTTTGTGTGACGATTAAGTTGGCGGCTCACTTTTTTGTGCACACGTCCCATCTGTGGACTCTCTGAGTGGACTATGTATGTATATATATATATATATATGTATGTGTGTGTGTGTGTATGTGTATGTGTGTGTGTGTGTATGTGTGATGTGGCCGACACACATACCGTCTGGGTGGTCATTTAATGTACTCACCTACTGTAGATTTGGCGTCGATTGGCGGCTGTCAGCGCTGAGACATCGAATTCAATTGCCGAATTTGATCGCTTCAATCCGTTCGCCTTGTGCAGCTTCTTCATGATGTGTTTTACTTTCCTAAAACGGTTCGGTTTCGATTTGGTTTTGGATTTGGTTTTGGAATTGGGTTCAAATGTTTGATTTTTTGAACAAAAGAGTCGAAAAAGCAATGAAATCGCGGAAGATAGTCATTTAACTTATATTGTTATTTAATTTGTTGTGCTCTGAGAGAATTTAGTTTCTAATTTTTAGATATGTATGTATCTATAAAACAAATTGAGCAAAAAGCGTTAGAGTTAAGTAAGTTGAAAAGTAATCGGAATTACCTCGAGTTAACAATTTGTAAAAAAGTTAAGAATATAGCTATGGGGTGTACTAAGAGAACAGAGTTTTTTTTTTAATTTTTAATTTTTGTGCTCTAAGAGAATTAAGTTTTATATTTTCTAGATTTCTGTAAGCAATATTTGGCAAAGTCTTTAAAGTTGCCAAAGCTTCAAATTATTTGGAAATACTTTGAGTTAACAATTTGTAAAATAATTAAGGTTGTAATATAATAATGCTTTCTAAAGGTTTATTTTCAGATCGAAGAAAAAACATCGCTAACAAAATTGCAATACATTTTTTTTATTATCGATAACTTTTTTTCTTGATCGGAAAACATGTATTGAAAATCGACCGTAAAAATTCCGCTGAGAAAAATTTAGCCTTTTGTGTTTTTTTTTTTAATGTGGATCTTCTCATTATCGATAACTTTTTTTATACAATTATTTGGCAAAGCTCGAAGTATATTCATTTAAGTTCTTGTAAGAAAATACAATTTTTGAATACATTTATTTGTTTCGATCTGAAAACAGGCCTTCAGCTATGTTTATAATTTATATTAACACTTTCTAAGATATTTGAAAACAGAAAAAATGTAGTTGCTTTTGCGACGCATTACAAATTTTTTGAATGTAAGTTTTGGCCTTGCTTTCTATTTGTCGGGCAATCAATCGTTGAATGAACTCACTTTTCCGGCACCGGCGGCTTGACAAAACAATCGTGTCCTGTGACGGCGCTGGCGCGATTATCGAGTCGCTGCTGCTGTGCAGCCTTGTTGAATTTGAACATGGTGAAGGATTTCTTGGCACTGGCCACCTCACAGACGCGTACGATGATCTTTCGGCTGCTCTTGAAGACCGTGTTCAGCGTCTTGTATACGAGTATCGACACCGACTTGGAGCCGTGATGCGGATGCGAGTGCGGATGTGATTGAGGATGTGGTGATTGTAAGTGCAAATGCGAGTGCGACTCGTTGGTTGGCTGCAATTGGGGCAGTGAATTGGGCAGGGATTGCTGCTGCTTCAATTGATGCACTGCAGCCGCAGGAGGTGTCGCTGACTGTGATGTCGATGACTGGGATCGGCTGATGATTTTTTGTAGCTGCTTCTGCCGATGATGGCAGCTGATGATGAGCTCCTGCTCCTGCTGCTTCTGCTGCTCCTGCTGCTGCTGCTGCTGCTGCTTCTGCTGCTGCTCCTGGCAAGTGTCCTGTGCGAAGGATCGATCGGTTTCGTTGTGAAGAAGTGTGTTTTGTTTAAATGTTTTTGTTTTGTAGTTGTTGTTGTAGTTGATTGGTTTTGAACAAAAGTTGAGAGGCGAAAAGAAATATGAAAAGAAATATGCAATAATTGTTTTAATAAAATATTCGTTTTTCCATTGCGAAGAACGGTTTGGAGAACACAGCAACAAAAGGGAATTACGAATAAACGAACTGAGTAAAGCGATTTCGTGATAAGTAAGTAAAATCAAATCAATTTCTGCATATATATGTTGCATGTTGCATCGTTTTCGTGATTTTTCTTCTTTTTTTTTTGCGCTGACGTCAAAATTTTTCCGCACAATTCAATTGCACAGCAATCAGGTAATAAGGTGTGTCTCGCTGTGTGTGTGTGAAATTAATTTTCTGTAAATGAAAGATTTGCTTACGTTCAACTTTGGGAATGACAATCACAAAAGCATTTGCCAAGGCTCCAATTTGTGCCTTGTGCCTGGAAAGCTTTAAAACTAAAAACCAAAAATTTCAATTTAGAAAAATTACAAAAAAACAAATAAATTAAAATTGCGTATTCGATTATTGTAAATTTTGAAAAGCCATAAGAAATGAAAACATGCGAATTACTTATAGCATTCTTCAATTTGATCAACTAAACTAAATTGCAGCCAATATAGATTTGTTGCAGATTTCAATTAATATATATGTTTATAATATATAAAAAAGCGTTTCAATTTGCTAATATTTTCGTGTTAAACAAAATTCTTTGAGAGTTTTTTTTTTGTGTAAAATGCAGCCAATTTTTTTTTGTGCTTAGAGTTTAAATAAAAATTGTTGAAAATAAAAAATATTTGTTCGGTTTTATGCTATGTGAATTTTTTGTTTTTGTGGTGAGCTCAATTTTTGCTGAACGAATTTTTTTTTGTGTATTCTTCATTGACATTTGGCTTTGGCATTTGGCGTTTTGGCTTTAAGCGAATTTTGCGAATTTACCTACCGGTCGCTCAAGCAACAAAGTTGGCAATAGTCCAATGCACGACACCTAAATCTGAAGTTCGATTATAATTGTTATATTATTCGAATTCATTTCACACAGTTTTCGTAATTGCAAAAAGAATGGCAACATTCAGCGGTCATTTTTTACTGTATTAAAAAAAAAAAATTATATAAAAATTGTTGCAGGCTTAGCAGTTTCAGTATAATAATTGTATTTAATATTTAATACAATAATAGTCTTAGTTACGTATTCTTAATACGTGTGTTATAACCATTGTCATCCAATTTATTTCTAGTAAGACCATCTCACGATTCCCATAATTCATTTGCTTAAATATGTAAGTCATATCTAAAGCAATTTCAGTATATTAAAAATATTTATTATTTTGCTTGTGATATCTGATAATATTTTTGTCCGCAAGACAATCTTAGTCTGAATTATAGGTTTGTTATAATTATTTTCCACCCAATAGAAATACATTTTAATTAAGACCATTTATTCAGTTGCTCTAGAAAAGTGTTATAACTATTTCCTATTTTATTTATTTTTATTAAAACTATCTCGACATTGCAACAAGTATTAAGTCACATCTAAATCACATTATTATCAGTTCCCATACAAATTAATTTTATCTAAAACCACGGATACCTATAATTCATTTTCTCTAAGTCACACCTAAAGTAGATAAATATCAGTTTCAGTATACTAACTAAAATTACTATGTTCTATTTCTGATAATATTGATACCCTCAAGACAATCTTAGACTTAAGTATACATATGTTTTAACTAGTTCCCAACCCAAATACAAATATATTTTAATTAAAACGCACTACGGATGTGCGTAATTTATTTGCTTAAATGTGTAATTGAGTACATTTTGATGTGTGATTTCCACACACACATATATATTTATAGCTGTGGCTATGACAACAGCTGGCACACGAGCAGCAGCAGCAGCAGCAGCCAAACCCGAAGCAAACTCAACAACTGCAACTGAATGACAAGCACTTTTAATGGACGGCTAAATAAATCATACGCCCCGTTTGCCAGTACCAAAACTGCCTTTGGGTGTTCTTGTGTGTGTGCTGGAATATTGTGGGTATTGTGCACCGCTCCCAGTCCCCTACTCTAAAACATGTGTCTTGCACGTGTCTTGGCCCAGAGGCTTCTTCGCCATTTGTCTAATTGTCTAATTCTAATTTTACATTTCACTTATTGTTTGCATTGTTGTTCAACTGTTGTTGTTCTTGTTGTTGTTGTTGTCTGTTGATTTAATCGTGCTTTGATTTTTGTACCAGACATCGAAACAGCCCCCTCTCAGAGCTCTACATATATACACCATAGCCCATACCAACTATCTAATCAGGCGTACGAAATGCTCAACATGCGGAATACCTTTACTACATTTCTGGGCTTTTGTTTTTGAGGCTTATTGATTTTATTTCTTGTGCCGTTTTCTTAGCGCGTCTCTTTGTCTTGTCTTTTAACACTCGGAAAAAAATCGCACTGAATTTTTAAAAATCACCTTGAATACTAGAAAGTCTTTTTATTTTTAGAAACAATTTCTATATAAAAAGTAGAAAGACTTATATTTTTCACAATTATATTTCATAATCATTAAGAAATATTTCAAAAAATTCAAATAGAAAATATTCTTAGAAATATCGTCTCTATATAAAAAACAAATGAAAAGAAGAAAAGGAAAATAAAGTTTTTTTAAGTACACAATCTATCTTTTTAAAAATATACTTTCTGAATCAGAAGGTGAGTTACGCTTGGTCTCAAAGTAAGTAAGTAAGTAAGTAAGTATCGATTCTTAAAAGCTCAAGACAATTTATTTCTGAGTGTATTTGCGGCAGGTGTGTTTGACGTTTGGCATAGTTTGGTGTCAAGTTGCAAGAGACGAGCGGCTGGCAAATTTTCGAATCAATTTCTATTTTTGCAGCACGAATCGCCTTTCTCCACGCTCCCATCGCTTAGTTGTTGGTAGTCAAAGAGAGTCGAGCTTATACCCATTTCGATTATTGCATTATCCTGTCAATTTATTGTACTGCGAGCAAATTAAATTGTCAATGTGCTTGTGACACGAATCGACATAGATATATATGTATATGAACAGAGAAAACGCGATGGCAGAGATTAACGAGCGCCTCATATGCCATATTAGGAAATCGTTGTCTAAATTGTAAAATCATCAAATATTATTGTTGCTATACCCGGAAGGCAGTCGGACGATTATTTACATTATTTGCCCTCTATTTATTTCAAACAAATTGCATTTATTGGGCTTAGTTAAATGCCAAGAACTTAATACTCATTTAACTTGGAAGAGCTTTAGAGGATTAGAAAATTGTTGGCCTTAGTCATATGTCATTCTATGAATAGTTTAGTTCAGTTGCACGATAAATTCCCTTTTGAAGGTTCTTTATTTGCTCAATGACAAATGTAATTCAGCTACTTATTGATGAGTTAGCTTTCAAATATAGCAAAAGCTTTGTCACTCTTTATTTATGTAGATTTTCAAACTTATTTGTTGCTTTATTTTATTTTTTTATCTGTTTAACTGAAGTATTTATTTATTACTTGATGATAAATATTATTTATCTGTCGACTTATTTTCTTATATATAGCTTCTTTTAAGTCTATCTCAACTATTTCTACTATGTATTTAAGTAGATTTGGGTTTTGAGACTTTTTAACTCAGAATTAAAATTTGCATCAAGAACTGGGGTGTATTTTCTTATTTAATTGTTCTTCTGTTTTACCTAAAAATGTATTTATTATTTGATGGATTACTACTATTTATTTACTTCATTTGGTTAGCTGTTAATTTAAGGAAAAACTTTGTCTTTCTGCATTTCTATATAGATTTTGATTTTCAAACTTGAAAACTTGACTGAGAATCAGTAATGTTTATTCAAAAATTGTAATGCACTTTCTATCATTTAGTTGGTTTTCTGCTTAGCTGAAAACTCTATTTATTATTTGACGACAACTATTATTTAGCTAGCTATTGATGATAGCGTATCACTCGAGCTTTTTTACTCTGTATTTATATAGACATTGTTCTTGAAACTTCTGAGAATCAGTTTATTCAAATACGAAAGGATTTATATTTAATTATTTAGTATTTTATTTATTAAGTTGCGCGTCGCTTCAACTGAACACTCTACAAGTCAGTTCGCTTAACAACTGGCTCACTCAACCAATTCAAGTTTATTAAAACCAACAAAATGTCAAAAGTCCAAAAATTGAGTTGCTCATAAAAAATGAGTAGGAAAGGTGAGGGGTCGTGTTGGAGCCGGCTCGAGAATTTCAGGCCCGGCGGGTGATTAGCATAAAACACACACAAAAATTGACATTTTGCCAACATAAAAAGACTCGACGCTCGACACTCGACTGCGCTGCGCACCTTTCTAATTATCCGGGCTTAGGCCAACATCGACAAGATTATTATTATTATGAACAGCAGGCGCACTTTGAGCAGGGATCGCATCGTTATCGCTGCGGTCATTTCTTATGAAAATTACGCGACAATCGAAATTAAATATTTAAATAGTTGTTTATTTTTTTATGTTTTTTTTTTTTTTGGGTGTGTTGGTAACAAATTTCAGCTATTTTTTATGTTTTTTTTTGTTACTCTATAAACACGCACGTGAATTTGCTGCTTGGAGCTGACAAAATAAAACGCGGCCACGCCGTTCCTCGGTTCGTCTGTTAATGAAGCTAAAATTCGAACATCGTTTCGGTTAAAGCAAAAACTATGAAATTTTCTTTTTTCTTTTATTCCAGTCCGATGCCAAGTCTGACTAGGCGTGTGTGTTGGTGAGTGTGTTGTATGTGTGTGTATTATTGTGGGTGGTTTTCAACGATATGTTTGCGTGCCTCATATCAGCCACAGTTTTCTGCTTGTATTTGTGTTTGGCTCTTGGCCCTGTTGGCCACCCGTCTAACTGGATTATAAAAATTG